ATGGATCTCACCGGACCACACCACAGAGAACCAGATAGATCACATTTGTATCAACAAAAAATTCCGAAGAACAACGGAAGATGTGAGAACCCGGAGAGGAGCTGACATAGCTTCAGATCACCACCTGGATGTGGCCAAAATAAAACTGAAGCTAAAGAAACACTGGACAACTGTACAAACAGCACTACAAAGTTTCAATACAGCCTTCCTTCGAGATACTGACAAACTCAACCAATTCAAGATAACTCTCATCAATAGGTTCCAAGCTTTACAGGATCTACTGAAAGAACAAGGAACTACGATGGAGGACAACTGGAAAGGGATAAAAGAAGCACTAACTTCAACGTGTCAGAAGGTTCTTGGTCCTAAGAAGCATCAACACAAGGAATGGATCTCCATGGGGACTCTGGACAAGATTGAAGAAAGGAAGAACAAGAAACTAGCAATTAACAACAGACGAACACGAGCAGAGAAAGTCGAAGCACAAGCAGACTACGCACAAGCAAATAAGGAAGTGAAGAAAAGCATTAAGGCCGATAAACAGAAATACAACACAGAGATTCAAGAACAGAGGAAAAGATGGGCAAAATACTTCGACGAACTGCTGAATAGACCAGTCCCATTGAATCCACCGGACATCGAAGCAGCGCACACAGACCTTTCTATAGATGTCACTTCACCAACGATCGAAGAAGTCAAGACGGCCGGTCATCAAGTAAATCAAGAATGAGAAAGCAGCAGTACCTGACAATATACCAGCTGAAGCACTGAAGTCAGAAATAGAAGTAACAGCAAACATGCTTCACCTTCTATTCAAGAAGATTCGGTAAGAGAAACAACTGCCATAAACAGACTGGAAAGAAGGATACCTCATCAAGATACAAAAAAGAGATCTGAGCCAATGTGAGAAATACAGAGGCATCACAATGTTGTCAGTACCAGGAAAGGTATTCAACAGAGTGTTGCTTAACCGGATAAAAGATTCGGTAGACGCTCGACTTCGAGTTCAACAGGCGGGATTCCTTAAGGATCATTCGTGCATAGATCGAATTGCGACACTAAAGATCATCGCCGAACTATCAGTTGAGTGGAACTCGTCACTATACATCAACTTCATTGACTATGAGAAGGCGTTTGACAGCGTGGACAGGAGAACATTATGGAAAATTCTTCGACACTATGAAGTTGCTGAAAAGATTGTCAACGTTATGCAGAACACATACGACGGACTACAGTGCAAAGTGGTGCATGGAGGACAGTTGACAGATGCATTTCCAGTAAGGACCGGAGTCAGACAAGTCTGTCTACTCTCTCCATTCCTCTTCCTTCTGGTGATTGAATGGATTATGAAGAATTCGACATCTGAGGGGAAATACGAAAAACAATGGACTCCTCAGAATTAATTAGATGATTCGGACTACGCAGATGACCTAGCCCTCCTCTCTCATACACACGAACAAATGCAGACGAAGATAGCAAATGTGGCAGCAGCCTCTACATCATCAGGCCTCATCATACACAAAAAGAAAACTAAGATTCTCAAATGCAACACGGAGAACACCAACCTAATCACACTTGATGGTGAAACTCTGGAAGAGGTGGAAACATCCACATACCTGGGAAGCATCGTTGATAAACAAGGAAGATCGGATGCAGATGTAAAGGCGAGGATTGGCAAAGCAAGGACAACATTTCTACAAATGAAGAACATATGGAACTGAAAAAGACTGTCAATCAATATCAAAGTTAGAATTTTCAATACGAACGTCAAGGCAGTCCTACTGTACGGAGCTGAAACGTGGAGAACTACTACGACCATCATCAGGAAGGTCCAAGTATTTATAAACAGTTGTCTACGAAAAATACCCAACATCCACTGGCCGGATACTAACAGCAACAGCGTTTTATGAGAGAGGACAAATCAGCTTCCAGCTGAAGAGGAAATTAGGAAAAGACATTGGAAATGGATCGGACATACGTTAAGGAAATCACCAATGTGCATTACAAGGCAATCCCTAACATAGAATCCGGAAGGGAGGCGGAAAAGAGGAAGGCCAAAGAACACATTACGCCGGTAAATAGAAGCAGATATGAAAAGGATGAATAACAACTAGAAAGAACTGGAGAGGAATGCTCAGAACAGAGTTGGATGGAGAATGCTGGTGAGCGGTCTAAGCTCCTCGACGAGGGGTAACAGGAGTAAGTAAGCTACGTAATATGATAAATACACAACGTCACAGTGATTATAGAATAATGTTTAGTAATTGGAACAAAGATGATTATTATAATAAAAATAATCATTCGAAAAATCAAACAGTCGCTTCGTTGCATATTATACAAAAAGAAAGTACTAAGAAAATATCTTGATGAAGGATCAGTATCATAGTAGTAATGTAAGAAGAGATAGACAAACGTTGGCAACGGTCAAATATTTCTTGCATGTACCCAGTCTGATAGAAAAAGCATGCCTTAATTACTATCTGATGATTTTCGCTTAACATTTGTTGCGACGGTCGTGACATTGCTATCGTTGGCACTTTTGGCAGTCGTTCTTTGTTCCTTCGCACAGTCTGTGATCGAAGATCATAAAGCGGTTAATGAGTTTATGGGTAGATGTGATAACATGCGAGCCCCGAAATCCCCTCAATTTATAACTACAACAGTCGAGTTCCTTTATAAGCTGAACAGATCTAGTTGAATGTGAATGCCTAAGGTGTTTGAGGAACCTTACACATTGTTTCCATAAGATTGATTGATGAACCTTTCCCACACTGAAGACACGTATGCTACAACCAAGGTAATGGAACTGTTTGTGCTCTGTAGTGTCCCAATTGCAGTCAATCAAGGAGCCATAGTTGTTACACGATACCGATTCATCCGTCCAACTGCTGAAGATCACACAATGCAATCACTATCGTGTTGTTCTCCGGCAGGGCACGGCTACACCGAGTATTAAGTCTTGAAAAGCTCTCTCCTTTCATCTTTGTGCTGCTAATCAGTGTGTGAAATTCTGTGCTGAAGCGTGATCTTCGTTCTTCTATAACGTGTCTACTTTGATTGCTTTAGTTGTGTGGTCAGTACCACATTAGTTACACTGTGATAGATTTTTCAAATTTTATTGTCGCTTGTTAAAAGAACTTGTGGTTAAAAAATTGATTCTGTGCTTTCTATAATCGACCAATGAAGTAAGGATTAATGAATTAACACGTAACAGTGATGCAAACTTTGTCTCTCCAATTGCTAGGTAAAAACAAATCACTAGCCCTCATCGTCAGTTATGAACACTTCTCCAATCATTACCGAGTATTACAATATCATAAACAAGCATTACAAACGCTCAAATGCTCCTAACCCAACTTATAGGCATGGATTGAGTTCAAACATATAATAAAGTTTGAAGATGGTTAATCGTAATCTGTCGCCTCGTTACTTCACTTGTCAGACATGAGCAAACAAGAAAATCCCGATAAGATACTTGAGCATTTATAATGATATAAGACATTTTTGAGCTAGATAGATTCTGTAGTACTGAAAATTTCGGTTGAGTGTCTAACTGTTAATTTCAAAAAAATATTTACGTCTAAATATGTTTGTTGTTGTTTCAATCTTGGTTGCTTTTATGTTTTCGATTTTACACATCACATTTATGGTACAAAAAAGAGAGAGTTTGACAAACTGATAAAGCGTAATAGAGTTTAGCTAAGCCTGGTAACTTATGTAAAAACTCTTAAAACGAAAGCGGATAGTTCTTTCAATTAGTTAGAAAATTTCGCCATTAACTTGAACATAAGTACAGTAAAATGTATGAGTAAAAGTCCGTACTTAAGCGGTAAATAACTACCAGTAATAATACAGATGTCTGATGACAATAACCTGACAACTAAAACTAAAGGTTGATAGCTCGTAGTTTCGTATGGATTTCATATTAGGATCAGTGACATGGCAATGAGCCACGGGCAAATAATTCGGCAGTCGGGTAAATAAATGTTCAGCAGTTCACCGATCCTACTCAAGTTCAAGAACAATCAACGCGCATCAATTAATCTTATGCCATGAACTGACTGATTCAGTGGTAGTCGCACCTACTCTTACTAATTTAACTCTGTAATAACGTCTTTTGTGTAACACGGTCTATAATGCTGCCCTGACACCTTGGTGTGACAAAAGCGTGAATCATGTTAGGTTCTTACAGCGAGGTGTGACTTCAAATTTAATTACTTCGTCACATCTCTCCAGACCAACATGAGTATGCCGTCAATAATTCGGTAAAGTTCATCTACGTTAGATAGTGATATACAACAGTATGTATACGTACACATAAGCTGTTCTAGGTTTACTCTCAAGTTGTTACTGATCACGTGATCGGCTAGCCTAAAAACGAGTTCATTATTATCAGGAATCATCAATATATCCGCAATGAGATAATGTTGTATGACTGATCACGTAATATTAAGGGTCGCAATCACTTAATATGTACAACAAATATATGGCAGACATTTAAATGTCACAGAGAATTAAGGAAAAATTATAGGTGACATAATGCATTATGTATTGCCCAGAAAACGATGACTATGACTCGTAAATAATGTATAGAGAAATTTACCGTTAATAACATTGTTCGTAGTGTTAAAATTTAAAAAAATGTTGGCAAAAATAAAAATTTTATGCAAACAGATCTTCTTCATCTGTTTTTACCCTTTCAACCTTGACGATATTACCGAAGCTTACTAGCGCTTCGTGTGTTTATATTTCTCAAAAACACGATTGTAGTGGGCTTAGTTGCTGGCGCAATTTCAATTAATGGACAACCGACATCATTGCGCGGAAATAATTCAAAAGGCATGGCTGTCTTACCACAATAAACAGATATTTAAGATCTTTAAGTTTGCAATGAAGATTTTGGTTTGTAAACATATTTTGTATTCATTTCTAGGAAAACCTGCCGAAAAAACATCTCCTTAAAATACTTTTACCTGAGGACTATCGAAATTTAATCTCAGATGGATTATTTGACACGGTTATTTTATTTAGGTAACAAGCAGTTTTTATAATTATCCAAAATTTTTGGTTGAATGGCGTAAAATTTCCCCCGGCAATATGTTACAAAGTAAATGTCAAGAATGTTTCTTGTTCATTGACTGATATTTCTTCTGTGAGCATATTTAATGCAAACGGTGTAAGATTACTCAAATGTTTATAACGTGTTTAGATTAAGAAGTGTATCATGCAATCAGTCGGTAGAAGAAAATACCTCGATCTTGTGTTTGAAGATTCAAGCTCTTATTTTCAACCTTATTTTATGAAAGAGAGGTGTCTTTCAGATATTCTGACCACACGAAAGGTAAGACAGTTAGCACACTAATGATGACTGAAAATAAAGATTGTCAGTACACGAACACTCCTCGTTCTTTAATATGATTTCATTATTGTAATAGCGCGTTGTATCACAGATTGGGAACACTTGGAACTAACTTCCTACTCTCATTTTAGATTCGATCAAGTGTGCTACCATTCGTTATAGAATATGCACTAACTGCTTGCATTTATTGTTTAAAGCGGTATATCATGTAGATGGAATGTATATTCTAAAACATATTATGGACAAAGCATCTGAAGGTTCTGTTAACTGGCCATAGCGCCCAAATACTTATTACTCTGCACATAAGCTCTACACTAGATAAAACATCAAATGCCCTACTACATATCTGAATATTGCACCAACAAGCAGAAAGCTGTCACGGGTTGCTGTACATAAGTAACATGTAAGCCAATCAGAGTAAACAATAGTGTTAGGTTTATAAGATATAATGGAAGTGTTTCTTTTACTTTCTTGGCGTCCTCTCTTTGAACGATAATTTTTCAGAGGAAGTCTATATAAATATAATATTCTAAAGTTAAGCATTCAAACACAATATTTTGATGGGTAAAATAGATTTTTGAAAACGATATCGGTTACATTATGCATGGAAAATTGATGTGACACAGTGAAGTAAGCTTTTGAATCATTATGCATTTTTCCATAGTCATTAAAGCGGCTTATGTGTTCAAGTTTATTGAAAACGTCGTTTTAAAGCTGGGATTTCTAAACCGGGTAAATTAGCGTTATGATACTACCAGTATTGTAGTTTGACAACTCTTTACTAGTAACACCTTCTGTAACCGAATCACGCCCACCCAGTGAAATCAAAAGTCAGAAGCGAGGAGGTTGGAAGATATATTTGATGGGTTATCAATATATCGAGAAGTGACCGATCTAACCTAGCCAATGATCGTAGGAGATGCTTTCCATTCCGTGCTGTAACGTGATCTGGTACGGATGCATGACCGAACGCCTTCAGCTAAACGAGTCCACTAAAACTAATGTGGTCAGCATCCAATGTCAAAAACTCACAGAGCTATTGATTTCGGGGAATTATTTACAGCTACAAGCATTATCTGCATTCTGTATTATTATCTTTCTGGATTCGATTTTTCACTGACGCATTCGATCTAATAACAATAAGTGCTTCACTTATTCCTATTGTAAAATTGCCCTAGTTGCTATTCACGATGGTTTCCAAAAGATCGGAAATGAAAAAATGTGCTTTCACTTTTTATTATTATTCTCTTAAAGTCCTAACGTGATAGTTGACTGACAGTTGACCATATTTTTGAGGCAAATAAACTAGTTGTTTTAGGATTTTTTTTATCTTATCTAAAAAATGGAATTCTATTTATTTCTTAATCACGGTGCTATATAGGTTATTGATTGAAAATCTCGGTTGTTAGGTCTATTAACAGTAAGATGGTGGAAGAATATTAAGGGCGAAATTGCTTTGATATTTCAGCTCCAAGATGTATATGAAGTTACAGGTACCCTAATAGAATCATTGATGATGTATATGAAAGTTTAACTTAAGGTATCTTACTTTCCATATTTATTTGTGTAAAAGCGTTTCATCGAAGAACTTCCGGCTGCCTACGGAGGGCATCAGAATCACTGGCGTTATTTGGATGGCAAAGGTTTGTTTCAATTTGATCTCAGTTAGACGAAAACTTATAATGTCTTTTTCGCTTTTGAGCTAGAAACCATTTACATAATTCAAACTTAATGACCATGCGACATGAAATGATTTCATTGGGTTCTAAATATACTTGCAAGTGACAAGAAATGTAACTAGCATACTAAATTACCACTAGTTAACTGTAGTAAAGGCACTATTGCACATGAAATAAATTAGTGTTCTTTGGTGCCAGAATAAATTGCCTTATTATAGTTTAGAGTGGCAAATATATATAAAGACAACAAACTACATTTCGCAATTCATTTTCTATAATATTGCAGCCAGTTAGTTTAACATAAGAACAAAATAAAACTGAAGTGATTGAAAAGCATCTGACTGCATTAATTATGAGAACGAAAACAATCATATGATTGGCGAAGATAATTACCAATGTATCAAGTCAACAGGGTTAAAAATGCCAAAACTATGTGGTCAACTAGTGTCCTATTCAAGAGAACTACTATCTCAATTCAATGTGTAGTTTAAACTTGACAAAGCGATCCAGAGAAAAATGAAATACATATACAAGTAACTTACTATTAATCCGTTACTGGAAGATTTTTCATGTCCAGATCGGAAAAAATCATTTAAAGATGTGTGCTAATCACTTTCACCAGCATGAAGCTCACCTAAACGATACAAGCAAGCGTCAATCAGCGGTAAAGATAGTGCTTTAAGTATAAAATGAATTTGGTTTCTATTTTCTCAATGATGAAGCTGCAAGGAAAGGTTTTGAGACCATGAATATATTTTTATAAAAGACCAATAAGGAGTAGCTGGCCAACAAACTTGCAAAGCTCAATTCATGGTGTTGTGTGCGCTACTTATGCGGATAGACGTAAGTAGTATGTAACAGGAAGTGGAATGCCTACTAACAGAAGACTGAAATAAAGAGAAGAGGATCGAAAACTAAAAGCGATTGGAATGACAACAGGATCAGAAGAACGACAAGGTATGTAGAGGACAACCCAGGGAATATATGCAAATGATGTATTTAATGTATAATTCTTAGATTTTATAAAGGCACTGTGCGATCTAATGTAAAACGGTAAAGTGGTTTAACGTACCTGAGTTTCGTTCATTACAATAGTAGTAGAGAGGGTTACTTCATTATGTCTCACTGTATGAGTTAGTAGTTTTATGTGAATTATAAAGAACTGGACCTTCTAAGAAGATGCTTATCGGATGTGGTTATTCATCGAAATTTAGTGTCAATAGTGTGAAATTTAAACCTTCAGAGGTGCCAGTGGCCCCTGTGTCGAAGAAAAATCTTTTCATGAACGTAAATTTCAAAAATAATAGGGCTGTGGAAATATTGAAGGGATGAATTAACGGACATTGTTACTCACTATATTCAATTAGTTAATATGTCGGTAACATTGTTGTATTATATGAATGGACCGCCCTTATCGATGCACACAACTTTGCGTGCTTCATTTTGAGAGCAAACCTTGCAACTTCAACCGTTTTTCTTGACATCAAAAAGCCATTCAGTTTTGTGAATTGTTAAAAATTACGGCAGTGCTTGACTTTAAAAAATATGAGAAAACCAAGGTTTTATTCGAGAGGTAGTTATGTTCATCAGAGCTATTTCCAATTTTTAAGACATTTTTGCATTTTTACATGTTTAGTTGTCGAAAGGTTGGATTACATGTCTGATGTACTTGAATTACCATCACTGAACTGCAAGCCGAATTTGAAGCGCATTATCGACCTACTTACTACAACAATACAGTCTGAAGTATTAGGGCCAATATCACGACATAAACTGTTTCAAATGAAACGAAAATCGATTCAATGTGGTAAGACTCAGAACAAATTAGAGCAACAGAGAAATAAAACCCCAAAACAGAAACATTATTTTAATAGCTACGGCAAAGTCCCGAGTAATATGAATGTAAGTTAATTGAAATTGTATTCAGTTTCATAGTCATTAGTTTACTGTGACTGTCTGACATTTACTGTTGTTAATCTCAGTAAACCATTGAATTAGTTAACACCCAGTATTTCAGTAAACTCGTGATCATTTATCAACTGAACATTTTGGAAGCCACATTTCCGACTTAGTTATCCTTGTATTAATTATTTCATAAAATTAATGTTTATTTATAAACTTATTTCTCTTCAGAGTTGTTAATATTGAAGATATGCGTCAGATAGGTATCTTCTCAAACTGTTGTGTGCACATCAACTTAGATTTAAAACAATTATACAACGAATTATGTCTGTTAACAACCATGTCAAGTTATTTGGCATTTCAATAGAGATATGTCTTTTATTCGATCACCTGAGCACTCTATATTTATACATTGCTGGGTTATGGTGGTAACAGAATGTTCCTAACAGGAAGCGACGTTAGAAAACAATGCATAGTTTCATTAAGAGATGTTAAAATGATTGTTAGCAAACATTCATGACAATGTATATAAGGTTGGGAAGTTGAACATCAAATTCTAGATTTCAAGGGATCGTGGTCTATGTAACAGCACTTACTTTTTATTTGTTTGCCCAAAGTTTTATGCTGATTCATATCGATGATAAAACATTTTAACAATTTGTTAAGTCTAAAGTCGCTTATTATTAGTTCAAAGGATGATTTATTAATTAGTTTCAGAAAGGTTAGGTTTATATTATCATATTTACTATTTGTAGTAATAATCACCTAATCCTACACATCCATCCACTTTTATATACGAAATTTATATCCATATTTATGTTTTTTTAAATAGTGTATACAGAACTCACTCAATAAGAAACCCAATCTGTTTACGCATGAATATTTGGATGAGATGTCTGATAAACTAGAAGAAGCAGAACAGTTGTACAAATGGAGTCAGTGTCTACCTCAGTTGTGATTTAAAATAACAGACTTTCTTTACAAATTGTATGTTTCGAGCAAAAAAGAAAAAATGGGAAAAATAACTTTAATAAACGCCAGTGATGTATTTGGTACTTGTTCTACCATAGTGAATATTTATATTAGTTAGTATTATTTCTAGAATTTATAGGCGTTCTTTTTTGAGTCTCTCTTAAGCGATCTCTCGAAGTAGGTTACAAGATTTTTGAAATATATACACTATCCATATATTGTATGTAAACTTGCCTACTGTGATTAAAAGCAACCAAATTACCGAGTTGCACATAAGAGTCATGAAACTAAAGGATTAGGTCTGTCTAAAGAGCAATAACATTATGGACAATAAAATTAACTCCATGAATAAACTAACTTTCTGTCATAGTGTTCTAGTTTTATTGAGAAAATAACATTCCAATGAGAATGTTAGAATTTAGTGCAAATACAGTAGAAACTGTTTGTTGAATGGGGAACGTGCTTAAAGTTTTTCAAGGTTGAAGGAAATAGAATGTTCAACTAGAACAGTTGGAATACGAAGTACGAAAGTGTAGATGGATGGTGACAAATAGTTTGTTGCAACAAATTATCACATATTCGCACAGGTTTAGAAATGTCCGGCTTATAATTTAGACTACTTACAATTATAAAGTAGCGTACAAACACCAAATTTAAAAAATGAATGAAGATCGGGAGTCACTAACACTTGGGATACTACAGTTACAAAAACTTCAGCCTTATTATATTTATTAACTTGAAGTAGAGATGTAACATTGTTGAACTCATGGGTGTGTAGTAGCTGGAGTATAAAAGTATACCGTCATTCTGGAGACTATATTGGAATATTCATGAATGCTTTATAAAAAGATGGTTAAGTGATTTTTCTTCATAGAATGCCGTACATTTCCAAAGTACCACATATTTCTCTGATGACAAAACCAAACTATTGAACCAAAAGAGAGTCAGACGAAAATTTTGTTATGGAGAAATACAAAAAAGCCATCATATCGGTATCTGAGAACTTCGGATTTAAGAGACATAATGTTCCATCTAAGAACCGTACCAGTGGATTGTGGTGTGTGCTGCCGATGTCGACAAATATAAGTGCCATCAATGGAAAATGAAATGTCTGACAGCAGAAGGTTAAGACAATTGAAGAAAAGAGAACGAGAACAGATAGTAATCGGTGTCGAAACAAAGGAACAATGAAGTCTGAGACGATTGGTTGACATTTTGCAAATGAAGTATTTATTCTGTACTTCTCATATTTTACTAAGATACAGTAATTTTGTGTTAAAATACATTTGGTTATCTCAGCTTGTGTTCTTGTTCACTACAGATAACTAATTTATTTAAAATGAGAATCAATGGCAGAATTAATTCTATTACAATCGATGTATTAAGTTTAGGTAAAATTTATCGTTACATATAATAACTGGTTTAGTTAAAACAATGAAGAATTTCGTCACTTTATTGTATACCTTGATAATAAACATTCTCTTCCATAAACGAAATAATGATACTTATTACCTCTTTTAAATACCCTGAATAATTCCGTCATTTTACAAAAAATTGATATTCTTATATTTTCTTGATATTGGTATTAAATTACTTTAAAATTGTGAAAAATAGTAACAGATAATAGTTGTCAAGCTCTTTATTTCAGTTTTAACTTTTCATAGTCAACTGATCATAATACAAAGATCGTTAAATTATTTAACTTACTATCCTAATGGATTCATTTTCTAGTCAACCTATAAGTAATATTTCTTTAGTTTGCCAGTTATAGACTTTTTCATCGCTTTACACCGGTAATTTAAATCGTATTCAACAGCCAATAGTTAGTTTGAATAAATGTATAAAACAAACATCATTTTGTAAACTATGTTTGAATAGGTAGTGTCCGAAATCTGCTAACACCCAACTGATTACTTGTGCGAGAACATAAGAATGAGCGAGAAAGTTTATTAGGCTACTGGATTAAATGCATAAATACTAATCCATATATATATGGCCAAGAAATTGACCTATTTCTTAGCCAATGAAATGTACTCGTCCTTTAGGTCACTCCTGATTGTCATCGATTGACCTTCTCATTAGGCTACTTTTGATTGACTATGTCAAATTATTTGATGTTACTCCTATTGACGTAAAGTGTGTGAAATGGTCGAAATTCCATCACATTCTGTGTTAACGATAATGTTGTTATTTGGTAACACCTTTGATGATTTAAGGAAAATCCATATCAGTGTTGTTCAAGGCCTGTGATTAGATTTTAATCTTGATCCAGTGAAACTTGATTCAAAATAAACTCTTTGTATCATATGCAAAAGTATTGATACGTCACAGGCTGGTTGGTTATTAAAGTTCTTCAATCGATACAAACAATTAGTACGAATATCGAATTCTTGTTTAATTTGTAATTTACTTTTCCACTAACTAATTATCCACTTAATAACTTTTAATTAAATTATGAAGACGAATTGTAAGGTAGTGTAGATAGTAAAAGTATCATTATTAGGAGAAAAGATTAGAAATGGAGAATATGATTCAGGATTGAGTAATGAATTGGCAGAATAAAAAAATGAGTTGGTTTTTGAGCTAAGGATTTAAAAAAGAATAAAGAATGGATGCATCTGTTGAATCGTGTCTGAGTGTGAGTCAATTCAATCAACATTTTGAACCGTCGGTTGTAATAACTGCGCGTATAGCATCCCGGTAATCTACGCCTACTGACATAGCTCATTCCAACAACCAATGACTGTATGGTCTAGTACAAAGTCTGAACATGAGTGCTTCCATCTCACTTACAATCTATCACTACACCAATCAACAACACGTACTGATATAAGCCGTTGTCAGTCACAGGTAGAATATGTCTCAATAGCTTCAGTCGATCGATACGAATAACCCCATTAACCAATTCCTGCAAGGTACATTGACAGTCTACTTATCATTATTGTTTAGATTATTTAAATTGTTTCTCAAATCTTTTGTTTAACTTCCTAACAGGATCTACAGCTCTTAAAACATGTTTAACATATTTCAGATTTCTTCTGATTTTATATTTTTATTATAAAATAATCCAAACTACTTTTTTTATTTTAAGTAGATTGATTAACTTGAAGATCAGTCATGATATTTTAAAGTTGGAAAGTCTGTTTATATCAACATTTCTCCGAGAACGAGAATTAGTCTCATTAATCAGATATCTAAACTTCACCGCTTCTAGTGATTTCTCCCCAATTACGTTTAAAGTGATTTTCTTCAGTTTATTAATAACTATTAAGTATACATAGGTAACTCATTCCACCTAACTATATTGCAACAAGTGTTCATTTTTCTGATCAATCTCTAACTTAGTAATCTTATCTTGAGCATGGATTTTCTCTACTTCGATTCATATTTCACAACGTTAATATTTTATGACTTTCATCATTTTTTATAAGTCAACTCTTACTAACACTGTGAATCAATGTTAAGCTACTATTACACTCAGAATGATTGTATAACAGTCTGGATTACAAATTAATAACCTATTGGAATCTTTTTTAAGTGTTCAGACACTTAATATGTTGAACAAAAACCGAGTTTTTAGATTTACGTAAATAAGTTTCATGAATGAATGAAGATTTTAAAGCATCCTTGATTAGTATCTTAGTGGTTTCTTCCAACTAAGCAGAGTAGTCATTGTCATGACTTTTTGTCCTATTAATTATCAGGTTACTAAATCGCCAATCAGAACATGACCTTGACACTGTCAAACCAATGACGCATAAACCAGCACGAGTAGTCTGCAGACAACTGTTATTCCTTGTTGGTTCTTTTCTCCTGACCCTGTTCGAGTCCAGAACACAAATCTTAACTTCCATTGTATGAAGCATGTATTTCAAGCATACACAGTTTATATACAAGCAAATTAGATCGCAACATACCATAAAATCGAAAATAACAATTATACAGGATTAAGCCAAAAAAAGCTGTGATTGTGAGAAACTGTAACTAATAAATTAGGAATAAATCAAGAATGATAAATCGTATGACAGCAGCCAACAACTCAAATGTAAGCTCATGATAAAGTTAATGTGAATGTATATAATCTAGTTACTTAACATTTATACAATAAGAATATATATGTAATAACAGTCCATAAATAGTTCCCAGAAGTTACACATAACTTAATCTTCGTTAGAATATAAGCCATAATAAACGTTATCATAAATTTATTGTCATGAAGTGATTGGTATGGTTTGTCCTTTAAATAAGATTGTATGCGATAATGACGATAATCAATGTGCACACCGTTAATAAAATAGCATTTCAATGTCCTAGAAAGTTGAACAATGGATAGTAAGCATGTAATAGCACGTAAGATCATAAGTAAGTGCTTTACTAACCTAGTATAATACTTATCAGATGGTGAGAACCTATAGCTCTACTAAGGATAGAATCCACGACTACTGAGCAGTGCACATACCAAGACGAAACAGCTGTCTAGTGCCCATCAATTTTCAATGTTGCCACAACTGACATCAATTTTTAAAGAGTACAATCTATAAATTTAACCAATCTTCACAAAACTCATAAAAAAGCAACAATAATAAAATAATTCTTTTGAATCTATATAACAAAATAAAATAATCCAATATACTTGTGAAAGCAAAACAGTTGAGAGACTAACAAATATAAAATTTATATAATAAACAAAAGGTAAATCATGAGTAAAGAAATTGATCTATGCAACTAGCTTGCTTACATGATCTTCCTTCAAATATTTCATAAGCTGGTTGTCAATTGAAAACAGAACACATTTCACAAAATGAATTTTCAACATTAAAACAATAGTCCTAATAATAATAATAATACTGAGCACATAGTTTAAAAAGTTAGCTGATGATAAGATCAGTAATGTATTTATGTATTCTGGCTTTAAAGGATTTTGCTTATTTTTTTTATTCAGTTTTTAGTGATGAATTCGATAAGGATGGCCACATGGTGCACGATCATCAAATGTTGAGTTCATCTGCTTCAAAGATCTATATGATCGATGCGGATTTCCGGTACTTTTCAAATGTTTTGCTTCATTCAAATATTTTTGTCCCTGTTATTTAAAATTCGATTAAAAGTGTCATTATATAATTAGTAGTAAAGTCAGTATAGAAATATAATTGATAAATCTTAAAATTAAGATGAATTTTTATGGTGATCGAATTCATATTACCTCAACAATAAAAAATAAATCAGATGCACTCCTACAATCAGAACAAAAGAAACGATGGGTTGTTTTTTTTAGTGCAGGAAACGAAGGACAAATAAAACTTTAATTTAAATCAGAGTATTTATTTTACTGATCGTTTTATTTGATACACGACTAGATCAAGTGTTAATGTAACTCAGCTATTGACTTCATGTTTATTTACCCGGACGCAATCACACATTCGTGTATGACTGAAGCATCAAAGTAACATAACAGTTTGCTAGATGAAATGGGAACCAGGAGTGTAGAGCTCAACATCACTGAACTACCAAGTGTATTTTTTAAATTGTCTGCTAATTAAACAAAAAGACTAGTCATTCAGTCGCAACGTAGAACCTGGTAAGTATGTACATCGGTTCAAGTTACCATATCTCATTATTACACAGATAAAATAGATTGTCAAGCCAAATCATAGAATAGGAGAGGTAGTAACAGTATCAGTGGTGATTACATGTCGAATATACCACAAGAAAAGAAAACATAAATTAGTGAAAGAAGACAGTTATGAGAAATTCAGAAGCTCAGAATTCGAGGCAAGACAAATAATGGATGCACCTGCTCCGCTCGAAGCGATTTCGAGCCATTTCAATCGAAGTATCTAACCATTGTTTATGACTATTATTATTACTGATGATTTTATCCAATATTATATAATCACCCCAATCCCAACAAACTAGTCTACATCTATTAACATGGTTCAATCCTCAATGACTTCATCCACCAGTGACATGTTTTGGTTTGGCAATATAACACGTGTCCTAACCACCTCAGTTGATGAAGGTTCGATAGACACCTCGTCAGTCAACTTATCATCCTTATTTAGTTTTAGTTTTGCCACTCCTAGTCTTCTTTCAGCCTAGTCATACAGCAGAAAACATTGTACGTTCGCGTACAATGTACATTTGTGCAGCTTGATAGCATAATATTTGAGAAGTCGTTCCATTAAATTCTATGTTTTTGATGTTTCAATAAGAACTATAAATTTAGTAACATTTGTATAACATTTAGTGTTTTCTCAGGGTTAAAAATCGGATATTTTTGAATTCCACTGAAATTATGAACCGGTCAGATCTAGACAACCATTGAACACCTGGAAGCACTGAAAAACTATTTCGTCCTACTATGGGTCTGTTAGGCAGTGGGTATCCAAAAATCTGAAAACGAAGATCAAACACAAGATTGATTGAAGTTACACTTTTAAAAAATTAGACATCGGCTCAGTGATCCAGAGGTTAGTCGTTCGCACACAAGACCAAGGGTCTTTGTTTCTATCGCTTATGGAGTCGTGGAGTCGCACCACTGAAGAGTTCCATACTAGGATGAAATGGTTGTCCAGTGCTACAGGTTTTCAATAGTTGTATAACTTTGATCGATTCATGATTTCAATGAAATTCAATATTATATCTACGAGCTACTTTTGACATGATCGTTATTAATCTGAGTTTGCCTGAGTAATAATAAACTAATAAGTAAAGTAATCACATCTGATTTGTTTGATTTTTGTTTTCTCTTTTGTAAGCTGGTTAGAGTTCATTATATCATTATTCTTTCCAATGGAAGCTAGTTCATGAAAAATACCTACCTGGTAGTTCAATAACAGCCTTGAGAAAAGAAACTCAACCAATGTTTACTATAGTACATACCATATCAAGTTCGTTTGTTAGTAAATTAAATTCATTTTGAGGAAATGGCCAGTTATTCTCTTTAAAAGTCTTTAGTATATTCGCATAATCTTGATACCAACATAATTTTGACCGCCACTTTTTATACTTATCAAGATTAACATCCTTACGCAGATTATTTAAAGAATCATTATCGATATATTCAAATATTATTTCAATTAATTTTCTATAAGAGAAAAAAGTTAAGCAAAAAATTAGAGAGTAGTTATAAGTCTTGATTAAACAAAGAAACACGTTTATATTCATGTGTTTCTAAAAATTCAGTAGATAAACTATGTTTGGTTATTTTTCCACTTAGTTTTTCTACAATGTCACCATTTAATAGTCGTTCATAGAATTACATTGACTGAAATTTCACTTTCTCGTAAAGCTGATTATAAGAAACTCGTCAATAAGATTCTTATAAAGTTCATTCTATTTTACGTAAAGCTGCAATCATAAGTAACTTTATTCAGTTATATGAATGATAAATTATTTATGAATTACGTAGAGTTCTAGTGAGAAACCACGGCCAGTGGAGTTCAACAGCGTCTGTTGTGCGACAGTTACTCACTGAAGAAAATTTTGGATGGTCGCACAATATCGTGGATTGGTTGAGGTTATAAATGAAAATCATCTAATGCCGGTTCAGTGGCCTGAAGGTTATGCGTTCGTGCGCGAGACTGAAGGTCCCGAGTTTGAGTCCCACGTGCGAGATCGTGGATGCGCACTGTTGAGGAGTCTTATACTAGAACGAATCAGCCGCCCAGTGCTTCCAGATTTTCAATGGTGGTCTAACATTGATCCATTCGTGATATGAATTTAAACTCAACAATCTCCACAACCCTAAACTGTTATAAATAATGGTTGATTATAATAGACCAAAGTTAAAATATGAATGGCTTATACTTTGAACAACTATTACCAAAGATAAAACAATCAATTCCTTTCATTTTCTTGTAATGTATACATATATCATTTCTCTCAAGGTTTTAAATTTATTACTCATCAGGTTAAAAGAAATAATCCAATAACTTTTGTTTAGTTGAGTTGATACATCACGAGGACATCGTATCTCTTTTGCAAGACTCCATAGATTTGTTGGCTTTGGTCACTATAAGGTATAGGTCATAACTTCAGTCAACGGAGACCATCAAATAAGTTTCTTTTGTCTTTTGCTTAAATACTGGTAACTGATGCCTTACGACTTGGATTCACTTTCAGTTCCGCTCAATAATTATTTTGTCTTAACAATTGAAGCGTTTATTACTCAAATATATTTATGATTTACAATCAGATATTCCGTTGTTAGCGTTCCGTTGGTATGTTATCTAGAAATGAGAATGGTTGTACAAAACCTAAATAAAGGTACGTTTAAAAACATTTATTCATATTTTGGTACAAAAATGTATCTTTAATGAAAGATAAAACAATCACATCATGAGCTTACTTCTCAATTATGAATAGTGCATTTCTTAGACTTTTTTCATATTGTTCAAAATTAATTGCTAATGGATTGAATAAACGAATCTCAGGGGATTTTGTACACTTCTTTTTATTCACATATGCTACTGGTAGGGTTTGTTTTAATACTTCAGATACAACATGATGTCTTAATGCTGGTATATATGTTGGACGTAGACGGACTGTGAATGATTTTAGGAGATCAGTTAGACGAAGCTTTTTTGCAGCTAAACCATTATGAGATAACCAGTTAGGAATTGTACAACTAAAAAAAAACAAAATATAACCAAGCATTCAGTTTTGTGGAATTTTAAGATTTCCAACCGTTTAGTTAAGATGGTGGTTTTCGATGATACTGTATAGCTAAACAAACATTAGAAGTCAGCTAGTTCTTCATAGATGTTTTGTCCTAATTTGGGAATTCGTAGAAGTGGATACTTACGAACCCATGCACGGAATATAGATTATAACTTTCAAAATTTGATATGGGTATAATGCTTTGAATCAATTAAGTCATAATTTAATTAGCCAAATCTCCAACTTCAGTTGATTTGTGATACTAAACAACGATTATTCATTTATCAATGAACGTGCATAACTCACTCTTAACACGTTTGAACACCATGAGTCACAGATTCCCACTAGAACATTAAGAATCCATCTCAATATTAATCAATAGTTATAGCAAACTATGATTGAACAATAACACCAGACTTAACATTTTAGCTGAAAACAATTAGCTACATTGTTTGTCGAATAACAATATGTTTGAAGATTGATTATAATTTGATCTTATTCGTCATTCATCATAATTGGCAAATTACAAATGACCTTTACATTGTGGTATCCAAATTTGATGAAAATCTTTTTCATAGTTGAAAGCGTGAGTCAATTGAAGCTAGACCACCAGGGAAAACCTGGAAAAACACTGGACTCACGCTTTCAACTATGAAAATACTAAATCTCCACAAAAGCACCCCTTATGAAAATCTTTTTTACTATAAGCTAATAATAAACAAATGAAATACATGAATATTACTCATTTAACACTGTTTATTTTAATGGTCACTCTATTGATGTAAGTTGCAATACCAAAATGTCAACTTGTCTAAAACACATGAATTCCTACCTGTTTTTATTCAAAAACCTTAAATAATGTAAAGAAAAAATAGATGGAAAATGGCAACTGTCGTTGAATGTCTGTTGCAGCCTCTTACGGTGCCAATGCAATAATGGTCTGTAGTTTCATTAACGTTATTTTATATGCTTGAACTGATTAGATAGAATATAACATTTAATTTCATCCTGTGTCTGTCATACAGATAACTTTTAAAAATTGAAATTTAAACATTTTTATTGCTCATTTTGGATATTATAAGACATTTTTATCAGCGATTCTCTATTTCCTCTTTCTCGTTCCGAAAGCTAATTGATAATAATTGTCGACTGATGATCACATGCCAATAAGGATTTATTGATAAAGCCTTCTCAAAGCATCGATAGTGTTTCTTAATCCAATTCACAATATGGCATCATTACGACTATTTTTAGTCAAGGTTTTTTATCCAGATAACCTGCAAATTCTGTTGAGTATAAGACTATTGTTCATTTCTTTAAACTAATTCACAGGCTTTAACCTTATCAAGGCCAATAATGTCGGAAATAGTAAAAATATACTTACATTACATCTGACCCCTGACTTGAACTGACTTTCTGCTTTGTTTTATTGAGAAGTATTTCGTCTGTTATATTGTTGAGTAGAAAAAGAGTTAGGGAAGTATTATATATATATATATATATATATATATATATATATATGTTTGAAATACATCAATAATGATATTAATATTATTAATAACGGAAGCTGGCTACTGACTTTCCGGGCTCACGTAAGGGAATGGAGGGAATTTTGAGAAAGATGGATCAATAGTGATATGACGGGAAGAAAAGTCAAAATTAGACTTGTTATATCTCGTGGATAATTACCAATGGGAACTTTGAGAACTATTTACGGACCAATGTGATATGTATATTTCCTATTGTATAATAGTTAAGTAACTGAACTTTTCATTGAATAAGAAAAAGAGAATTCAGCGAAGAAAATTTTTTCTTTTCGACGAAATCATTTACTTAAGCTGTACATTCGTATATATAGTGATATGGAAAATATATGTCTATAGGAGGCTAGAAAAGATTGCATTATAAATTGATTCGACAATAAATAACAAATGAGGTGACGTACTAATCAAGGGGTAAGGAAGAAAATAATTTATGGGTCAGATAATAGTTCAATTGACAGATATGAAGAAGAGCGACAAACACAAAGGTCATAATAATAATAATCTGAGTAATAATCAAGGTAATAATAATAACTGATTAGAATTCAAATGTAAAATAGTAAATTAAAAAACAAAAAACCGATAATAATCAGATAAAAGTGTAAAACAAAAAAAAACGTACCCAATGAGGGAATTAGGGCCAAGGAAGGGTAAGAGGTTGGACCCATAAATTATTTTCTTCCTTACCCTTTGATTAGTACGTCACCTCATTTGTTATTTATTGTCGAATCCATTTATAATGCAATCTTTTCTAGCCTCCTATAGACATATATTTTCCATATCACTATATATACGAATGTACAGCTTAAGTAAATGATTTCGTCGAAAAGAAAAAAATTTTCTTCGCTGAATTCTCTTTTTCTTATTCAATGACATTGTGAGTTTAGTTATTGAACTTTTCATATTCGTATTCCACTTATCATAAGCTTTATTTTGACCAACGAACTGTTATTATGCGATTTACCATTCTTGAGTTATTCCCAGTCCATTAATTACTGTTCCCCCTACTCACAGCCACATTTGGCCAAATCTTGTACAACAGTTATTTTCTATTTTATGGTACGAAATGGTCAGTTTTTTTGGTATATAAACTCAGTATGTTTGAGAATAATGATTCATATTGCAGAGGCTGTTATTCGTGTTCTCGACTTAACTGGCTGGGCTAGACAGATAGCAGGACCAAGTAGTGCTCAAGATTGCTCATATGGCTTTTGTGTATCATTGCTCTGATCGATAAATCACTGCTCTCCAATAGGCGGTCTTATCACGTTCATATATTAACTGGGCACTCAAGCACTCACCAGATATAACAAGATTGATTTACTCATTATGGTTTTTGTTCACCATTCATTTCGTTCTAATTCAATGTGATAATTACTCAGTTTAGTATTTTTTTTCTCATATGACATTTTGTTCTTTATATCATACAATATTCTTGTAATAAAATGAACTATGCTCAGCATGACGCGCAGCGTGTGATTTGTTACAACCCTAAGTACTTTTCATATATGTGATTTCATTCTCATTATTAATCAAAATGGGTGTGTAATCAATATATGAATAAGTGTATTTTCGGCTAAAGTCAACGTCGTCGTGTTTTGGGGTTAACAAATCTTCACTTGTACCAGTTTTTGTATTCTTACTTTCGCGTCGTGAGGATTGCAGTGGTTTTTCATTTTCAAGTATAAGTGATAAGCGATCCCGATATAATAATCAGTGACGACCAGATATAAGAAGTAACGTTCAATTAGAAGACTTATCAAATAGCAGTCTGGATGGATCGTCTCAAGGTCAACAGTGATCGTCAGGAGTATAACTGGTCAAGTCTGGGACACTCAGTTACAGATGAAATAGTAGACGGAAAACAAACAAAATAAGAATCGTGATTGGCAACTATGACTCGTGATATTGATCAGCATCTAAAGGCCCAACAGGCTTCAGTCAGGCACTTTAAATTATAGTCATAAATCAGTGATTCAGTGATGTTTTGAATTGACTATCCTTAACGCTTTTGGAATTACTGATCACAACAATCGACATGGAATAACAGAACAGGTATAAGTATATATTTGTATTATCCTTTTATAGCTGGATACTTTTGACTAGAAACTGCTTTAAATATTCAGATGGAGTTTCGCTTTCACTGATACACTTGGTTTAACTCCTTGGAGTACAAAACGCATAACAAAAGTTCTTGTATTTGCTCAAACTCTGTAGAAGTTTTTTTATTTGCATTAGTAATTATAAATGATATTACCTTTTCTTATTTATTACTAATCAAAATGTATTACTTGTAGTTTAACTCTCAAAAAGACTGAAAGATAAGGCTAGAAGAAAAAACATAAAGTGTTCATAAAACAGCCAATATCGAATAAATTAGACTTTTCAAATAAACACTAATTAATGAGATTAATGCAACTGTGTATTCAAGGGCGATATTTTAAATTCACTATTGTTTACCTGTTATAGCCTTATTGAACCGTTGACTTTGTCTTTCTAGTAATTGTTTAGTTTCATATAGAAGAAAATCTTTCTCATCCAAAGACGTTTTATATAAATTTTGTAAATTTGGATAATACGTATCTGTTAAGATATGAAAGACATTTGTAAGTATCTGTGTATATACATGAAAGTCACTGATCAATAATATTTATTTGCAAATCATATTTTCATGAGTACTCCTAATCATTATGAAGTATTCAGTATTAAGTCTTATTAATTATATAAATCCTAAATGCTGATATAATTATTGAATAAATTCATGCCAAATCATTTCTTTCAAACAATGTCAGATTAAAGCGGTTGTTATGTGAATGAAGAAACTTAAATGGGGGAAGAAATAGCGATATTTTGTTTGAACTTCCTAATACTTTTTAAAAAATGTAACTTATTGAACTGAAAGATACAAGGAAACTTGATGTTAATTTATCACAGACATTTCGTTGAAGTTTTTCACAACTCGTGTAGTCATTTAAAGTAATAATTTTCATTTGAATGGTAACCAAAGCAACGTAACAATGACTGACACTTCAAAAGTGACCACTGAAGAGTATTCTGATAGCTCATAGAAGTTCAGTTGTTCATTAAAGTGATAGGAATCTAATGAAAGTCGTTAATTTATTCAAGTGATTTGTTTATCTGTATTAACTATCAGTTCCAATTTACATCTGAAAAATTTCGAACTCATGAAGAACTCCTGAAGTCCAATTTAAAAAAATACGAAATACCATTTATTATTTCTTTTGTTCAGAAACAAAATAACATACACCTTGTATCGATCAGTAAGAGAAGAAAAAGTGGTGTTAAGACAGAAACAATGATTAAAGTGGCACTTATCATTCATCAAAATGACAGTTTACAAAATTAAAATCAAAAATTTTAGTGTAATGTAGAACATTCTTAAGATGCATGAATGACTCTTGCATATAGACATTAAAATCATTTTTTAAAAATTTTATTGTCTACCCTAATCTACATACTGGTATCGTTAATTCTGAAACGTTTACATTACAAATAATTGAAAAACAGGAAAAATCTCGATTTACCATTGAACATTTTCTCAACAAATTTCTTTTTTACTGTTGACTGTGGATGCTTAATTATGTTCGAATGATTATTTAAAACTGTTGGATAGCGTATAAATTCAGCTGGATTATTCGTAACAGTAGAAACAATAGAATTAGTTGTAGTATTCCATTTAGATTGTTTATGTTTTTGTGAACAAGTTGAATTTGTTTCAGAATTTATTGTATCAGTTGATTTAACAATAGAATGTGATTTCTTTGATAGGATGGATTGATTTTTTTCAGTTAATTCTAATTGTTTATTTTCTTTTTGAAAATGTTTTACTGTTGCTGTTGTTGTTGTTGCTGTTTCCTTATTGGCTTTCATACGTAATAAATAACATTCATCTTTTAATTGAGCTAATTTTTCTAAATTATCCAAACCAATTTGATATTCATTTTCTAATAATCTAACATCTTCACTCTGAATTGATATTATTGAATGAATCAACATTTCGGGTAGATGGAAGCGATAATAAAATATATTGAAAAAAGAAATTGGAAGTTAATAGTACATAAATAAAAATAAACTAATTTCACGTTGATTTTTGTATCATTCCATTTGTTTACCTGATTTGCATCAAGCCCATTTGATTTATATTGCCGTTTATTTTCTTTGTTGATGGTGTAAATCATATTCTGTTAGGTATATGTGATTTTGGCACTCACATTTAAAACCACACAATTATTGTAAAGTAAGTAAGTTGGAACCGTTCTTCAATTGTAGGCCTTAATATTGGTTCATCTAATTCAATTTAGTTGATCAGATAATATTGATATCCATTAAGAAAAGCGTATAGCTTACAGGCAGGTTTATATTACCTTATACTTAGTTACTAAGTTTTTCATGTTATAAAAGGTTTCTGTTACATTTTTTATGCGGTAATCCTTCAGAAACTTGACGCAACCAGATCGTTTAAAGAGTGTGAATGAATGTCGACTCAAAAGAAGAAAATAATACTTTGCTGAAAACTGATTTTTTTGCATACATACATTTTTCATATGAACATACTACTTAAAAAAGTTGTAATTCATAAAACATGGTTACAATTATTTACAAATTGGATTTTATATCATATAAGTTTAGTGTCATTTACAGTTAAGAATATCTCAATAGAATTGCTAATTTTCACAAGGTGTTTGGTGTAGTCTACATAAAATGAACATATAACGAAGATCTAGTATCCTATAATTCATTATCTCAATATGATCAGGAAAAAAACGTTAGATAACTGATTCTAATGTTTCAGGTATAAAATATAGTTACATAGGTTATGTCACTCTGCACATTCTGCTAAGAATATCATATATCTCATGGTTATTTTTGTATTTTTTATTAACATAAAATTCAAATGTAAAATTGCAAATTTTGACATCCAGACAAAACAGTCTATGCAGCTTTGATTTTAAAAGTAATCAAATCGGAAAAGTGCACAATTAACAGCCAATTAACAAATTATTACAAGCAACAAAGTATTTGTTTTTAAACAAATGAGCACACATTTTCAAAAGCAAAGTTAACAAATCACTTTAATTCTTTCTAATTATACCCAAAACATTTTCATCAATAGAGGTCGGGAATCCAAATAACTATGCAATAAATGTCGGCTATTATGAACAAAGATACGTATTTGTAATCAATATCAGTATTGTTCGGTGTTTATTTTCAAATATCTATCGGCTTAAGTGTTTCAACACTGCTGACATTGATTACAAACACGTAGTACTATTCATAACAATGATCTCATCATTTGATAGTTGACTCTGATTCGTGGTGATGAATTTATCTACCTAATTCAAATCGTTATGAATAATTTTCACATGGATTGAAAAGTATACAGATAATTTTCCAGTTGTTTTACTGATTTTTCCAGTAACCTATTGAATGAATTACCAATCATTTGATAAGTATTTTATAAATATTTATAACATGAGATATATATAAATGTAAGAGGATATACTTGTCCAGCTATCTATTAGTCATTGTAGCCTTCCTTTGAGATACTAACAAACTCAATGAATTCAAAATAACTCTCAAAAACAGGATTCCAGCTTGACAATATCTATTCAAGGAAGAGGAAAACGCTATGCAGGACAATTCCAAAAGGATCAAACATGCACTAACTTCAACGTGTCAGGAGCTTCTGAGCTCCAAGAAGAACTATCACAAAGAATAGATTTCTATCGGAACCCTAATCAAGATTCAAGAAAGGAAGAACAAGAAGACAGCAACTAACAACAGTCGAACAAGAACAGAAAACGTCAAGGCACAGGCTAGATACACAGAAGCAAACAAGCAAATAAAGAGGAGTGTTAGAGCTGAAAAGCAGAAATATGTAAAAGACCTAGCAACAACAGCGGAAGAAGCTGAGAAAGAAGGAAATATGAGATAACCGTACGACACAACAAAGAAACTAGCAGGGAAATATAGTAAACCAGAGAGACCGTTCAAGAACAAAGACGGCAATTCGATCACCGAGATTCAAGAACAGAGGAACAGATGGGTAGAATACTTGAAGGAACTATTGGATGAACCGTCTCCATTGAATACACAGGATATAGAAGCAGCATCTACAGATCTTATATATGTTATTCCACCAACGACTGAAGAAGTCAGGATGACCATCGTACAAATCTATATGACATACATTACGGAAATCACCAAACTGAATCACGAGGCAAGCCCTTGCCTGGTATCCTGAAGGGAAACGGAAAAGAGGAAGGCCAAAGAACACACTGAATCGAGAATTGAAGCAGACGTGAAAAGGATGAATAGCAACTGGACACAACCGGAACGGATTACCCAGGACAGAGGTAGATGGAGAATGCAGGTGAGCGACCTGTGCTCCTCTATGAGGAGTAACAGGCGTAAATAAGTAAGTAAGCAATCGTCAGTTCATACTGCATTATTATTCGAAAGATCAAATGGTGTTAACGCGTATACCTAATTACTCTAACATTGAATGGAGGAAACTTACAGTTTTTAGCAGCAAAATAAAACGTTAAATTAGATACATTTATTCTTTAGGAAGTTATGATGATATATACATCAATTTCGAATTTTGTCATGATGCGCCCATATTAATCAACTATTTAATATATCATGAGGTTTATAATGAAGCATGACAACACTTCGGTCTAGTAACTAAGATTTTTACAATTATTATGATATATAATGCGCGGTATTTAGATTGATTAATCAAATAATTGACAAACGTAATTCATACCTCCCATTGTTTTGGTTTATTTACATTATTTGGAAATTCATTGTAATAGTGAAAACGTCCACCACTTTCTTGAGCTAGTCGAATTAGAAATTCATTTGCTTCAGGATCATTACAGTTAAAACTGATTGTGTGAATAGGCACACGATTATTCAATTGCATACTGAGTAGAAGAGTATGCGTTTGTTGATCTGGTCGACCATCTGTTAATAAATAAATTCCTTCAGTTAAATTATCTTCCAAAGCGAATTGAAGTGCTTTTAATGTATTTGTCGTACCACCACATTTTAATTTTTCAATCCATTTTATAGCAGACTGATTTTGATCAAAGAAACGAAAATAATATGTACCAGTAAAATGACAGATTAATGGTAGAAAAAGAAAAAAAACAATATGAACACCGGGAAACGAATCAGATTACGGGACGAATAAAAGACCATTCACATTTAACCATTCTATTTGGAATGGATGTAAAAGGAAATAAGGATAAAACTAATCACGGCATACTATAGCACCTCACCTACACTTAAGTCTGTTTACGTTTGGTTTTGTTAAGCCCTTCAATTATCTTATCTAACAAACAGTCTTATTCGAACAGTAATAACCGGTATATCTTTGTATTATTATTATTATCATTATTATTACTATTATTATTAGTAGTAGTCGTAGTATATATGTATGCTGGACAATATGTTATAACCTACACACATCTCTTACTAGCTAAAATATTACTTGGTTAAATTGCTTTCCTATATATGTGCTTGAATCTTATAAATTCATATGACCCCCAGTTTGCCTCTGTATTACCTTATTCTCTCGCTCGCACCAGCATTTCTGCCTGAATTCTCTTCGGGTGCTTGTGGCTTATTGATCTGGTAAAATGGTAAAATGACTTCACTAAATTAAATACCACATACTCTCTCAATTCCAAGTCCATCATAGTCTCTTCATCCTAGATATCACTTTAAGGTAAATTTTTCGGGTCAGGAACTCTAACACAAACGTCCTCTAAAGGCTTCAATCAGTAACTAAAATAGGTTTGGGAACTGTTCGATCATTACATCAAATTTTAACTTGGGATTTGGAGAATACCAAATAAGTTCAGTTGTTGAACGATTAAATAATAGTATACTTTTTATTATAGCTCTTTTCACTTGGGATTGTACCTTGGTAAAGGTGAAAAATAGTAAGTAATCAACATACAAAACCGACTGTCAGATCAAATCCAATGTTCAGGTCTGATGGGTTTCATAACGGTGTCACTAAAATATTTGAAATGCGCTGGTCACCCAGACAAGCAGATAAAATTGGTCTTAATGAAGCCACCTATGTCCCAATTATGTTTATGTATCTAAAGACCGTAGTCCTGTACATAAATAAACTGAAATATTGTGTACATTAATTTAAATGATAACGAGTCGTCATCATACATAGAGAGACAAGCCATCGAATAACAACAAGTTTGTCAACGTTAATTTTTTCAACAAAAAATGAAATGAATAAAATCAAGTAATAGAATTTCATAAGCGCAGAGAATAATTAATCCATACTAATCAAATAGACGGTTACGTTGACAATGATCCAATGAAATCAGGTAGAAATTGTGTTTCTAGATTATTTGAAAAAAGTTGGAATCACTGCAAAACTCTTACATCGTGAAAAATGCGAAAAAAATTATTCTATTTGTCTTTGAGGAAAAATGACTCTTCTTACAATTTTATTAAAAGTTGTCTGTTATGATATAGATCATTTTATCAAGTGGATAGGGGAATTATATGAACCAGCAATTCGTTTAACTAGTAAACTGAAAGACGTTAATAAAATCAGCAGAAGAGGTTCAGAATCATGTTGATGAGATATTTCAGAATACATGTTTTAAAATACATTTCTTTTCATTGTAGAACTCTAGTTATGTGGTCAGTAACCTACTATAAATTTCAAATCACTATTGACTTTTAGTTGATAAAATAAACTATGAAATAATTCAAAACAGTATATATTAAAACAATAATAAAAGTAAATTCAAACATAGAACAGAAAAAGATTATTTAAACGGAAAGGAGTAAAAAACTAGGAATATTTCGACATAAGCTATAACTAAGAAAATGTTCAGAATCTAAGCGAAAACCGTTTATCTAAACGACGTGTAAATTTTGTTTAATATCTATATCTAAACTATAAATTTATATAAGCTGTTTACTAAAGTTGAATAACAAATACCAAAACAAACTTTCCATCCTACCTGAGACTAATTAGCTGTTCATATTGGGACTAGGACAAGAGTACATTTTGCTTCAAACGCCAAAGCTTCGTCAATTGAGCTACTTAATTCAGACAAACAGTTATTAGCTTGTGCAAAGATTATGAATATCATTTATAAGGGTATGCATTTTTCAGTTGTCTGCATTAAAATCTATAGTCGAAGCCAATATAAACTATTCAATTACAGACCTTAACATAAACAAAGTTAAGATACAAACCCATACAAATAATTATTTCTTTAATATCACATTGAAATATAAAAACTAAACAAAACCTACATTTAAATTACACTCCGTTGTACTTTGTAAATGATCATGCCATGCATTGACATTTGAATTGAATGCGATAAAATTAAGACGATTTTTATATTTCAACTGTTCATAAATTAATTGTAACAATTTTTCTTTAACAAATTTTATACTAGATAACATTGATGTACTGGTATCAATTAAAATATATACCTATTACACAACAAATAGAAAAATGAATTAATATAATTATTTCCATAGTTGCAAGCGTGAGTCGATTGAAGCTAGACCATCAAGGAAAACCTGGAAGCACTGGACGGCCGTTTCGTCCTATTGTGGGACTCCTCGGCAATTCACATCCACGACATCGCCTCGCAAGATTCGAACCCAGGACCTACCAGTCTCGCGCCAGGGCACTTGACCAATAGACCACTGAGCCGGTATCCCATAGTGTTTATGTCTAACTCCAACCGATCCACGAAGTTGAGCGACCGTTCACCAATTTTCTTCAGTGAGCTCCTATCTCACAACAGACGTGGTATGAACTCCACTGGTCACTGCTCCTCAATAGAACTCCAGGATTTATCTCTTGAAGTCGGTCACTAGTGAGCATATGAGGTCGTGGATGCGCACTGCTGAGGAGTCCCTTAATAGGACGAAACGGCCGTCCAGTGCTTCCAGGTTTTCCTTGGTGGTCTAGCTTCAATTGACTGACGCTTGCAACTATGAAAATACTAAATCTCCACAAAACCCTTTCTGATAATAATATAATTATTGTTAATCACTTTATAGAAGAATAGTAGACTTGCATTTTTTTAATGACGAGTTTTGTGAACAAATATCTATGATTAAAAAGAAATTTTCATCATTGATGTTAGCTCAGTTACCAATTAATTGATCAGAATCATCTTAGAGATTACCTCACTTGTACTTCAGCTCAAGTTGTCACATTAAAACATAAACATTGGGATAACACGAGGGATAAAGTGTATGAAATAATATGAAATCATAAAATTCGGTGTGAAATAAAGCAAGAGGGTGATCAATTTTCAGCCATGTTTACGACCGCTGGTCACATATATCGCTCGGACTCTAATGAGATAGTTTCCATCTCCTATGATGACTTAGACTAAAACTCAATCACTTCGTGAACCGATGCTATGTGTTGATTTGACCGCTTCTATCTTTGTTTAAACCTACTTCAGCCAACAATGCACATCGACGTAGGCAATAGTAAGGCATGAATTGATTTTAAATGGTAAGAAAAGACAAACTAGGAAGTACTGAGCAATTACTTTGTCATCTTATTATTTACCAATCAAGATGCCAACAACCACAAACCAAAATATGATCTATGACGTCTCGTGACAAGCAGACAACCTTCGAGTAACTGAGTCGAAAACCAGTGAAAATAAATTTTGTATTATGATTAAATGGTAGAAAATCACTTTGACATAAAAGTGATTGTTTGGTCATTAGTGACTAACTTTTGAGTGAATTTCTGAAAAGTCTAGAAAACATGTGTGACCAGTGAAATCAAGGTAGTCAAGTGTGAAATAAAATCCAACGTACTATATTGGATGAGTAGTGCATTACTGTAATACAAATTGAATGAACCTAAAACTGCACCCTAGCTTTCAGACCTGGTATTACAATTTATCTTATTTAAGTTGAACTAGTTATTTGCAATCAACGGTATCCATGCTGTTTCAATTTTATGAATATCAACTCTCACTAACAAGGTTACTTACCTACGCCTGTTACCCTCATGGAGGAACATAGACCACTCACCAACACTCTCCATCCAACTATTTCCTGTGCAATCCTTCCCAGTTGCTATTCATCCTTTTCATACCTGCTTCCAATTCTCGACATAGTGTGTCCTTCAGCCTTCCTCTTTTCCTTTTCCCTTCAGGAATCCACGCGAGGGCTTGCCTCGTAACTCAGTTTGATGATTTCCGTAGTGTATGTTATATCCACTCCCAATGTCTTTTCCTACTTTCATCTTCAGATGGAAGCTGGTTTGTCCTCTACCACAGTAGGTTGTTGCCGATGGTATTTGGTCAACAGATATTGAGAATCTTGCGTGGAAAATGGTCTACAAATACTTGTACTTTTTGATGGTGGTTGTAGTAGTTCTCCTAGCTTCAGCTGCTTACAGTATGACTGTCTGGATGTTTGTGTTGAAGATTGTGACTTTGATGTTGGCTGGCAGTTGTTTCGAGTTCCACGTGTTCTTTAACTGTAGGAATGCTGTCCTTGCTTTGCCACTCCTCGCCTTTACGTCTGCATCGGATCCTCCACGTTCATCGATGATACTACCCATATAAGTCAAACTTTCCACCTCACCAACAAGACGTATCAGTAAATGAGAATGATATCACTGAGAGAATAAAAGTTGCTTATAAGTATGAAATTTATATCATTTAAAGTATTAAGATTTATTATCTGAAAATTAACAAAATATTAATAATATGCTCAATTAAATTCAACTTTACATCATTTTGTATAGCTGGTTTAACAACAATACAAGCTTACATTGTCTTCTGTTATGGTTCCAAATAATTCCCTTGAACCTTGTCTTAATAGATCTAAACGATGTTTAATAGCATTTAATCTAGAATGCATACGTCGAGAGTATGAACGATACATTTCAGGTGTAATTTGCACATGAACTATATTACCGTTTTTCCATCGAACATGTACAAAATTGCTACAATATTGAGCATTGATCAACTTTGGTTGAATAATCTTCAAAATGAGCATAAGTTTTGGAAAGTATAGAAAAAAACAATAAATCATTTACTATATTGAAAAATTATCTGTCAATTGACCGCATAAGGCACTTTTAATAAAATGATAACTAATATTATGAAAGAATTCTTTGTATTGATCAGTGTCTCGTAATACAACTACAAGGTCAAGTAACTCGGTGTTATGATATGTCATGACTGTGATTATATGAACAATAATAATCATTTGTACGGTTCATGTTAAGAAATGATGAATATCAAGAAAGTCAAACATAAATTTAGTCTTATGACCTGAATATTAGTATCATCAAAGTAAAAAAAAAGGTCCTGTCGATAGACTTTGTAACAAATTAGTGGGCATATCAGGTACGAACATAAATCTAACGGCATGATCGCAACGACCTCCAACTATCTAACAACTCTTTACTTACTTACTTACTTTCGCCTGTTACTCCCAATGGAGCATAGGCCGCCGACCAGCTTTCTCCAACCCACTCTGTCCTGGGCCTTCTTTTCTAGTTCTTTCCAGTTCTTGTTCATTCTTCTCATGTCTGTCTCTATTTCTCGGCGTAATGTGTTCTTTGGTCTTCCTCTTCTCCTTCGACCTTCAGGATTCCATGTGAGGGCTTGTCTTGTGACACAATTGGGTGATTTCCTCAAAGTGTGCCCAATCCACTTCCAGCGCTTCTTCCTGATTTCTTCCTCCGCTGGAATCTGGTTTGTTGTCTCCCACAGTAACTTGTTGCTGATAGTGTCTGGCCATCGGATCCGAAGTATCTTGCGTAGACAGCTGTTAATAAACACTTGTATCTTCTGGATAATGGCTTTCGTAGTTCTCCACGTCTCTGCCCCATACAGAAGAACTGTCTTGACATTTGTATTGTAAATTCTAACCTTGGTGTTGGTTGACAATTGTTTTGAGCTCCAGATGTTTTTCAGCTGTAGGTATGCTGCTCTTGCTTTGCCGATCCGCGCCCTCACATCTGCATCTGATCCACCGTGTTCATCAATGATGCTGCCCAGATATGTAAAGATTTCCACATCCTCCAAAGCTTCTCCGTCAAGTGTAATTTGATTGGTGCATATTGTATTGTATCGGAGAGTCTTGCTTTTCCCTTTGTTTATATTGAGACCTACTGCTGCTGAGGCTGCTGCTACACTGGTCGTTTTCTCCTGCATTTGTTGTTGCGTTTGTGATAGAAGAGCCAGATCATCCGCGAAGTCTAAATCGTCAAGCTGCATCCTGCCTGTCCACTGTATCCCGTGCATTCCTCCAGATGTTGACGTCTTCATAATCCAGTCGATCACCAGGAGAAAGAGAAAGGGTGAGAGTAGGCAACCTTGCCTAACACCGGTCTTTACTTCAAACGAGTCGGTGATCAGAAGTCCTTTTTTCCAGTCTATTGGTACTTGTTCTTCGTCCCAAATCTTACTGAAGAGGATGTGGAGTATCTTGGCAGTTGCTGCTACATTTGCTTTCAGTGCCTCTGCCGGGATGTTGTCTGGTCCCGCTGCTTTGCCACTCTTGACTTGTCTAATGGCCATGCTGATCTCTTCAATTGTTGGTGGGCCAACATCGATTGGGAGGTCTGTGGGTGCTGCTTCGATGTTGGGTGGGTTCAGTGGGGCTGGTCGATTCAAGAGTTCTTTGAAGTGTTGTACCCACCTGTTTCGTTGTTCTTCAGTGTCGGTGATTACTTTGCCTTCTTTGTTTTTCACTGGTCTTTCTGGCTTACGGTAATTTCCAGCAACTTTCTTTGTTGTATCATACAGTTGTCTCATGTTTCCCTCTCTTGCAGCCTTTTCCGCTGTCACCGCTAAATCTTCCACATATTTACGTTTGTCGGTTCTGATGCTCCTCTTCACTTGCTTGTTTGCCTCTGTGTATTCGGCTTGTGCCTTCGCTTTTCCTGCTCTTGTTCGGCTGATATTGATTGCTGCCTTCTTGTTCCTTCTTTCTTCAATTTTATCCAGTGTACCAACAGTGATCCATTCCTTGTGATGGTGCTTCTTTTGGCCCAGAACCTCCTGACATGTTGAAACGATTGCCTCCTTGATACCTTTCCAGCTGCTCTCTATGGTGGTTCCCTCTCCATTGAGTAGGTCATGAAAGGCCTCGAACCTGTTGCTGAGGGCTATGTTAAATTCGTTGAGTTTGTCAGCATCTCGAACAAAGGCCGTGTTAAACTTTTGTGATGTTGTCCGCGCCATTGTCCAGTGCTTCTTGAGTTTTAGTTTCATCTTGGCGACCAGCAAATGGTGATCGGATGCTATATCAGCTCCTCTTCTGGTTCTCACATCCTCCATCGTCCTCCTGAACTTTTTGTTGATGCAGATATGGTCGATTTGATTCTGTGTAGTGTGATCCGGTGAAATCCAAGTGGCTTTGTGTATGTTTTTGTGTGGGAATATGGTGCCACCTATGACCAGTTTATTGAAGGCACATAGGTTTGCAAATCTCTCACCATTTTCGTTCCTTTATCCCAGTCCATGTTGTCCCATGACGTCTTCGTATCCAGTGTTGTCCTTTCCAACCTTGGCATTGAAATCTCCCATTAGAATGGTCAGGTCCTTGGTTGGGCACTTCTCGAAGATTGACTGCAGCCTATCGTAGAATTGGTCTTTAGCGTCTTCATCGTAGTCGTTGGTCGGCGCATAGCATTGGATGATGTTCATTGTAATGCCCTCTCTCTTTGTTTTGAAGGAGGCTTTGATGATCCTCGGTCCATGAGATTCCCATCCTATAAGTGCATTTTGTGCTTTTCTAGACAGCATCAGTGCCACTCCTTGTGTATGTGGGGCATTTTCTTCTTCATGACCGGAGTATAACAGAAGTTCCCCTGAAGACAGTCGTTGTTGTCCAACCTGCGTCCAATGTGTTTCACTGATTCCAAGCACTTCCAGGTTGTATTTCCTCATTTCCGCAGAAATTTGGAAGACTCTGCCGGTCTCCCACATTGTCCGGACATTCCATGTACCTATAAAAATTGTCGCTCTGGTTGTAAGAAGGTGCATCGGCCTCATGACTTCCGAAGGAACTCGGCTTTCATCATGAGACGTCATTTTTCCTTCTACTCCCAGGGCAGAGTTTGAATGGTTTGAATGATTTTTTCTGGTTAGCGTTTTTTTAGCGAGTTGATTTTCTACGGGATGGGGTCGCTAACCCCATGCCCAACCCTCCTCCTTTACCCGGGCTTGGGACCGGCAGTAGCCCCTGGAGGAGCTACAGGCGGAGTTTAACAACTCTTTATTTAACTATAATTCTTTGCAATTGAGGCTAATAGGCACCATCTATTCTTCGACTACATTAGCTTTTTTCTGATTTTTTTCAACACGTTATTATGACTTACTCTCTCTCTCCCCGTTTAGATGTTTAATTATTAGCAACTTAAGCTATTACATATTTGCGTCAGATTTTAACCCGTTTGAAACTGTCTTTCTGTCAGTCAAAATAAATCGTAATTAAGTATTACAAACCAAGGTTATGTTGCAGTATTCATCATAAAATTGAGAATCATAGCTCACTTGTAAAATGTAAGGATATATTACTTCAAACCTAGCACTCAGTCAATGATAGAAACCTGTTTTTCTAAAGCAGAATTCAAGAATGGCATATTACCTTTATTCGTAACATATTTACAGTATTCTGCACATAATTTAAATCATGTATTAATAATCGTTATTGGCATTTATCATGGATGATAAATAATATCAATACTAGGAACCACATTTTACTATACGAGTGGTACATTACATGAGGTAATGAAATAATTGTATGTGACTAGAAATTTATTGACTAAAATTAATCCATTAACAATAGGTAACATCAGTATAACTTACTGCACTTGAAGACCATATTTGTGAAGAATCTTTTGAATCTGTTTCCGAATGATTGGATTTTCCACAATCCTCATAAATCTTATTACATTCTCTGTCCATTGCATCATTATTATTAACATTTAATGGGGGCTTTAAAACATTTACAACTCCATCACAGTGTTTAAATGAAACACTAACTAATAAATCATAGAAATCCAAATGTTGAGCTTTTAAACCATGAATACTTAGCCATTCTTTTGATGACATATACTCTTCACGTTTCCAGCCAAATTCACAACTATTTGTCATAGGTGCAGGTTGACTGCACTCATAATTAGAGTCTGAAAAATGACAATATAAAGTGAAATCGACATTCATAATTAAAAGTTACAATCACTACCATTCTTATTGATCAAATGGTTCATTACTTGTTGGTGATAATGTGAGAATGAAATTGCTATGTTCAAAGTTACGAATTAGTGAGTTAAAGCAATTTTGTTAGCCTTAGACTTATCGTCTTTAAATTATAGCACAGATTTAAGTTATAGGATAATTAAAAATATTAAAAGGGCGATGAATTTAATGAGTCGATGGGTAAGTTTGAAATGGTTAGTGTGTACTCACGTAAAAAAAAAGTCTTGTGTAAATGTAGCTATTTGGATAAACTTGGTTTGAACAAATATGGCCTAAAAGTGATTGTTCACCTATGCACTCCTTCAATTATTTTTATCTCTATATTTGAACCTATATGAAAACTCATCATTTTGAGTTTATACAACTAACACAATACTAAAGTAGAAGAAAGTCTGGCAACAGAAAAGTGAACTAGAATAACGTTGATTGGAATATAATGAACACATTCATAGGAACCTACAGCTGAAAGGGAGTTAAGTCTTCACAAGTCCAGATAACTCGCGATAGTGGATATGAAATGAATGTAAGTAATGGATTCAAAATAACTACTAGAAAAAAACACCAATCTTACTGCGTTGTGAAGAGGAAACGCTATCAAAAGTTCCCGACCTGATATGTGCATACAGAAGGTAAGTTTGATTATCTTTTATCTGCCATGTTGATTATAATGTTCGAAAAAGAACATTTATTACATCCAGATGATTAGTTTCAAATAAGATGACACATGAGTCCTAGATTCCATTGCTAGCCTCTACTTATCTCTGTTTATAATGCTTGTGACTTAACAGGAGTGTAGAAGCAATTCGCAATGGTTGCAAACATGCCAAAATGAGACTGATTAATTGCTGTCCTAAACATAAATGGGAAGGTACAAAAAAAATACAAATGCAAACCTTCATTGATTTTTTAGACCCTCTTGAAGCTAAAGAAACACTGGACAACTGGTGGAACAGCATTACAAAGGTTCAATACAACCTTCCTTCGAAATACTAACAAACTCAATGAATTCAAAATAACTCTCAAAAACAGGATTCCAGCTTGACAATATCTATTCAAGGAAGAGGAAAACGCTATGCAGGACAATTCCAAAAGGATCAAACATGCACTAACTTCAACGTGTCAGGAGCTTCTGAGCTCCAAGAAGAACTATCACAAAGAATAGATTTCTATCGGAACCCTAATCAAGATTCAAGAAAGGAAGAACAAGAAGACAGCAACTAACAACAGTCGAACAAGAACAGAAAACGTCAAGGCACAGGCTAGATACACAGAAGCAAACAAGCAAATAAAGAGGAGTGTTAGAGCTGAAAAGCAGAAATATGTAAAAGACCTAGCAACAACAGCGGAAGAAGCTGAGAAAGAAGGAAATATGAGATAACCGTACGACACAACAAAGAAACTAGCAGGGAAATATAGTAAACCAGAGAGACCGTTCAAGAACAAAGACGGCAATTCGATCACCGAGATTCAAGAACAGAGGAACAGATGGGTAGAATACTTGAAGGAACTATTGGATGAACCGTCTCCATTGAATACACAGGATATAGAAGCAGCATCTACAGATCTTATATATGTTATTCCACCAACGACTGAAGAAGTCAGGATGACCATCAGACAATTCAAGAGTTGGAAAGCAATAGGACCTGACAATATATACCATCTGAAACTCTGAAGTCAAACATAAAAGTAACTGCAAACATGCTTCACGTTCTATTCAGGAAGATTCGGGTGAAAGAACGAGTGCGAACAGACAGCAAAGAAGGACACCTCATCAACATACCAAAGAAAAGTCTGATCAAATGTGAGAAATACAGAGGCATCACATAACTGTCAGTACCAGGAAAATTTTTCAACAGAGTGTTACTGAACCGTATGAAAGACTCAGTAGATAAACAACTTCCAGATCAACAAGCTAGATTCCGTAAGTATCGATCGGGCACAAACCAAATTGCGACAGTACGGATCATCGTTGAACAATCAGCTGAATGGAACTCGTCACTACACATCAACTTCATTGACTAAGAGAAGTCGTTTGACTGTTTAGATAAGAGAAATTTGTGAAAACTTCCTCGACACTGTGGTGTATCTAAGATCATCAACATCATCCGGAATACATAGAACGGATTCAAGTACAAAGTTGTACATGGAGGACGGCTCACAGATGCATTCCAAATGTGAGGCCCGGAGTCAGACAAGGCTGTCTACTCTCCCGGTTCCTCTCTCCTCTGATGGTCGACTGGATTATAAAGACCTCCCCACCTGAGGGGTGACACGGAATACCATGGGCAGCTCAGATTCAGTTAGATTTGGACTTCGCAGACGACCTGGCCATTTTGTCCTATACACACGAACAATTACAGATGAAGACAACTGGTGCAGCAGCAGCCTCGGCATCAATGGGCCTTAACATTCACAAGGGAAAAAGCAAGATCTTCAATCACAGCGCGAAGAGCACCAACCCAATCACACTTGATGGAGAAACTCTGGAAGATGTGGAATCTTTCACGAACCTGGGAAGCATCATCGATGAACGTAGAGCTTATTATTAATATTTTGTTAATTTTCAGATAATAAATCTTAATACTTTAAATGATATAAATTTCATACTTATAAGCAACTTTTATTCTCTCAGTGATATCATTCTCATTTACTGATACGTCTTGTTGGTGAGGTGGAAAGTTTGACTTATATGGGTAGTATCATCGATGAACGTGGAGGATCCGATGCAGACGTAAAGGCGAGGAGTGGCAAAGCAAGGACAGCATTCCTACAGTTAAAGAACACGTGGAACTCGAAACAACTGCCAGCCAACATCAAAGTCACAATCTTCAACACAAACATCCAGACAGTCATACTGTAAGCAGCTGAAGCTAGGAGAACTACTACAACCACCATCAAAAAGTACAAGTATTTGTAGACCATTTTCCACGCAAGATTCTCAATATCTGTTGACCAAATACCATCGGCAACAACCTACTGTGGTAGAGGACATTGGGAGTGGATATAACATACACTACGGAAATCATCAAACTGAGTTGCGAGGCAAGCCCTCGCGTGGATTCCTGAAGGGAAAAGGAAAAGAGGAAGGCTGAAGGACACACTATGTCGAGAATTGGAAGCAGGTATGAAAAGGATGAATAGCAACTGGGAAGGATTGCACAGGAAATAGTTGGATGGAGAGTGTTGGTGAGTAGTCTATGTTCCTCCATGAGGGGTAACAGGCGTAAGTAAGTAAGTATATAAGATATTCCCATCACACGTGAGTATTATTTGAAGACGCGTTGAAGACATAAGTATTACATTGTTGTTAAATTTGCTTTCAAAGCAGATATTCCATAGACTAGAGTGATGTTTAAAAAAATCACAACTCTTTCAAGTTATAACGACAATATCATTACTAGTTCTTTTAACTGGATGTTTCCAAAATGACATCTCATTTAACATCATAGCTGGATGATAAACAATCATAATTTTAGACATTATTTACCCGGCGTAGCCCATTTTGTGGCTAATATTAATTACTCAATCTAAAGCTAAATCTAATGTGCTAGACTATTAATAAAGTACTTTTAGATCTGAATTAGCTATAAGTTATAATTTATACCTTTAAGTACTTCATCAGGTATACGATCAATATCATGTAGTACTTCGTCGATACGTTGTAATAAAGATCGAGCTTCTTCTAACTCTTCAAATATTAATACACAATCTTCATGTTGACCCCAACCTTTAGGTGGACCACCATATTCAACTTTATTAACATGAACTGTTTGTTGAAATTGTTCTACATCCCAACAGCTTGGTGAATATAATGGAATATGTGTATTGATGCAATAAGCATGGAATCTGCCTCAATATTTTTAAAAACAGAAATCGGAAAATTTAGAATGACTGTTGAATCTATAAAACTGTTTCACAATTCATTGAATTTAATGGATTAAATTTAAAAACTTGGATGTATTATCTTGTGGTTTACCTAAATATTTCATTAAAGAGATTGGTAATTGAACCGCCAAGTCGAGTGTTTGACATCTCAACAAATAAATTCACTGAGGTCAGCCACTTGAATTAGTCTTCTAAGCTAATTAATTAAAACGAAAGTATACGGGACCAAATGGATCACCTTCAGTTACTTCATTGTGATATGAGTCAAATAAATAGATTTAGCCAAACCTCAAAGTGTGATAATTATATGCATTGATAAGTAAACTATTACCATTAGAAATTGAGTTCTAATTTACAGGACCTATTAATTGATGTAAGTAGTAATGTATTCCTGCTGTTGACGCCGCTAAATGAAAGCGGTAAGACATTATTTCTGATCCGAATATTAACTTACCTCGAGATATATTATGCTGAATATTGACAACTGTATTTCATTGTATTGTGGAATTTTCATCTCACATTAGTATGTTACCCACATATTGACTTATAATTTTGAATATAAAATTTTTGAAATTAATTACCAACTACGTCTAGTTAACATAAAGAAATCATTGTTACAGACTTATAGATAAATTTACTACAGAACGCATTGGAACGTTCACTCTTTTTTCAAAAAAAATTGAAACTAAGTCAATCAGTTGCAACGTAGAACCTGGTAAGTATGTACATCGGTTCAAGTTACCATATCTCATTATTACACAGATAAAATAGATTGTCAAGCCAAATCATAGAATAGGAGAGGTAGTAACAGTATCAGTGGTGATTACATGTCGAATATACCACAAGAAAAGAAAACATAAATTAGTGAAAGAAGACAGTTATGAGAAATTCAGAAGCTCAGAATTCGAGGCAAGACAAATAATGGATGCACCTGCTCCGCTCGAAACGATTTCGAGCCATTTCAATCGAAGTATCTAACCACTGTTTATGATTATTATTATTATTATTAATGGTTTTATCCAATGTTATATAATCACCATGATCCCAACAAACAAGTCTACATCTATTAACATGTCTCAGTCCAATCTTCAATGATTTCATCCACCAGTGACATGTTTTGGTTTGGCAATATAACACGTGTCCTAACCACCTCAGTTGATGAAAATTCGATAACCACCTCATCAGTCAACTTATTATCTTTACCCAATACCATAAAGGCCCTAAATCTGACTCAATTCAGATTGTATGAATGATTGTTATCGAAGTAGACAAATCGCCAATCCTCGTACGTAATCATCTACTTAAATCGCGTTGGTGAATAACAGTAGGAGAATGGATATTTGAATGTGTATATTTTGTACACTCAATGATTTGAACAGACAATCAGAGGGACGAAACAAAGAGAAGAGAGCGGAGTGAAATGACGTGCAGTGGAGAAGGCGTGTAAGCTAATTCGATTTAACCAAGCGTGAATCGATATTTATAGTCGAACAAAAGTAAGTTACGAACATGTGATGAATAGGATAAGAAGCGCACACCTGTTTGTTTAAATAAAAATAAAGTTGGTAAGCGAATAATTAACAAAATCAAAATGTGACTCAAGAAGAATGAATGAATTTACCTGTCGAAATCTAGGGCAAGCTGCGTGTGCTTAACATAGCAACCGGCACTACACCCTATCCCAAACACAGGCATTACTTGCTCCGTAGTCAAAACTACAAGAGCAACGCTTTGAAGACATCTATGATCGAATAATAGTGACTTATAAATATCCTCTATTCTTAATGGCCATGTTTCACACCCATAAGGTAGAATAAAGTGAACTCGTCTTTTAGTTAGCAGATGGATATCTCACCTACGCCACAAGTAACGTAACTTAGCGAAAGTAAATCAAGCCTTCTGAATCCATGTCAAGATTTCGTCACATACTATACAGCCAGGACTAATGAGACTCCCAAGATATAGGTAAAGCGGTTGATGAGTTCAACTACTTCACTCCCTATTGTTCATTCAGATGATGACAAAAGCTGACCCCGTAGTAACATTTTACATTTGAAGGGAGAGAACCGCATCTCAAACATGCATTGCTGCCTATGATGGTAATAAGACTGCATTTTGTAAGTTCTTAACAGAACTATATCGTCTGGCTATTCTAATTTATTCGATGGGTCTCCTGGTAGAAGGTCAACCCTTGAAAATCCAGATGAAAGTGTTATCTCTAAATGTATGCGTATGACAGAGTTAAATAAAATGGGAAAAGCGGACAACCCAGATGAATACTACTGAAAGTAAGCGATTCCGATGATAGTTCGTCATTATTTCTGACTCGACAAATGATGTTCAAGTAGACATCCTTTATATATATATATACTATAAGTTTTCATATGACCTATTGGCTATTATCACACGACTTACTATCCTTAAGTTATTCCCGATCTATTAATTACAGTCCCTCACACCCACAGCCATTTTCGGCTTGATCCTGTATAATTTTTATCTTTTATTTTATTGTATGATGCGGTCTGATTCGCTTGTATATAAACTGTATATGTCTGAATTACATGATTCATACAGTGGAAGTTGAGATTTGGGTTCTGAACTCATCGGGCAGGGTAAGGTAGGAAGAATCAATGAGGAATCAGAGTTGACTTTAGGCTCCTCGTGCTGGTTAACGCATCATTGGTTTGGCACAGGACCAAGGTCGTAAAAGTCGGCGTCCTGACTGGCGGTCTTGTCACATGATATTCGACGGGCGGTAGAACATAACAATGATATACACTGCCACAGGACCTCACTATCAACACAGAACGCCGCCTTAAGCTCAAGGAATATAAACATAAAACACGACAATAAGCAGAAGCAATGTATGTTTATTACAAGAAGTTACAAAGTATTTACATAATACATTTGCATAGCATTCAATCATCCATTCGCATCGTTTGGTGTGTTCCGCCACCGCCGTGCTTCCGACGCATTGAAAGCGTCAACAACTATTGCAACTTTGACGCAACGTTCAGCTACACACTACGTACAAACATACTTGTGAGTAGCGTCCACTACGAAACTGTTGTCGGACGTCGGAAAGTATGTCTGTGTACCAGCATCTGCCTAAGAGCGAATTTTAGGTATATACATCCAGGTTCAGGTCCGAAACCAAACTGTTTCCAGGTTCGCTTTTCATGAACCCTAGTTAGACGTCGAAGTACTATTGAAGCAAATATTTTAAACACTATATTTTTTAAATTGATTCGTTTATGACCGCTATAAGAGAATTTCTCATTTCGGAACTTCTCTCCTTATTTTCCTTCTCTCTTTATTGTGGTAAGCGCCACTACATATAATACCCAGTAGTTTAAGTTATATATCACTACTTTTATGGCGTGTATGCCGTATTTCTTTGTTCCGACCAAACATTTGTTGTCTGTGCCTTTCAGCTGGTCATCTTTTTTTCATGTTTTAAATAGTATTTCTTCTTTATTTTATCATCTGGCGTTCATCTTGTGAGCTAATCTCCAAAAATTCGTTTATCTTTACTGGTTCGTCCATTTTGGAGGAAAGTGCCTAATTCGTTAACGTTAATTGCAGTTATTCCCGCTTGGAGCAGCCTAATGTTATTTTTATTTACGATATGTCCTGGGATTTTACAACTTTTAGATTGTTTTATTGATGGATTCTTTTTTGACGCCTGGGTATCTCATGACTAGAGACTTGAGTTCATAATGTTTTCTGTAAGGTACTTTACTTTGACGAATTTCATCTTTGGGTCCCGAGATTTCATGCGTAACTTGGTCACTCAGAATTGCAGAATGAAGCCCATAACAACAATGCAGCAAGTCATAACTAAAACAAATGTTTCAAAACTTGTTCAATCGCAAAAAATATTGTCTGTCACCTGTTTCTCCCTACTTTGTTTTAAAATTTAAATAATCATATCCTAATTATTTGTTCTATTGACTGTAAATCAGGAAGCAGTTGGACATATATCTTTAGGGCATTCGATGGAATAAAGTGTTATAATGTAAGAAATCGAGAGAAAAATATTTGATTGACAGTATAAAAAGAGAGTTATTCACTACAATATTAATGCAAATTCTAACTTTCATTGTTTTAGTTTTTGCGTTCCCATTTTTACCTAATGAAAGCATTCGAAAAATTTAAACAGTTCGTCTTTAGTTTCTCAAGGTCAAATTAACTAGACACTTTCTAATTTACTATTTAAATAGAACGAAATCCCACCACTGGATCTTGAATGTCTTAATATTCAATGTTTATCTACTACTTTTTTCAATAATGCTTGTTTTATTGTTCATTTTAATAAGTTTTTCTCCACTAAATTTACCTTCTTCTGTAATGCCAAACAGATTAATAATTGTGAACAGTACTAATTTAACAACTGTTCGTTTATCGAAAAGACATTATTTTTCTCACTTTCCAGCTTCACACACTTTCTTATGTATAAAAATCAACATACACACAACGTAGCATTCAAATATTGAGCATTTGTTTGTTTGATCTCATGTGATTGTAGCACAGTTTCTTAAAGACTGAATCCAACTTGAGTGAGTTAGTTAAAATAAAAGACTTGGAGTATTATTCTCACCACTTTTAAAAATGTTCTATCTGTTAAAATATATAATTAAAAGTAAACAAAAGTCTTATAATGTAATTTCCACCTACCAATTTTATGAAGAGTCTTTTTAATTTTAGACTGTTTCTTTTTCGGTTAACCAGCGACATAAAAATCAACTCTCATTAGCCTTTCCAAATAATTAAAAAAGACTAATCCAATCATATGGTTACTGAATACTTTAATGATACGTAGAATGGCATTTTTTGCTCTCAGACAGTCAATGAGTCAGCCGTACACAAAGCAAAACCTAGGAAATATATGCGTTGGTTCAAGTTGTCATACCTCATTGAAAAAACTAGACAAAATTGTCAAGGTAAATCCAATAGCAAAAGAGATAGCAACGGTATTAGTGAGAATAAAATAGAGTAGGAAAAGAAGATATGATTGGGGTATATAAGAATTTCATGGAATATAAAAGATTTACGTGGAAATTTAGAAACGTATGATCTATATGAAGGCAAATAGTGAATACACCTGTGCGAGTGAGAACGATTCGTAGCTGTGTCACTCAAATTCTTTAACCAATGGTTACGACAAGCATACTGACCCTAACCAGGTATTCTGCACGTAACTACATGGTTCAGCTTCTAGATTCCTTGAAACCTACTCCTACACCAGCCATAGATAGTCGATGAATGAATATTCGTAATTCATAACTCAACTATCTCTGGTAGTATTGGGATGAGCAACAAAATATAACATCAAACAATAAATTATTTTGTGTCATAAGATAACTGCCATTTCAAATATGTCATTTGAGTCGAGTTAATCAGTTCAATAGGTTATAGTGTTTACTATTAAAACTGAAAGGTGATCTAATTTCATTATATGAGGGGTGGATGAATTAGTCCGAATTTCTACAATAGAGTCAAACAATTATTTCATGTTCATTTGTATACAGTGATGCTTACAATCGTATCAAAATAGTTTAGAGGTAGGAAAAATATGAATATTCCAAAATTCAATTAATCTTAATTTACATCTTACCGTCCACCAGTATAAGTGCATAAATTGTGCAAATAGTCTATTGTTTTCATATCTTCACAACAATAAGATACAATATGAAGTGGATGTTTCAAAGTTTTGACAATATTTTCAAGTAGTTCCGGTGACGTCATTGTAGATTCACCTTCAGTGATTAGATAGACTGATTCGAAACTCTATATGTTTAAAAATAATTACAGTAATAATCTTCAAATTTAACACAGTATTTATTTCTATTGAGGTAAAATAATCTGATTTTGATTTGGGCTGTCACACGAAAAACCGAAATGAAATCAAGGGTGTATTCCATTTGCAAGAAAAGAATGGCATGCATTTATTCTCAATTATCTACATTTACAGATTTGTGGTAAAGTTAGTGATCCAGATAGTGGACTCTGAACTGTTATGTAATGAGCTACAATCCATGACGAATACTTCAGTCTTACTGTTTAGGGGGGGGGGTAAATGACCCCAAGATAACAAAACCGGCTTGTAGCTTAGAAAGTGAACAAGAAAGCATCCTGCTGAAATTTATTTTCTCCTCACTATTTTTTCTAAATTCGGATGTGAAATGACAAAGATTAGCAAAGGAGGCAAATGTTTTTGGTGCTATCGCGTTCTATGAATTAAATGACTTAATCAACCAGTAATAAAGTGATATGGAAATAACTTTGCGACCTATACGGAATAGGTTAGATAGTCATAAAGTTAGAGGTCAACCGAAAAAGACAGACAACGTTAATTTAAGAACAACTGGAGGTAAAAATAACCTACACAGAAATTTGACTGCAAATAGGGTCATCTGAATGAAACAGGATGAAACTTGCTAAGTGACCGGAAAGCTTGATTCTGTATAAAATATCAACTAATGACGTTTTTCAGAGCAACAATGAAAACTCTTTAGTAAAACCTCCTAGTATAGATTATGAAGCACAAACACAAAAGAACTTTCATTCATATAAAAAGCCACTGCTAACTCTTGATACGTATGCTGGATTCTGTACTGAAGTGTTTAAGTAGCATGTATCTTATTGCAGTTAGCTTTAGTAACTGTCTTCCTGTTACATATTTTACCATAAATCTCAACATTTTTATTTGATCACTTTTTATGGATTATTGACATTCTTTATATTGCTATGACGGCAGATTATTAACTTCAAATAATAATCTTATGCACATCACAGAGTGTTCAGGACAAACATAAATATTCGAAAGGGTCGTAAATACCAAGCTAAAAACTTTGTTCAAACTAATTTATGGTATTTTAGTGGTAGATATCAACGGAAATCAAGGTCAGTTTATCCTTAGTGAGACTGATCGGGTGCAAGATTTTATGATATCGTTCTGGTGCTCTTAGTAAAATTCAAACTCTAACTCCTTCATTTTTGAAATTTGTGACTTCATCTGGCTGCCCAGTGACTTTTTATAGCCACCTCCTCGGCAGCAATTAACTAATACAATTAACTGCGTGGATTTGAATAAAATAATGACAACAACTGATACTGAATAATATAATATTACTTTTATCTCATAGTTCAACATAAGCTACATACAACAGTATTCATAGTGAAATATAATATGGTATTAAATAAGATATTGATAGCTAAGAAGATCGAAATGACAGGAATTATCAGTACTATAGATATATATGTACAAAAATAAGGCCATATGAAGTCATATATCGAAAAATTAACATATGTAAGGAATCAATTATCCGGAAAACGAAAATTGATAGCAAGGTTTGTGTAAATCTCAAGGAGTTTTGAGGAGTTTATATAAGTTTGAGAAATTGGTGAGAGAAAATCACAGACGAGTAGAAATATCGTTTTTAAGAACATGAAGTAAGAAATAACTAGGCAAAGAAGATATAACACAACATAAACAATATTACTGATAATAATGGATGGTTTAATCAAAATTATGCAATTACAATGATAGCGATAAGTTACAACGATGGAAAATATTTTTGCTCTAAAGAAGTACTGATAACTTGATAGCATTTTAGTCGCTAGTTTTGTTATTTGATTTTAGGTACATTTCAATGTTAACAGTTTTCTAAACAACCGATAAAGAACGACTAAGTGAAAACAAATATGCGTCGTACCGTATCAGTTTATGTCTTTACTTCATCAAGGATTTATTTGAGAATCGTGCCTCAAAGCAGTTTTCATTAAATAACCCATATCAATATAATTAAAGTAGTATTATATCTCAGTTGATGTTTATTTTAAGGACACAGTACATTCTCCGGCTTCTTTAAAGGATGTCGTCTAACTGGGCTTAATATAAGAAGTATTGAATTATTGTGATAAAACTGTTACGTAATGTAAAAGATAACTTATTTAACCTTTGTTATAAAAATAGAACTGTGTGGATCAATATCTGTCCTAGAGGTTTTGAGTGTTTGGTACTGAGCCTTTATGTAGATTGGACTTCTATGACTGATAGTAACACTGTAAAGACAGTTTATGTACCTTTTAAAATTTTCGATCCTTATTAAAAATATTGTTTCCTACCTTTAAGCACTGCCTCATCCAGATCTAAGGAGATTATTTCGTCACTAGCCTTTGAAAACTACGTGTAAACTAAGGACATCAAGGAAAAACTCGCCGTTCACTAGGATAGGGCGGATTCGATCCTCTTGATTTAAGACTTGGTCACAACTGAAAGCTTAACTTGTTATCACAGCCGTTAGACTAATCTACTATAAAATGAGACTCGATTTTAAAACACTTGAACTTTATCCAATTATAGATACCTATAATATGGATATTAGAATTTAAGTGTATTACTGGTTATTATATAAACGACATGAAGTGGAAAACATTCACAACTAAACGTAGTTGACAAGTAGTTTTATAGGATGTTAAAAGGCACTAAGAACTACTACTTAATTTCATGCTACCAGTCCAAATAAAAATAAATATATACTTATTAAATTTTATGAACAGGAGTATAATACTTGAAGAGCTCGCGTGTCTGATAGGTTTGTGTGATTAATTGTGGTAGCACATCAAACGAAAGTAATCTGGAACGTTAGTTAGGTTGTAGAAAGTCAAGTTTAGAATTCGTCGATAGGAGTTCTTACCTGATATTCTGGAATTCGGCTTTTTGAGTTGAGGATATTTAGAGACTTTCTGTGTTAAATTACCGCTTTCTCCAAAAGGTAGCTGATATCCGCTAATGCTTAGGCACTGTAATGTGTGTACTGGAACACTGATAGTAATTCAGTTGGTGTTGTCACCTTGAAACACCTTGTACATATTTTACGAATATCATCTCAAGGACTTCCACCTCGCACATTAGTTTCTAACGCCGTGCTGGGATGCGAATAACGACAGAGTCAGTTTATGGCATGTTATTAATTCATGTGTGAAGTAAGTTTGGCGTCTTGTCATAGTACATTTTATGTAATATGCATAAATCAGTATAAAGATTTTCCATGTGTTTTTCCCATCCCCCATAATGCTGATCGTATGTAGGGTCTACACAAAAGGATTTAGTGGCCCTATATCTGACTACAGTTAAGCTGAATGCTAATTGTTATTGAAATACACATGCTGCCAACCATTGCGTATTTTTATCAACCTAAATGGCGTTAGAGAATAACGCAAAATACTAAAATGAATTTTAAATACTTATGTTTCACACACTCATTAGTCTAGACAGACAATCAGAAAAATGAAATGACGAAAGCAAAGTGAAATGAAACAAAGTGATGCGCAGTAAAGGAAAGTGAGCCAACTCAATTTAATAAAATGTGTTCAATATTTTTAATCAAATCAAAAATTAGTTACAGACACGTAATGAATAGGGCGAGCGATCAACACACAGTCGATCATATGAAAACAGTCAGGGTTAATAAGCTAATAATCAAGAAGGTCAAAATGTGGCTTGGAAAGAGTAAACAAAGTGATTTGTCCAGAAACTATAATAACATATGTGAGGTTGACACAGAATCAGACGCTACAAGGATTTAAAAGCCATCATGGAATAAAACCAGGTGTAATACCGGAAAAACTTGTCACATTACGTTGTCTTGACTCTCTTGGTAGAGTTTCAAAGAAAAGTTGAATATTTAGCATCATGGGCCAATGCAGGTTAGCTGACCCGCTGGCCTTATTCCCGAGAACTGAAGAATGGGTATGGATGGAGAAGTAATGTATACTACTGTGATGTTTGAATGAACCAATGATTCCCTTGTACTAATGACTTTTGATTTTGAATTCCAAATACAGTACGTTCGTTCGTGCTCATCTAATACTTCTTGATTAAATTGCGTTATTGCTGGGATGACTAGTTCATACTATAATTCGAATACTTCAAGTCATCACAGCTATTCCACAGTATATAACATGCTAACGTTTTATTTTATATGATGTCTAAGCCTAAGTATGCATAAGCTTCCAAATAAAATATGACCAATACTCACTTTTTTAAACTGGACCATCCTTAAAATGCAATCAGTTGTACAGCTCGAGCTGGAGAATGATAGACGCTCTAGTGTGTTTATCCACTCTAACAGATTCTTCAGTGTGGAGGTGTCCACAGAAACCAATTCGTCTGAAAAAAAATAGGGTTCATCTTGACATCTAATACATCGGGCTAAAAGAACAAAATTTACCTAATCATGTTGACCATCTTCATATTTGCTATCTGTTCTGATATCAAACACTTTAGGGAATTAACGAAATTGGAAAACATTTCTGGAGACTGCGTTTTAATATCCAAAAGAAAAACTGCCGAATGCTCTTGGATAACTCCAAATATCGATCTACTCCCAGAAGTTAGCCAGGTAAGGCGGTCGCGATATAAATCTACGGCCTGCGTTATCTTCATCTTCAGTTGTTTAATGTAGCCTTTCTTAGCGATAACCTTTAAAAACTAATAAACACGAATTGACATACATTATAAACATCTCCAGTTCTATCGTTTGTTATCCTTACAAACAGATTATCACCGTAGCAGGATTTAATGTATTTTCCCAGACAATGATGATATTCTTTAGATTCCGAAATTTTTCTAAGTTTCAGCTTACCTCCTCTCACTGGGAATCCAATGTTCTGTAGAACGGACGACCTATCGATTTTATTGTTCTTTAACCCATACATGTTGAGCCATGCTCTTGAACTCAATTGTCTATTTACTGCAGAATCAGCTTTAAGAAAGGATTCTATTTTACTGAGCTCTTCATTCATATTCGTTTGCTTTATCTAGTATTAAATACGTTATAGAAAGTATTTCTCTCAAGTAAACATAACTCAATCTGGTTTTAAATATACGCTTGGTTCATTGTATTTTGGGATTTATTTTAGAACACACAACAACCGAATTCACACCACATAAAACCCTAATTTCCCAACATAGACCTCATATTTAGATTAGCGCTGGAACTCTAATCACTATGACGGTCAATATTCAATATCTGTTTCACAGACTTGCATAAACTAACCAATTAACTGTGTTTGCTTCGTGTTGTTTCGGTACGGTTTCGAATATTTGTTTATGCCCAATGGGAGATGACCCAGCCACTCGACTGAATTAATTCCGGTCAGTTTATTAGTTATTTTTGGACTTGTATATCTTGTAGTTGAGTGAATGCGTTTGTCTCAGGGCGATGGGTATACTGAATATCAGCAGCTATCACATTGCCAGACAAAGGATTAGGGTGGTTGTAATTTGAAAATAATCAAGTGACAACTGCTTCGCTAATGGAAGAAGACTGTTTCAAGAATAACAAACAAGTTAACTGATAATAAGAAATTGAAGAATAAGAGGAGATATGGAGATGATAGTAAAAGACATAGAGAGTAATTAGTGATATGCTTTACTGATTATCATGGCAGTTTATAAGACATGCATTAGACACATCTGGTTCAAGAGGGGGATGGGAGCCGCAGGTATGTAAGATTATGGTCTAAATTGGTATTAATACTACTATGATAATAGACATAATCAGATGTAATAATCAGACATAATACATCCGGTCGTTACACATTCTCCGAATTCACAAACACGCTTATTAATCTATTTACGAAGTTTCGCGTTTCCTCTGTTTCTCTCTTTCCTTTGTAGTGAACTACTTTGGTGACGAGAACTCGATCGGTGTAATGGAAACAATTATTATAGCCAATTGTGCCAGCGACTGTTTTACTGTACTTGTGCGTTTAACTGTACCAAAAACACTTTTCCTTCCGTTGCCTATAACCTTGCACGAACTTGCTTACGCTTCGCAGTTCCGCCTGTAAACTTTGGCACGTCTCGGCACTCTTTCGATATCACGAGATCGCCAAAAAAATATATCATATTGCAACTGTGAAGCAGCCTTCTGGTCTTTGACCAACGAAGGGATCTAACTGAAAACCTGACTCGTAGTTTTCTTGTAGCGGTGATCATAGTAAATCGCGACTCGACGCCATCTACACCTTCTTTAAAGTCAATTCGACATTCTTTAACAATTCTTCAATTACACATAACCTGTTTTTTAACATGACAAATATTACGTAAACATTATTATAACTTGTGTATTACTGCATTTCCGAATAGACCCGAAATGGTTTCTTCACAACACTTATGTACCCATAAGTTGTTTGTGAATAATAATAGTCATACCACTTATAGGACGGGAAACTCACTGGTCAACAATCATCAAAGCACCATTCAAGGCAAAGGAGGACGGGATTACAATCAATTTTATCCACCGCTTTGCAACCAGCAATGATAATAAAAGTATATTCTGAAAATAATAATAATAATTACAGAATTCACACCAGTTTACAGGCATGATGAATTCGATATAAATAGTAACATTAAATGTAGAGAACAAACATGTGATATAAGATTGTTTTAAGTTTGCTACTCCAGTAATTGTTAAGTCGTTTAGTAATGACATGTATCGCGGCAATACAATGCATCAGCAGGGAACTTTTAATTTTTCTTAAGTGAATAGCCTGATGATTTATGAACTTTGTTCTTTAAGGTTATTTCCAGTGCCAGGATGAATTATTGATAAGTATCTACAACTACAGAAAGTAAAATCAAAACAGAGAGCATGGAGTAACAGAGCAATGATTCCCAAGACATGTTGGTCAGGTTTTCCACTGTTCATGTTAGATATTATTCAAATAAGTTAAGGTGAAGTTAAGTAAAGTGACAGCAGGTAAGTGGTTAAACATCTAAGTGGTTAAACATCCTATCATCTCACATGTGGAATATGATACACTTACAGGCGCTAGAACATTTAATGCATTTTCAGAGGAGCAGTATGAATCGATGCAGCGAACAAACAGTGGGAGAGATTTTATCGAACGGATAGTTTGTGGTAGATTATTCCAGAGTCTAGAAAACTTACAGGTGAAGTAATTTATATAGAGAGATGATTTTGAATGTGTTTGTTGCGCTAGTGACAAGCAGTAACGAATGTCGTAATGAGAAGTTTCTGCACATTGAATCACTTGGTTGGATGTAAAGGATAGTTTGTTAAGTATTTTGAAGAAGAAGATTACATTTAGTTTAAATCTCCACTTCCATAACGGGTCGAGCCCAAGTTTATTACATCTAGAATTATAAGTCAACGTACAAGAATACGAAGTGTAAACCACCTCTGTACTGATTCCAGCCTTAATTCATCTTTTATGTGCACACTACTAAGAATGAACGCGCAATATTCTAAGAGTGGTCGAACACAAACTTTGTACATTAAAATACGCGAGTCATTGTTGAAAAGGTTTCGAGTCATGTATCCTATGAGACGTTGAGACTTGAAGGTCTGTTTCATTATCTGTTCTGTAAACGACAAGTCGTAGGAGTACATAAGTCCTGACTCTACCACTGTGTGTAACCTAGATAACACTTCAACATTTATGTTAAGATCCAAGTTGAATGATGTATAACCAAAGCATATCCTTCCAGATTAAGCTGTATAAGGCTCCAGCTGCCATTTCGAGCGCCACTGCGCTATCTTGTTAAGCTCTGTGCTGATGCAACTTTGAATATTGCTCATCTCATGTGGAGAAAATGAATACACTACTTTAAGATGATCTGCGTACAAAAAGGGCTTACCCACACAAAAACACCCACAACTATAATTGATAAAAACTAAAAAGGGCAAAGGGCCTAAGACACTACCTTGCATTACATCACTTCTAACAGGGACGACTTTCGACAATGAAGAGTAAATTTTAACAATTCGATGTCGGTGGATGAGGAAGGAATCAAACCAAGCAAGCAAATGGTTCGGGACCCCATGAGATGCAGGTTCACCTCTGAAAAGCCGGTGATTGACCATGTGGAAGACTTTAGAAATGTCCAGGTACAGCACTAATACTAGATATCCTTGGCTACGAACAGAATAGACTGAATTAAAGAGGCCAAAGTGACATGTCATACAAGATCGATTTTTCAGAAATCCATGTTGCGTATCATTGATACATTTTTCAGTCAGTAAATAGTTGGATAGTTAGTCACTTATAATTTTTTCCATAATCCTAGAGATAACTGGAGTAATATTTATCGGCCGATAATTGTTCATGTCAGTCTTATCTCCAGATTTGTGACGTGGTATGATGTAAGCGGTTTTCCAACAGTTATGGTACGAACCTGATTCCATAGAGAGAGTAAACTGTTTAAGGAGAAGAAGTGAAATATCTGGATTACCATATTTTTAGAGAAATGATGAAATCACTGAAGGTATGAGAGACCGACTAGCACTCTGCATTGGTGAATCAAAGTCATGGCTAACCTGAAATAGATTAGCTGCACCAGTGGGTTCAGCTGCTGGGACAATGGAGTTCGTTGTGATCTCAACAATGTTATTTTCATTTAAGATGCTCTTTTGCGTTAGTCTTTGGTTGGTGGTTTTATCTGAGACTATATGAGCGTTTTTAAACTTCTTAAGCGAACAGATTAGCTGGTCGGATTCTTTTAAACTGTTCAACTAATAAATAGGAATCGAATCTAGACAAGATAGGGCAGGAGTATTCCTGGTGCTCTTTATTAAGTCGAATACATTAGAACGGTCTGTCTTGGAGGTTATCTGCCTTTAATATCGAATTCCTTACAGATTTAATGGCGTCTTTGTCACGTATGTTATAGATGATCACATTATTTCGAGGGATTATTGGTTTAGTAACTTCACTAGCAATAAAATCGATAACAGATTGTACTGTGACCCTGTCTCCGAATTCCGCAGGAACTACATCCTTTGACAATAGCATTTTAAGGGGTGACAGTGTCTTTAGTTCTTGCTTAACCTCATAATGCTTTAATAAAAAGCCCGCAAGTGAATCCACTTTAGAACGCATATCGCTTAATTGCTTATAGATGGTGTCTAATTCACTCTTAATATTGTCGATACTTTCAGATCTTGAGGTAGAACTCATTATTAATTAAGAGACTGAGTCATCCAGCAGCAGGCGTAGTATACATGCAGTCCCACTATTATTCGATTCAAAAGGAGTTGCAGAGTATGTGGTATATGTTCTTGCAGAATTTCCATAATGTAATAAGAAAACAAAGATTATCAGAACTATGTGATGTAATAGCGCAGTACATTTCAAACAATCTGATCACACGAATACTTGTTAAGAACAGTTGTATATAAAAATAAAAGGTCAAATAGACTGGAAATGGGGTAAGAATAGACAAGGAAAATAAAAATAATGTGAAAACAATTTGACATCTAATCACTCTGGATAATGAGCTAATATTACCAGGGTAGGTTTGTGGAGAGAAGAAACTGTTCTGAATACACAAAGGGGGTTTGAATTTTCGTATGGCTAAGGCTTCAATAAACCTTAGTATACACCCTTTTACACTTTTAAACAGCACAGGGTCACACTTATGACCTGTTTTGGTTATATGTTTGGCAATAGAGGATGATGGATGTTTATTCTCTACTCCTATAGAATTGTTATTATCCGAAGAAATAGGACTTTTCTCTGCTCTATTTTTTGTCAGTCGACTCATTTTACTTGAAGGGTTAATTAAAATGTTATTGATGGGCTATAAACTAGGACTCAACGACATATAAGTACTTTATAAAAAATACCGTGTAATCGTAACGCAAAATTCAAAAACATACTGCAACGACGACAATAAAAATCAGTTTTACGAGGGGCTGCAGTCGATAGTTGAGAAGTGCCAACAATCCTCATCGGAGATCGAAACACCGAAGTTGGAGTGGATAACAACGGATATGGAGATATCATGGGACGACATGAACGGTTTTCAAAATACTAAACCGAACGTAGTGTGGTATCGAAAATGTCAAAGATCAAACGTATGAACAATTACATTCAGAACTTAAATAAAACAAATACAAACTAAATAAACGGAAATCAATAATATTTAATCTGACGGTTATTAACCCATCAAATACTTTCAGTTTTTTCCCTAACACTACAGACCGAGAGAATGTTCCTTCTTTTCTAGGATGAACAAATAAGCAGCATTACCCCGAGGTTCTGCTGCGTCGAGCTTTCTAGAGTTTCTGAACTCGAATACCATTTATATTTAAACCTACTGAGCTCACTGATCTACCACCACATCACTAATTGATCTACACTCAACACTATGCAACAATGCAATACTAGTTAAACATCCAGAAATCTTCTATGCAATCATGATGAATCTTGGACTTTATTGTAAGCGATACACAGTCATCGCTAAACTGATTTTAGTTCATTACATGTTCAGATTCTTCCGCTTCTCTAGGTAAATGAACAACTCAACTATTTATTTTCGCTCACATTCATGAATTCATACACGAACGATCAGCTGGGTCACTAAGAAAACAGATAATCCTTCCATTCATAATAAATAAGCATAATTTAAATCTTGTAGACAATCGCCCGGTAGTCAAGCCACCATACACATTATAAACATTCAATCTCTTATTGTATATACAAATGAAGCATCAATCAATTTTTCATATGATTTATTAGGTGACACATGGATAACAAAATAATATTGTCCATAATCAACCGAATTTCTCAAACGCCATTTTCCGTCCAGTTTTAACGTTGTTGCAAACTGTTGATCAAGTGAAGGATGTTTGTCGATATAGTCTGTGTAACGACGGAAATTCCAGCATTCTATCTGAACTCAGAGCTTACAAACAAATGTTTATCTAATTAGGCCGAAATACGTTCTTCTGTATAACAAATGAAGCGCTTTTGAGTGACTCATCAAATTATATCAGAAGACAAACTGTGTGTTGAAGTTAAACCATGTAGCTGTAAATAATTCCCCAAAATCAATAGCTCATTAAGTGTTCGACATTGGATGCTGACCACGTTGTTTAAGTGGACTTGTTTAACTGAAGGCTTTCGGTCATGCATCCGTACCAGATCACGTTTCGACTCAGCGTGGGACACAGCTCCTACGTTTCAATAGCTAGCTAAGAACAAACGCCTCTCGATTTATTGGTAACGTATCAAATATATCTTTCCTAACTCTTCTCGTCCAACTTCTGATTTCCTTTGGTCGAGAAGGTTTCGAATATAGAAGGTGCTACTGGTCGCTAATTGTCAAATTAGAATACCGGTCATATCCTTAACCAGTATAATTTGAGAAAGCAAACAAATAACATAAAAAGTACAAAATAACCGTAACAGTACGGCCGCTGTTATTCAGTCAAATGTTTCCCTAGCACAAAATAAAATGCTTAACAGAAAATAAAACGGTTAATAAATAAACATTAAGTAACTGAGAATTCATAAGTGTATTCTCAACAAGCTAGACGAAATATCTATCTGCAAAGATCCGGGTAACCTTTCCCAGAAAACAATCAAAGGTCAACAATTATGAGGCAAGCCACACCATAACCTTGTTCTTAATCAACAACAAAAACGTTGTAAATGGTCCGGCAACACGCATTAGCAAAATTAGGTAAGAGAGGTTAATTTTCAAATAATTCAAGTAATAGAAGCCCAAACAAAGAAGACTGAGGGACATAGAGCGTGATTACAAGAGACTTCAGTAGAAGTTAAAATACATGACAGGAGAAAAATTAAGAAGAAATAACAATATCGTTCAATAACCACTTCAGAGGATTTTCAGCGTATTCTTTCCATCACAGTCTGTATGAGACTCACACCCAGACGACGAAATTACATCTATTTTAGCTTAACCTCCTGAAGAAATCTCAGTTGCACCTGAACTTACTTCTGTACTAAATGTAGATGGAGGTCAATCTCACTATTAGCAGATAATTATGGGTATATTTTCAACTCAGCAGTGCAACTGCCATCTACCAAGGCAAAAGTACCACTATCTATTAGAAAAGCCTGACTGTCTTTGACAGAATGTCTTTCAAGCAGCTCGTTTAAATACTCGTAATAATAATTATATAATCTTTCCAGATCGTGTGACATATAGTGGGTTTGAGATGATGTTGTCATTTGACTTGACGTACTAGTCTATTTGTCCTTTTAAGACTGTGGTGAACCAAAACGTATGATAACCAAAAGATATCAACAAAAATATTACGTCTAAAGTTTATGTAACAATTAACAGTTAATAAGTTAATTACACACAAATAAAAGTAGGGGACGTTACTTAAGTCTTCAGGCTATTGCGCGTTCAGTTGAGCTTGGTCCCGATCATCCACAGTTATAAAAGATTAGTAATCCCAATATGGACGATATGGATCCAATAGATTTACCAAGCGTAGAATTCAATAAGAATGTCACAATTGTCTATAAACGTAGAGGGTATGCAATTAATATTTCATTTAACATATTTGCAGACATAGCAGAACGATGCAGATGTGAGTTAGAGGGTATTTTTTGAGGAGCAGTAACAATGTCGCGATATGTTGTACTCAAAACGGAAGGAAGTCAAAATACAAGTGTTCAAAGTAATACACCTAAACAACAAATACAATTGTTTAATGCTAAATGTACAGAATATGAAAATACACAAAATACGTGCAAAAACTACGAAAAATTATTTACAAAATAGGTCTTATGGTCCAATCTCCACAAGACCCAACCAAACGAGTGACGTACACATACCAAACATAGTTTTTTTACCTCCCACATGTTGTTCCAAAACTCAGTGTGCGTCTGAAGTATCACATTCGATCAAGACTATTACTCGACTGCTTTATAATCTCGGAAAACTTGTATCTCTTAAATGCTTCCACGAGCCCAGGTGTTGTTCGGTTAGGAGGTTTGTATCATGTGTCGAAACGCTGTTGATCGTAAAGGCTCTGATGATTAGTATAGGTTCTCTTTCATTCAAAGAACATATTCATAAATTTGTTTTCATATATTTAAAGACAGTAGCCCCATTAACAGTCGTTAATTTTATCTACGGTACATATGAAGCTCAACAGACTAACTATTCCTTCGCAAATGAGAAGAGTATCGGAACTGCTATCCAGAACGGCGTACGGTTTCAAGTTTCAAGTCAGAAGCGAGGAGGTTGGAAGATATATTTGATGGGTTATCAATATATCGAGCAGTGACTGATCTAATCTGGTTATTGATCGCAGGAGATGTTGCGCACGCCGTTCCGAAACGTGATCTGGTGCGGATGCATGATTGAGCGCCTTTAGCTAAATTAGTCAGCATCCACCGTCGAACACTCACAGAGCTATTGATGTTGGGAATTTGTTTGCAGCTACAACATTAATCGCAAAGTCTTTCAAGTCGTATCCTGGACATCCAGTGGGTTTATAATTGATTAGCTCTGTAATTATCTGACAAACAACTGGACGTACCCTTCCAAATAAATCATACGAAATTCATCTGGCTCTGTCATAACCCAAGTGACTAGGTAAAGGGATTCGGGCCTCGATGTTCGTCTTTAAATTTCCTTTACAGTAGTACGACAGATATGACAATACATGACTCTCGTCTGACCACTTATTCTAGAGTGACACCGCGAAAAAAGTCTGACTTTGTGGAGAAAACATCACGATATATGATATGAAACCATAAAATACCGTGTTTAAGGTACCTTTGTACTGTTTACAAAAGATATACGTCTTTTTCATTCGTAAGCAAGGACTAAAGTCAACGATGTTCGTTTCAATAGTTACTTATTACTATCCGAAAATTTATTGGGCATACGGCTCCTTTGTCATCCAAGGTACCTGCATTTTTCGAAATGGTCCCTTAGTTAAACTGTTAGGCGTAATTCTTGATGCCCCTGTATCAGCGCGTCATATGAAATCCAGCTTAGTCGTCATATTTGCTACGTAAGTCTTTTTCATTTACATTGTAATCAAACGCTTTGAAGTTTTAATAAAAAACACTCTGTGTTTGTTGATTAAATCCCGAAAAAACAGGTTTTTGAAAAGTATCTAGATTTTGTATTTCTAGTTTACTCTACTTATCTTCTTTACCATAGCTTTACAACTTAGAGGAGGCCATATTACTATCAAGTTTGATTAATTTATCGTAGTCTGACCAGAGGACACTGAACTATACCCCACAGATTGTCTATTCATATTGTCACAAGCCTCATTTATGTTCAGCAGAAGTTCTAGTTTAGTATTTATCACTTAAGTAGGAAGTAATATTTAGGCTGCAACTCAATCATAAGTGGCTCTCACGGGGCTTTTTAACCATCGTTTTTTGTTTTCTACTTTGCAGGTTTTATATGTCTGGAAAGATCATTTGGTAGCTAATGCTATATCTCGTAACATGCTGTTATCCTGCAATCTGTGTTATGTTTTAGCAATGGGGTATGTTTTGTTTTTCGAGCCCTTGGTCTATTCGATAAAGTTCAAATTTATAGGTTCACGCGGTCTCTATTATCTTATATGGTTCTTGAGATCCTTTTCAGAAGTACCCAGTATTCCTCAATCTTACCTTATTTTACGAGTCTCGAATAAAATACTGTTAAAGGGACTCTGAGTAGCCTTGGGAATGGGTGACGGGCAGCGAAAGTAATGCAAAAAGTCTTGAACTGATATTTCTAGGTTCACTTTTAAGCCTCTCAAGAGCACTCCAAAAGCGACCACTCCACGCATTTCGAGCTCAGTATGGATTACATTTTCTGATTATTAAATCTTTAAAGGCACCCAGTATTCCATTGCATAGACCGCTTTTCACGACGTCTGATAACTCCCCAACATGCAAAGATGATAATTCAACAAAAGTCTCAGCTAAGTTTCTCCCCACAGCTACAGTGACTCCAATCAGGTGAGTTTTATCATTCATATTCTTAGTTACAGGAACAACAATGATGTAGTTAGGTCCCCATCTCCTGACCTCGACATTTCAATTCACGAAGAGTCACTAGGTAGGTTTGCTAGTTAAATATAAAAGCTATAGAAGTTCCTTCACCCTCCTGGTTTGACGAGTCTGAACCAGTGGAAAATCCCAGTCCTCTACCCACCCAAAACCTAACACTCAATAGACCAACTGATAAAACATCACCGGTCTCTTCTATCCCTCAAACTCCTAGCTTGGTGTCCTTTACTTCTGTAACAAGTGTATCTAAACCATGTCTGCAAAATGAGTCTCGAAATGTTCAAGCATTTAGCACAGAAAACTCAAATTTAGGATCTCATGATGACTCTGTTTCAATACCTCAGTCATTTTACAGTTCAATCTGTAAAGCATGTGACTTATTGGAGAACTTGCCGATGAACAAATTAATGTATTGTTTTGGGGATGAATTACCTGTAATAACAAAATTACTTCATGAGAGGTTGGTCGTTATCAAGTTAATAATACTTCTTGCAGAAGCTCAAACCCAATTATTATAAGCGGTCGCCCTCCCTCAGGAACGTTGAAGAAATTAACGAATCCTATTTCTCTTACATCCACATCTGATCAACACATTCGCAACTCAAATACCTCCAAAAGGACGTTGGTCAGTACAGTTTGGTTAGATGATTATTTTGATGGTTAAGCTTCATTAAAACTAGCTACTGCTTTAAAAAGTTATATTAAGTTAGTTTCGTGTAAAAAAGCCTCCTGTCCCACTGACAATTATCTCGCTCATCTGTTATTTCGTTCCCTGCCTAGATGGGCGTCACTTCTCATGCACCTGAGAATATCTTGTCCGATGATGACAGTTGGGCTAACATTAGCACTAACCCATCGAAAACCCGAGCCTCGTCGGATGTTCCTATAAAATGTTCAACTGTTAGAAAGTCAGTTACACAAAAGACGGATAATAATTGCACCATACGACATCCGACTATGACTTTTGACTCTGGCGAAGGAAGTGCTTTCCTTCCACTTCAAGCTCAATCTAAATGGGGTAAGTATCAGTTTTTTAAAATTCGCTCTTCAAGTTACAATGAATGAAACTGTAGTAAACAAGTTACTGTTGTTGTAGCTAAAGATACATGAAAGCTGAAAGAAAAATTGAGTCATTTCAAAATCGATTTGTTGTTCTAATAATTGTGGTCACACATTTTGACCATAGTCTTTTTCGATTAGATGTCCAGACCCACTGTGACGATCAATATAATCAACCAGATGATGGGTCCACAGGCGAATTTGATGGAGATGATCGCTTTCCTCATTCTAAACGCATGATGGAAGCATTCTCAAAAATGTTTGGTCTACGATCCTTCAGACGGAATCAACTTCAAGCAATCAATGCAGCTCTTCTTGACCGTGATTGCTTTGTAATCATGCCCACCGGTGAGTTATCATTATCTTCTGTTATTAGACTTTGTTTAGACATTACTGTGATGTGTGCTTCTGGCTCATCTTTCTAGATCAATTGTGTCCCGTTTTTTAAACATGAACATGGTTTGTATCCTCAATAACATTACATTACACCTTTTTATGTATACGATTTTTGAGAAATAGTGTTTTTAAATACTAAATGACAAGCGTTTAATATAAGGAAGAATATAAGCAATAATGGTGTTATTTTGTTTAAATTCTAAACCTTGTTATATGGAAGACTTAATCTTTAAAGCCATGGGTTTAGGTTTACTGCCACTATATTGTGTGTGGATTATTGTACTAACTTATTTCAAACATTAGTACACTGTAGACATCGTTTTGTAATGGTCCAGAGATTGAAAGATAATGGGATTATGAAAATACTTGACGGGTCAAGAATGTAAACGATAATTGCCCACTTAATAAATATTCTTGTGACTGCTACCTTGATGTGGACTTTAGGTTAACCTATCCTGATGACTTGACCAAGCTATACTGATTGGAACACACGTTCCTTTAGGTCCTACTATGCCAGGCAGGTCGGTCGAAGAGTGGTACGACTAAAACCAGCAACCTAATGTCCGAGGGCGAGGTTTTACTGCTGACTGTAGAGGTGTGTAACAGTAGTAAATTGTTCCCCTTGGGTAACCAGCATCTGGAGCAATGCTGTCTTCTCACAACGGAAGAAAGCGATCATGAAAGGTCGATCCTAAAAATCAAATTCCCCCATCATCTCTTAATAATTCTCCTATCCCCACAACTAGGTCTTCTCGTGTATCTTAGTCACCACACGCCATCAATGCTAATGACTCGAGTTCACGAAATGTTGTTCCTGATCTCCTGAAACCACACTCTAGACTACATGTTGAAACTTACAATATTTGAACCTTGTGTGAGATAAGACAACAGGCTTCTCCTTAATTAAGGCTCTCAAACCTGGCGTCATTGATGTATGCTGCATCTCCGAAACGTGCATACAGAATCCAAACATAATCATTCACTCGACCTCAACTTGTTAATATAGAGAATCATTGTGACTTGCCGTTCGTGTGTCTGAAGACCCCACTGCTGCATCTCGTGGCCTCCCTTGTGTAGACATAGGATTAAGTTCGAAAGTAGAACTGACTCCTAGACAGGATTTCAATAGACAGTCACTTATGCGCTGTCCGACTAAACGGGATAGTACGAACTCGGAAAGATAGGGACACGCCGTCGCCTCGTTGTTTCTGCTTATGCACCCACTGACTTCAGCTCGTATGAAGTAAAGGATGAATTGTGTAGGAATCCTTCCAACCACATTCAAAAAACTAAGCGCTCTGATGCAATAATAATGGTGAGTGATTGTCATGTCCCCAAACGCTCTCGTACGGTCGAGAGTGGGAGATTCCGCCCTCCCTCTCGAAATGCTCTCACATGACCGAGCGTATATAGCTTCTGCCACGGAAGTCCTATTCACTGCCTTCTTGCGGCAGGGGTGTTGTTTACGAAATTGAGAGGACGAAAAGCCAACGTCTGGCGCTTTAACCGGGTTGGTGAACACGTGTCCACGTAGGGAAGTTGAAAAACCCTGATTCCAAACCAATGGTGCATATTGGCTCCAGGATCCTGAGGAGACAAATGGCATGTGAACCTATTGTTGGTCACCGGCTACCATGGGACTGCATCTCCTTACGTTGCTCTACTGCCTTGCGGACCAGACCTTTGAGTCAAAGGCTCCAAGTGTGGCCCCATAAGAAAACCACCTGCTTCAGTTTGGGCACCCAGGCAGTATCACAGTCGTCACACAAATCTATTGAGATGACAATTGTTTCACGAAATATTATGTTTGCTTCAATTAGAATTCAGAGAATTCACATTCACTTGATAACAATCATTTTTATTATTAATACTATTATCATTTTTAAAAATATACTACGTCACTTATCTTCCTCTATCCCCACTTCATGTAATTCCATCTTTCAACTTATGCAGCAGCTCGCCCATGGTGGAGACTCTGTTCTATCTAAACGATCTCAAGTCAGTCTGGTCAAAAGTGAACACTTCCACTGAATATGAATACTGAACCACTATTTCTGAAACCATGTACACGATTCAAACTGGCTTCCTTCAACGTTCGCACACTATTGTAGGTCCGACAACAGATAGGGTTGGCTATGTCTTTATAAAGTCTTAATATTGATATCTGCTGTCTATCCGAGACCCGTACTGAAAACTCTAGTGAAGTACTACAACTTCGCTCTCCATCTGTCGCTTCAAAACACTTGCTTTACATGCGTTTATCCGGGGACCCTGTGGCATCGTCCGGTTTTGCTGGTGTTGGTGTCACATTAAGCGCTAGAGCTGAGGCAGCACTATCTATTAGATTCCCATCAACAGTCGGTTATGTGCTATTTGATTATAAGGATCTATCAAAGTGCGAAGAAATCGGTGTGAGAAACGATGTCTTTTCGTCATCTCAGCCTATGCTCCGACAGATTGCAGCCCGGATGCAATGAAGTATGAGTCTTACCACCAATTAACTGTTCTTCTACAGAAAGCTATTGTAGTAATGGCTGGAGACTAGAATGCCCAGGTCGAGCGTTTAGGCACAGAAGATAGTCGTTTAGGTGGCCTATGGGGACTTGTTGGTCGCAAGTAAGATAACGGGGACCGTTTACTACAACTGCGCAGACCACAACCTGTTTCTGATAAACCTTAACTGCCAGCACAGTCATCGTCATTGTGCATCCTGGGATCCTCCATCTGCATCTCAAGCCTAGACTCAATGATCACATCGCGACCAGCTACCGTTGGTGTGGTTGTGTATAAGACTACCGTTTCTTTCGGAGTGTCTATCTATAATGCTCTTGATTGCGCTGATCTTACCTTACGTTTCAGTGGCCAACAAATCCATCGACCTAAATGGATCGATGTTGGTAAACCGGTTACGGATTATGTTGAAACTAAATACCAAACTGAGCTAGGTTCATGGCTAGCTATCAACCCACTGGAAAGTATAGACAAGCATTGGCTGCAATTGCACGACACCATGAAAATGGAGAGTAAAGTCGTTTGCGGCTTCGCGAAACGTTTCTCTAATAAGCACTGGATTACTTCAGGCTCCTTACAACTCGTTGAAGCCCGTCAGTCTACTCCGGGTGACCGTGAGTTTGACCACGAATGAAAACTGTCACGTATTGAAATTGGACAAAGCTTGCGTAAGGACCGAAAAGTCTGTTTGTCCGGGCGTGCGAATGACTTAGAAGCAGCAGCTGCATCTGGTAACTGCTGGATGCTCCTTCAACTCATCCGAGACACTTGCAGCAAGAAGTCTGGTGTGAGTGAAACAATCTGTGAAGATAACGGGATGCCAATCACTAACATCTATCGACGTCTTATATGATGGGGAGAGTTTTTCGAGGAACAGCACAACTGCTCTGTTGTTTCTGCAACATCAATCATTCTGTCCTGCCCTCTATTACCGGTGTCGACTGATCCATCTATCGAGGCGGAAGTCCTCAAGGAACTCTAACTCTTGAGGTGCTACAAATCACCAGGCACAGACGACTTGGCTCCGGGCCTTCTTAAAGGTGATGGTGACTTTCCGGTGAAGGAACCGACCGAGTTGTTTACAAAGGTCTGGCAATTATAGTGTTCAAACATCATGAATTGAAACGATTGTTGTCCTTATTTTTAAAGTGGGTTCACGTCATCACTGTGATAACTATCGTGGGATAAGTCTACTTCCGATCGCACCCAAACTGTTGGCTTTCGTCATACTTGGTGGGTTGTTCAAAAGTCGAAAAAGATTGACTCACGAGGAGCAGGATGACTTTTGTTCTGGTTGAGGATGTATTGGTCATATCTTCACCCTACGCCAAATGTTAGAACACTGTCATACTTATCACAAACCAACAATCGTAATGTTTCTTGGCATAAGGCCCTTCTTCGATCGTTGGATAGGACTGTTCTCTGGGACTGTCTATTGAAGAAGGGTGTGCCTGAGAAGTTTAATAGCATCCTAATAGCCCTATATATAGACACCTAAGGCATAATGAGGGCAGACAACCAACTCTGTTCATTGTACCCCTCAAGCAGTAGGGTTAGATAGGGTTGCTCAATCTCACCATTTGTCTTCAACTTTGCTGTCGATGACGTTCTAGAAACAGCTCTGATGGATGTAAGTAATGGCGGTGTGGATCTGTTGCCTGGAGAAAGACTTCTCGACCTTGAGTATGCGAATGATATTTTCTTACTATGCGATAATACCCGAGTCATACAATCCGTACCTCATCAGTTGTTAATCAATGTCCGTAGGTATGATATGTGCTTTGGAAATGGTCGAGATATTCGTGTATCTGGATAGTTGCATAAATGCTGATGGTGGCGTGAGTGATGAGATCGATGCACGTATAGTGAAAGCCAGAGCGGCTTATGCCAATCTGGGCCATCTTTGGCGCTTTCGTGACGTTAGTCTGGCTGTGAAATGTCTGATCTACAATGCGTCGGTGAAAGCAGTTTTGCTCTATGCTTTTGAAACCTGGCCTCTCCGAGTTGAGGATGTTAGACGACTCTTTGTGTTTGATCATCGTTGTCTCCGAAGGATTGCTGACATGCAGTGGCGACACCATGTTAGTAATGCAAAGGTTCAGCATCGTGTGTTCGGGCGCAGAGACGATAATTCAATTGGTGTCACCATCTTGAAACATCGACTTCGGTGGCTTGGACATGTTCTACGAATGTCGTCCCAGAGAATTCCACGTCGTGCATTATTTGCCAACTCTGGGACTGGTTGGAAAAAGCGGGGAGGTGGTCAGTGTATGACATGGTGTCGTGGTATGAAAGAAAGCTGCAAAGGCCTAGCTTCTGTTGGTCCTTCACGACTCCCTGGCTGGGGTCCTAGAGATAGTGCAACACAGTGGCTAGAGACGTTATCAGATATGGCTCAGAATAGAAACCAGTGGCGAGCCTGCTGTAACCTTCTTTTACTTTCTTCATAAAGAGTGGTTATAACTTTCTTAACTGAGAGAGTTCTTCTGGTTGTACATTTCAGTTCCCCCATCATTACTCTTCTCTTTTTTTCATCCTTTTTTTCCTTCCTTTATATATATGCATCTTCCCCCTTTCTCCCCCCATTCTCATTATTTTGTTTGGCGCATATGTATCTGATGCCCTTTTTACCAATATGTATGTGTTTAAATAAATAAATAACAACTATGAAAATTCGTATACTGATCATTCCACGTCGGTTATCTATACACAAGTCGTTGTCAAGATCCATCTAGTCTTCTCAACAGGAAATTAAGGAAATAAAATTACACGTCGACTCGTACTTCTAATTCAAATTTTTCTGTGTGATAACAGTCGTTGATTTTCATTTTGATTTCATTGATTTCATTTTGGTCTATACTTTCTGCAGGAATAACGAAATTTGGGATATTTTTATGATGTAATCTTTTTTGTCCTTTTATAAACTCAAATATTTATCGAACAAGTATGAATACGAATGTATAACTTAGGTAAATTATGTCATCGAAAAGAAAATTTTCTGCACCAAGTTCTCTATAATTACTATCTTTGAAATTCTCATCTGACAGTTGTGTTTTACAACTTCCTTTAATCTTAGGTGGTGGAAAGAGCCTGTGTTATCAGCTTCCAGCTGTTGTTCAGTCTGGTTTAACGGTTGTAATTTCCCCCTTAAAAGCACTAGTGTTGGATCAAGTTACAAAACTTCAGTCACTTGGGGTAAGTCTTGTTTTTAAAATGTATTTTCAGGATAATTAGTGAGAGTAGTGCGAAAATTATATAAAATGATTGAAAATTAAAATAAGAGCTTCAGTATTAAGTATCATACTAAATCCTCTGTAGTTGTAATTTTCTTAAATGTTTTTACCGTACTCCCTTATTGCGTTATTTGGTTTATCATAGGAAAAAAGTGCCTTTTACATTTTCAACATGTAATACGCTCTGTGACAAACTTTGTCACACATTTTTTGAGTTTGTATAGCTTAGTCGTAGAATTTTGCTGTCACTCGTGTTTAATAATACTGAATTTTTACTGCATTTTTCCAAGTTATTTTAAGTCTACAAAGTACCTATTTCAGCAAATATTCTGTTACTGCTAGTTATATTGCTTTTTGTATTTTATATTTTACTATGGTTGTTCCCCCATTGTTTCTTTTATATAGCTCTGCAGTGATGTGTATTTTCTGAAATTTTTAAGGTGCAGTTTGTAAACTTCTCAGCATGTGGCTTGCAGCTACTAAAAATTATATGATATTACAGATCAAAGTTTACTCTTTTTGATCTTTATCTTAGTATTTCAGACTTGCAGTGGGATGTATTATTTTTTGGGGGAGTGGTTAATCATTTGACTATAATATGTTGCATACACATAGTTCCCTTTATTATCATGAAGAGAGCAAAAACGAAGATTGATGCAGAATAATATGAATTCATTTTATTTCGTCAGGTTCTCATCAGCTGCTTACAACCTATAATATCTTAAAATGAACGTTATTACAGATATTGACATACACATGCATACGGCAGTGATTAAAGATGAATATGTGTATCATGAAATCTTCGCTACAACAGCTCTCTCTAATATACTGCTAAATTCGCTTTAAAGAATTCTTAGTTTTTGGCTTGTGTGGCTAAATGTGAACGTTCCACTACTTCTAATTAGTTTTATTGTGGTAGGTAACTGCAGCCGTGTATTACGGACATCATCTCTCTTAACTATTTATCCAGATGACTATGTTTGTGATCAATTTGCCTTACTTCTTGTAGTTTCATTCATAACAATTTTGTCGTCAATACTGGTGATTTATTAAAAGTTATCTTGGGATTAGAAGTGTACTCACTTTTGCTTATTTTTAGGTTCCAGCTGCTCATCTAACAGGTGAGGCCAGTCTCTCCGAAACTGATCAAGTATACACTGCTTTACATATGGCCAATCTGCGCCTAAAACTTTTGTATGTAACACCAGAGAAAGTATGTTCCTTTCTTTGTAAATTACACGCTTTTTGATATAGGTTTGTGTTATATTTGATTGAAGTATATTTTAACTGTTGTTAAATTATATCTAACACAGTATACATATCATCATATAGTAACCGAAAAATACTGTGGTTATTAGCCTTTAGATACGTAAAAGTGAAGTATAATCACTGTGTTAAGCGTTGGCCTTCTGGTTAGGGCTCATGGATTCCAACCTTTAAGACTCATATCTGAACCCTGTCTCACTCGTTTTATTTAGAAAAGTCGGATAGTATCATTAACCTTTATGCAAACGTTCTGCTCAAAACCGAGCTGTTTGATAAATAAACTACAGTGTCTTTGTATTAAGGATGTTGCTATTCTGGGCTGCATTTTCTTGAATGTATGTTCCTCGCAGTTCATGACGGTTTCCGTTTCAACCTGATCTGTAGTACTCACAATTTTTATAAGTCTCTTTAAAGTATTCACGATGCTCTCAATAAGGAGAGGAAATAATATAGAAATAACCGTTGTAATTACCAGCAGTAGCTACTGTGTACTGTCCCAGGACCCAAAAGGTTGGATTGATTTAAGCCATTTATTTGATAAGTAGCATATCCCTAGAGAATCTTCAAAAAAACCAGTAACATTTAATGGAATACTGGGAATGGCATTTCTTCAACATCTAAGGTGTTGACGAGTGTGTCTCTGAAAATCTTTGATTTTGACTAAAGAATCCTGTCTGTGTCTGCGTCTTAGTAGCATCATTACTTCTTCTATTGATGGTGTAGTTCTTTTTATTGTGTTGACATCAGGTGTGTACTTGCCTTTACCACATAACCTATGGTATGATACTACTTAAACAGTAATTTCTCAAATTTTTCGTAATAAATTTCTAGATCGCTGCTTCCGATAAGCTGAAAGGATGCCTGGAACAACTGTACAAACGTAAACGTTTAGATCGTTTTGTGATCGATGAGGCACACTGTGTCAGTCAGGTGAGTCTTTTATTAACAGTACAATGCACTCAAGTAAAAGCTAATCAAGATACTCAATATGAAGACTCATATGAGGGAAGCATTTAAAAATATAGTGAATTAACCCGGATAGCGTTAACTTAAATGTCCCTGAAAAGTCCTCTAGTCATATATTGCAAAATCTTATTTCACGTGGATATCTTTGTCTATATCAGTGTTTAGCTTTTCTTGAAAACAACACAATTTACAAATATTCTGCGTCCGGAAATCCTCAACAGTATTGACCACTTAGTCCTTACTAGCTAGTTTCTGACTAGTCACCCGAGGTTATCGCTACCCACATTATCTATATCATTTTTAAGAGTGTCTAGCTCTGTCCAGTTTTTGCTATCTGATTGTATTTTTTTACTATTAATAGTGGGGCCATGATTTTAGACCGGATTATAGAAATCTAAATATTCTACGAATCAACTTCCCAGACGTACCAATGATGGCCATGACTGCTACAGCTACACCAAAAGTTCGTAGAGATATTCTACTTCAGCTGAAAATGACAAATACTAAGTGGTAAGTTATTTTTGTTCAGAATTTCATTTCTATGAGCGGTTCAACAAATTACAGTCAAGAAAATCCTAATGAATAACCTAAGTTTATCATTACCATCTGTTATATTCGGTAACCTCCGTCTGTGTCCTCGTAACCCAAAACTTCCGTTATTACTCGAAATCCAAATCTTACTGTTCATCATGTATAACTATTTGGAATTTTGGGTAGTAAAATAAATTGGTAAAGGTATATGCTATTGCAAGTTTTCCTATGCAACAGTGTCATTAAACATATGTTGCTTACTGTTAAAGTCATAAAGTGATACGTATCTGAATATTTTGCAATATTTTGCGTGTCGTTGATAATCAGATTGTTTGGTGACTGGCTCAAGGCTTTCATGCCGATTCAGAATCTGCGGTATTCTGTAGTTCATTTAGTCCCTTTGTTGCATAAGATAGTAGTGATATGATCCAGCAGGTTATAATTCGATAATCTAAACGAATTTATATATATTTTTTCAAGTAATATAATATTGCAACTCAATCAGAGTTCGTTTCGATGATGTAGCATCTGTCAACTTATCCGTCTTTTTTCAGTAGATTTCGATGCACCGATGCTTAAACCTGTTAAATTCACAAAAGAGGTTTTATTTAGTTTAAGATAGTTACTTTCAGATGTAAATGTTTTCGTGACATCTACAATGTAAGTTACTAGTTTTGGACTAATACAGCTCGTCATTTGTTTTCACTAACTGTTAACTTTCGTCGAGTAGGGAAATACAATCAGCGATCTATATGAATAAGGATTGCGCATGTTTTTGCAACAGTTCAGATCGCGTCCGATATCTGGATTCACTCATTATTTATATTTTCTTTCTCGAATATTAAATATTTTATTCTCATGTACCTTGGTATACCTTGTCTTATTACCTCTTGTTTTTAACTATTACTAATGTTTTTTTTCCTATCGGGTTGTTACTCTGTATAATTGCTTGATTTGATTTTGTATTCTATCAAATTATAAGTTCTTAAATTCATGAATTTAAGAGGGTCGGCTCTTAAGACTTGGTTTCATCAGTTACAGTATTTCTAACCAGTTGGTGTATAAGAACTTTATTAAATTTTAGTTGAACTTGTGAATTTTTAGTTTTTATCATGTAACTTGAAAGGCTCTCTACTCGAGCACAACTGGTCGAGTGAGAGCCTATGGCGAACTGTCATCAGAACTGATTACCACAAGTGGTGTTCATCAGGGCTGTCCACTCTCCCCATTCTTGTTTGACTTTGTCATTGACATACTTTTAGAGATAGCACTTTCATCAGCTAAACCTCCAGGAGTTGAACTTTTACCAGGAGGCTCACTTGTTGACTACGCCGACGACATAGTTTTACTCGGTGAAGACGCTGACAACATGCAGAGTCTTCTGACCACTATAAGCAACTATGCAGGCATGTTCGGGATGCGATTCTCTCCCTCGAAGTGCAAAATGTTACTTCAGGATTGGGTTGCAGCGACACCTGAACTAATGATAGGGAGTGAAGTAGTTGAGCGTGTAGACCACTTCACTTATCTTGGGAGTCTCATCAGCCCTTGTGGTCTAGTATGTGACGAAATCTCAGCACGGATACAGAAGGCTCGTCTAGCTTTCGCCAACTTGCGTCATTTATGGCGTAGGCGCGATATCCGTCTAGCAACAAAGGGACGGGTTTACTGTGCAGCAGTTCGCTCCGTCCTACTTTATGGCAGTGAAACATGGCCAATAAGAGTAGAGGATATTCGTAGGCTACTAGTGTTCGATCATAGGTGTCTTCGGAGCATTGCTCGTATATCCTGGGACCACCGGGTAAGTAATGCAGTTGTTAGGAAACGAGTACTAGGTAGGGATGGCAAATCGATTGATGAAGTAGTGAAACTTCATCAGTTGAGATGGCTGGGACATGTGTTACGTATGCCGGACCACCGACTGCCCCGACGTGCAATGTTTCATGGTGTAGGAGTAGGTTGGAAGAAAGCTAGGGGTGGCCAGACCAAAACGTGGCACAAATCAATGAAGTCACTGACAAGTGGACTGAGCCATGTTGGTAGGTGTAGACTACCTGGTTGGGATTCGCGAGATGACAGCAACCGATGGTTAGAAACCTTGAATGACATGGCTCAAAATCGTTTGCAATGGCGAAAGTGTATCCTTTCTTTGTGTTCTACCAAATTCTAATCTTCTGAATTCCTCATGTCTTTATCTTTTTCTCTTTCCAAATTTATTTCACTGTACTATACTCCTTCAATAATTTCTTCAAACCCTAATCTTTTGGATTTCTGATTATACTCCTACTACTTCTACCACTATGGGATTTGAATCGACAACTTCATCTCTGTGCTAATGTGGTATGGCAACTCGAACTGATGTACGTACGTACGAAGTTCTACGTTGTGACTGACTGACTGAACTTGAAAGGGATATCACAGGAACTACTTGTTTAGATTTGAAGTACATAGTTTTTAATCTCACCTCCAGTTTGTTGGTGCTCTCATCCTTATATATTTATAACTCAATAATTTACATATTCTATTTGTGTCCCTGCAGCCATCCGTTTAAAATCACCGCTGTTTGCTCTCTGAGCAGTTAGATTTTGTACTCAACTCTTAACCGTGGTAAATAAAGTTCACAGTCTCAAGTGGAAAATACTTCGTGAACAACAAGTTTTTACGCACAGTTTTAAGTTTTCTACAACTTACCGAAACATATTTTATCCTAGCTATTTTTAATACATAGGTTTATTCAAAGTTTCAACCGTGCAAACTTGAGATTTGAGGTTCGGCCAAAAAAGCTTAAAAATTGTACAAAAGAGATTATTGATGTTATACGTAACGAGTTTCCTAAACGATCAGGAATCGTTTATTGTCTATCACGTCGAGAATGTGATGTCGTAGCTGAAGAGCTGAAGGCTGCTGGTCTTCAAGCGTCCGCCTATCATGCTGGAATGACAGATGCTCAGAGGCGAAATGTTCAACAGGCATGGATACAAGAAGATAAATGTAAGGCAAGTACTGTTTTAAGTTATATCACCTAGTTTTCTTCCGAAAACAATAGATTTAAAAAACCTATACTTAATATATTCTTTATTCACTTTTTAAATTAAGAAATTTCAAACCCTGTGTAGGTTAAGTCTAAAATAAACTACTTTTTAATTCTATTTAGATGCTTGTGACTATTTTCCTTTATTTGTTTTTTAGACAGAAAGCTGTGAGTAGAACTTCTTTACACATTAGCTTATCGCTTTTCCCTAAAAAAAACAAGAAACCAGCAAAACTAGGAGGCATTCTGAATTAACTCAAACTCAAAAACTTGTAAAGTGTCAGGAATTTCTGAGTTAACCAATAGAAAAGATGAATGTAACTATTTAACCGTCAATTATGTTTTGTAAAGTTTTCAACCATTGTGTCTGGTAGAATATGTTTGTCATCAGACAAAGTTTACTTCCTGACCGATTCAACGCCTTGTAGATGGCTATTTACGTCTTTTAAGGATTCACAAAACGTCCCTCTTATAAGCATTATATTGCTACATGCTCTTTACATTAGATTTCACAAAACTTGCCTAAGGATTAAGGAACATGGTGGTCAGAACCTATCAATTATTTGGTAGCAACATCTACATCTGGTAACTACCTGAAGTTGTGTCAACTCATTCAAACCAGCATGAAATCTGATGTCACTGAAACGGTTCATGAAGTTGATAAGACATCAAGTTAATAATATTCAAAGTTGTTTCGGTCAATAAACGGGGTTTTTTGAGAGATATTTGAGGTGGTTTGTTTCCCCGGCAATATCAATCAGACTGTCCTGTCTTCCCTGACCGATCCACCTTACTGAAAGGAGGTCCTTAAGGAGCTCTTATATTTAAAACGTCCCAAACTACGTAGTCCAGAGAATTTGACCTCTGCTCTTAAGGATGATAGTGAATTGATTGGGTTATTTTGGGAGAATTGTGGCATAAAGACTGCTCCAACATCTTAGAATAAGACGACCATCATTTCCTTCTTTAAAAAGAGCTCACATCATTTATAAAATAACTCATGGGTATTGGGTTCGAAATATCGGCTTTCACCATACTCCGCAGATTGTGTGAAACTTGTAAAAGACTGACCCTCTGGAAGCTGGCTGTTTTTGATCAGATTTTCACCTTTTATTGAGTGTAAGAATACTTATTTCAATCCACCAGCGATTGTGTTTCTTAATATCAGAGTTGCGTTCGGTACAATGAGATTGTTCTCTGGGATGGTCTAATAAAGAAAAGTATATCTGAGAGGTTTGGCAATATCTAAAAACTATTTTACACAATTATCTCATCAGAAAGAGAAAGGCTGACCATCGCTTTCCACTATCAAGAACGTCTGTCCACAGTCTCATCGGGCTTAAAAATCTCAAAACGATCGATTAGTTACCCCTGCTATAATTTAAAATTACATTACGTATCATATTACTTAGGATACCAGTTTGTTCATTTTTATAATAGTTATCCATATTAATCGTTGTTATCTTAGCATCCTTACGATGCAATACACATGTCTTACCTTGAATATATGAAAAAGGACGAAGTACAACTATGTAACGACAAAGAGAATGGGCTGGTTATGCAATTGTTCATTGTCATATTAGATACATAAATATTGGGAAGTTACACTGTGTCATGTCGTTCAATTGTCTAAGTTTTCAACAAACCCAGAGGTATACATGCAAATAATCTAAATACAATAATTAATCTAATGTTGATATCGGATTCATTTTAATAAATGTTCAACGTTAATAAAAATCGCTTAACAATAATTTAAGATATAATTCCGAAATTCATTGTATTCATAAAAGTTAATTGTACGTAGTCGTATTTTAAATTTGTAGATTGTATGCGCAACTATTGCTTTTGGTATGGGGATAGATAAACCAGATGTTAGATTTGTTATTCACCATTCTTTACCAAAATCAATTGAAGGTTATTATCAAGAAGCTGGACGCTCAGGAAGAGATGGATTACCCTCGACATGCATTCTTTATTATCATTGGCATGATGTTGTCAGATTACGGAAGTTAATACAAGGTTATGTCAAGTTGTACTTGAAAAAACTTCTAAATTTTATTTAATCTAGAAAAAAGGCCCTAAACCATTTTTTCTCAAATGTTTATCCATTTACTTATTGACTGAAAATTGTATGTTTTTGTCCATGTTTTACAAGTTTATCAAGTACATGTTAAGAATAAGTAATATTCAAATCTTGACAAATGTTACTGTTACACGTCAATATATAAGTTCAGTTTGTTCACCATATAAGCTGAAATCCAATATCGTGATCTTACTGTAGATTCTAAAAGAATTCAGCTTAGGAGTTTGATAAATATTGTACTAAATAACCATCAAGTATTACACAGTATTCAATAATTCTTCAATCAGTATTAAATTATAATGCAAACTATATTAAAATGTATTGCAGACATTTTTAAATCATTAACCAGAAAACCTTTGTACAAAATAGACAGACTGTAGTTCACAGTGTAATCTAGGATGCACGCTCCATCGTTTTTAGAATTCATTAGCTAGATGTATCTAAATCCCAGAGTTGATGTACTACTGGGCTGTCAGTCCTGGAGTAAACATCAAATCTGTAATGAAAGAACATCCAGCTGATGAGCCCTAAATAAGGACGAAACCTGGTTTCCACTGCTGTCTTCAGTTCATCTATTGCGAATCAACTTGTATCTTAATGGCTATATTGAGACATTCCGCATAGAATGCACATATACCAACTAGGACTAATTAAATTTCAGTCAAAATACAACAACAACAGTATAATTCAAGCCATTTCAAATTAAATCAGAAAATCTTATTTTCCTATATATATATATATATATATATATATATATATATATGCATTGGTCTTTTCTGTAAATTTCTTACCAACACATCACCTGCTTCAGTTTGGGCACCTGGGCAGTATCGCAGCCCTCACACAAATCAAATGAGGTTTGTGAGGCGCATATTTATCTGGTGCTTCCTTGTACCAATATTTATGTGTTTAAATAAATAATAAATAAATTACCAACACATCGCAACCATACTCGTTACATTTAGGCGATTGTACGTAAAATTGCATTTGGTTATTGCGTTAAATTACTATTTTTTCTTTAACATAAAATATAGTTCTGATTAGTTGGTTGATTACTTTAGCAGTAATTTACTATTCTTTGCTAAGTTTTGTGGGGAATTTAATATTTGTAAGGTAATTACCTTCACTATAGTCTGACATTGTCGGATGCTTTCTATCTCACAATCGTAGAGAATTTATAATAAAGCGAAATGATAAGAATGTGAAATTCAGCCTGGTGATTTCATAATTTTGATTTCTTTATAGCAAATGTATTATTTTGACTTGATTGCTAGTCACCTATCAGTTATTCTACGATCACTTACTGATCATAATAAAATCCTACAGTGTTCAACTAGCACCGTTGTTTTTTATGTAAAGTTTGTCGTTCCCTAGCTTTCACACTGGCTAGCTAATAGTTTTATATTCAATTGTTTCTTGATAATCCAGGCGATGGATCTTCTGCAGTAGCTAGAGGAACTCATCAGTTTCACGAAGATGCACTTTACCGTATGGTTTCTTATTGTGAAAATCAAATTGACTGTCGTCGTAAACAAATACTATCACATTTTGGTGAAGCATTCGATTCAGCTACTTGTGGAACTATAGTCGGTTGTTTATGTGATAATTGTCAGTTGTCTGATCGAAGACGTTTAGAACACAGAGATGTAACAGAAGATGCTATCAAAATAGTTCGTACAGTTGAATTGTTTGTGCGATCACGACGCAATGTAACAGTGAATTATCTTGTGGATATTTTTCGAGGTAGATCATATTATAAATCTGTATAGTTCTTGTATGTTACATTTGTTTGACATTATTACATACTGATACATTAAGCATGTAGAATTTGTGTCATCTGATTTATCCAGTTTGGTTGAAATCAGAGTATTATGGCTTTGACTGAACTAATTGATATGTATACATTCAGTATGATAGGCAAAGAGCTTATTTTGAGCTTTTTCAACAAGACCAATAAAATGGTTGTTTTCTGAAATGATGATTATTAATCTCAGTTTGTGTTAATCAGAAAACAAAATACAAATAAGATAATAATAATCAGGATGAATGGGAAAATGTGTTTTTGAATTGAAGAAAACAGTCCTTAAGTTTTAAGTTACTATGTATGACGTCAAGTTAATGCAACGATAGAAACCCTATTTATCTTAGTGAAGAGTGCTGTGAGTATCAACCAAGTAGTTTGTCATATTCTTATGTTCATGTCAACTTTTTAGTGACATTACTTTTATATGAAGTGAGAGACTAATAAAATTATAATGAGGAGCACATCATTTCCAATCACTTATTTCAATCTGAAATATGTCATTAATCTTTTCTTTCTTGATCAGGAGCAAAAACTAGTCAAATTCAAAAAAGTGGTGATGAATCAAATCAAATCTATGGACAAGGTTCTGCTTATTCAAAAACAGATGCTGAGAGACTACTCCATCGCCTTGTTTCCGAACGTATTTTGTATGAAGAGTTAGCAGTTACACAACTAGATCATGTTGTTGCCTATGTTCGTCTTGGATCAAAATCAACAGGATTACTAAATGGTTCCATTAAAGTGAGTTGTTTTTAGTGTAATTGATTGATATACACTTCGAGATTATAAGAATTAATGGAATTCCTTTAGAATCTAGAATTGACGACAATTAAAGGGAAGTTGAAAACCAGGGATTAGGGAACGATTTCTACATTCCTCTTGCGAACTCTTTTTGGAAACATGCATCCTCGACTTGATGCACCCATCGAATTATTACTTCCGGTTATGAGCGGGCTGTCATTCTAATATTGCTTCAAAATGCAGTGGTTTACATTTTGACTAAGTAATGCAAATTACTAAAATCAAAACCTAAACTGAACAATCATTTTGTGCTCCCTTGTTTTCAATTGTTTACCAGGTAATAATAATTAGTACATTGATTAATTTTCACTACATTAGACTTTCACAAAATTAACCAATTGGATTAGTGCATTACCTATTTAGGAATCAGTGTTTGTAAAATATTTAAAAAAGAAAACCCTCATATAGATACATTCAACGTTTCGAATTCAGTTTACAACTCTATTCAAATAAAGAAAATTTGGTGTTTGTAGGTTGATGAACTAAGTATTTATTGATTTTGTGATTATTTGGTTGTCTCATTTTTGGATCAACAAACAAATTACTTGATTTTTATTTATAGATTACTTTACCCGTTTCTATACCGAATCGATCAGGACAAAGTGAAACTAATGTTGTTGGTCGCCCACCAGAAGATCGTTATGCCAGTGTTCGTAATCAATGTTATGAGGAATTAGTTCAAGCAGCAAAACAACTTAGTAAGTCATTGTTCTACATTTGTGTTTGTGTAATTGACATCAAATTGATTTATTTTGTTCTGTTAACGTCTTTTTGGTTTATAGTGAATGTCTTAATTTTTACTTGGTGGAAACAATCTTTAGTATTTGCTATTGTGTTTATAAAAAAACAGCCCTATTTTTGTCAATTAAAATCTGATTGGTTTAGTCGCTACCTCTTGGTTCATTTAGTCAATTTTCGACGAGTAGGCTATGGATAATATATTTTCTAAGTCTATCTCATTTTATATAGTCGAATTATTTAAACCACCCGTTAAATGTATGAGGGCTTCGTAGTGCTCTATCTCTACTGATATGAGTTACTGTATTATCTCGGGTGGATGCACCAGGTTAAAAATTAACTGTAAATGACACATGATACTTCTCGGTTCTTTATATACTCCTTTACTTTATTGATTAGTTTGAGAAGTAGTTGTAATTAAACTGTAAGGCTTTCTATCAAGTATTAAGTTTATTAGCTAATAATACTTTTTTATTTTGAGAATATTACAACCAATTAGTTTAATTAGGACTTATTTTTGACGATGTGGTGTTTATTGGCTTTGTTATTATATTCGATTTGCAATATGCTATAGGTCTTACCACTGGAATGCCTTGTTCAACCTTGAATATATACATGTAATATTTCATAGGGGAACGCGATGAAATCAATAAACATTTTCTACTGTCTAACTGAAACTACACACTTGGGATTATATTCTTGTTTTATTGTCAACTGTTCAATTGGTTATTATTATTGTTGTTAATTTTCACTATTCAGCGTCAGCTCAAGGGATTTCAAATTATGCTACTGTATTTCCAAATGAAATGCTATTAGAAATGGCTTCAAGTTTGCCATCTACTCGTGAAGAATTACTTCAAATACCCCAGTGTACGGATTACAAATTGAATTGTTTCAATGCAGAATCATCATTTTTAGAAATCACCTTAAATTATCTTTCAATTCTTGGTGGTAAGATGCAATTGAATTATTTAACTCAGTACTATATTTATTCTTTAAATGATTTTTTTCATTTCGTTCAAATTACCACTTTTGTGTGTTAGATGAGCATTTTGAAATATCGGTAATAGAAATATTTATCTTCTATAGTTTGTTTAGTGATAAAGAAAATCACAGGTCGGAATTATATACCAATGATTAACACTAACCTTGTTGCGAGAGCAGAACAAGCACTATTAGATTGGGTGCCCGTTAACAGTCACCTATGTGCTGTTCGACTAAATAGCTCCGTAAGAACTCGTAAGGATAGGGACACACGTCGTCGCCTTTTCCTCGTTTCTGCCTACGCTCCCACTGACTGCAGCCCCGGATGAAGTGAAAGATAACTTTTACAGAAAGTTGTCTGAACTTCTTCAAAAAGCTAAACGCTCAGACATAATACTCGTTGCAGGTGAATTTAATGCCCAATTAAGTAGCTTGATCCAGAGAGAAAGACATATAGGTGGGTATTTTAGTATCCCGGCTCAGCGAACAGATAATGGTGATCGTCTGTTGCAACTGTGCTCAGACAATCGTTTGTTTTTAGCGAACTAATTTAAAACATAAGAAGAGACATCGTCTAACATGGCGACCACTTTCACCAAACCAACGATGGACTCAAATAGACCATATTGTCATAACTCATCGTTGGAGAGGCTCGATAGAAGATTGTGGCTTGTATCGGAATACTTGTTTAGACTCTGATCACGCTTTAATACGAGCACGCATTTGTCTGCGCCTCACTGGATGCAGAAAAACCACACTAAGAAGACCCAATAGAATTGAACTAAGGGACGAGAAAGCCAAAAGTAAGTTCCATGAACAACTTCAACTACTCTACATTCACCCACCATTCCCAAACAGTCTGAAATAAAAATTGAAGTAGGTCCCTCAACTCTAGTTGAAGTTCAAAAGGTTATAGCTATATGTGCATGATCCTATGTTGTAGTTGACTGACTGACATTAACCTTCAATTTTTTTCCAATAGAAAGTAATTGTTTTATATTATAGTTAAGCATGTTTCCATCATGTTCATTCCATACGATTGGTATGTTATTTTCAAACCCTTACTACACTTTGTTTGGGTCATACGAAGTACTATTCCTTGTTTTGCGATCATTTATGGTTAAATCGGGAATTTTTGACTATGAGTAACTTCACTACGTCGTTAAAAAAATTACAAAAAATAAAATTAGAGTATTGGAAGACTGGATAAGGTACTGAACAAAAGAAAATTAGTACCAAACTAATTTTTATCCTTTATACTTGAAAATTATCTCTTTAAGGAGATATCTTCGTCTTTCATAATAATTATTCTCTCTGTAAAATAATAATCCAATGTTTCGTTCGTATCAGTCTTGCTTAAAATAAAGCTTCCACACTGTTTTGATTTTTAAGCCTTAAAAGCTGAAGAAAAAGAACATGAGGAAATGAACACTCCACAACAATCTTTACCATTAATCAGTTCCAGTCGGGGTCGAGGACGTAGTAATTTCTCTAAACGTGGTCGTACAAAGGCTTACAGTACGAAAAAGGTTTGTAAATTTCATTTGTTTTTTTTGTATCATTAAAAAAATGTATTCACTCATTGTTATAATTATGGCCTTATTCAATATGGGCGAAGTCGTACTGCTTACTGTAGAGAGGTGTGACAGCAGTAAGGTATTTCACTCGAACAACTAGCATCTGCAGCGATGCTGTCTCCTCACAAGGAAGGAAGGGTTTAGAAAAGGTCGACCCTAAAAATGTACATCTCGCCTTATCCCACGGATTTCCGTCTCCGGTGGTAAGGCCCTCTAAAGAACAAAACTAACACGTCAAGAAACCCCCACTAAAAAGTCGTGCGTGGTTTGGCTTCAAGCAGTTGTCTTTTAGGCTCTGCGGCTACACTCCCAGGTCTTTAGGACAAACATTAATCCAACTTCCTTCTCAGATCCCTTAAGAAATACTCTCACGGTGTGGGGAGCCGTGAGATGACATCAGCCCTCATACCCGTGATAGCACACAAGACCAAGTTGGGCACAATCAAGTCCTTCCTACACCTCCTTATAACTCGTATCTTCACGACTAACCCTTCTCACGTCCCTTTATCACTTCGCGCCGCTAATACAAACGACTCGAGTATGTGGAACGTTATTCCTGGTGTCCTGAGACCACGCTCTAAACTACATGTAGGAGCTTTTAACGTCCGAACACTGTGCCAAATAAGGACAACAGACTTCCTCAGCTAGGTGTGTGCTGCGTGTTCGAAGCGAACATACAGGATCCGAGTAGCGTCATAATTCGGACCTCAAATTGCCTAACCACCGAGCGATGTTTTATGGTATAGGAGTAAGTTGGAAGAAAGCTAGAGGCGACTAGACCAAAACATGGCGCAAATCCATGAAGTCACTGATAAGTTGACTGAACCATGTTTGTAGGCATAGACTACCTGGTTGGAATCTGCGAGATGATAGCAACCGATAGTTAGAGACCTTGAATGACATGGTTATACATTAACATCATAAATGATACCTTATTAATTATTTTTAATTGAATATTTCAGATAACGTCAAGTGGCGGAGTCGAACGTAAACGAAATTATCTGTTTGGTAAATATCAATTCAAATCCAATCCCAGTTCGTCAGCGTCATCCAGTAGCTCAGCAGGCTGGAAACGGTAAAAACTTTATTCTCAGTAAATGGCTTGACTATTGTTGTTTATCTTAAATTCTTTATATTCATTGTGAAGAAATAAATAACAACTCGATTGTTACTAATTTTTGCGTCCTATCTAGCCACCACTATTCAGAAAGGCTGTATTTATGCGAATCGACCTAATTTCATTCATCATCTCATGTTTCTATTAATATTCTAGTAATTTAACGTAAAGCTTGACAAACTAGTTATTTTACTCCTTTATATTTTAGTCATAATATGACAATCACACATTTTCTGGATTTACTATTTATTGACGTATAATACAAGTATCATTAGAAACTGATATTATTTTAAGAGCTGCTATATATGAAGGAGCGTTTCGTATGGTTTTAAGCTTCCTTGATTTTGTCCGTAATCAAATGCACAAGCTTCAGTTATTGTAATGAAAAAGTCTTTGTTCAACCTGTCTTTTGTAATCTTTTAGTCGCAGGTTTTGGAATTGAATCAGCTTGCTACTTAGTGTTGCTGGTTAATAGCATTTTTCCTCTTATCGCTAATTCCAGGAAGTACATCAGTCTCTTTGTTTGCTTACAATATCGTACTGGTCTGTTTTAGTGTGTAATAACTATTATTGTGTACTTGGCATCACGGACTGATCTTAGTTAATGAACCACTAAAACCAGAAAATACTGGCTAGCTTTTGCTTCCTAGTATGGGACTCCTCAACGTTGCGCACCCAGTACCTTTAAGTCCCTTAGCAAGCGCTAAACGTTTAGATTACCAAGCCGACATCCAGTAGTTGTCTAACTTGATATTACGTAATCATATCCTATTGATGGGCAATCGCCTCTCCATTAGCCACTGTCTGTCATTAGAAGTCTGGGAATTCGCTCCCGAAATTGAAAGATTTCTAGATGTTCCCTGAGTGGTAATTGTTTTGTTCGAATAAAACATCTGTCATATCGATTACACAACACTACAAAATAAGCTTTTAGATATGTATATTTAATCTATAAATTAATTTTCGTACACATTAATGAAGATTGTAGGTATGTTAGTTAATTCCACAATATCATTTTTTTTCATTTGTTATAGAAAAGCTCCAACAAGTACGTTCAACACAAACACATTTCAACCCAAACTCATGAAACTTTCTGTAAAGCGAGATTAATTAGACATTTTTACCGGTTATTTATAAAGTTACTTATTGTTTTTATGCATTTTGATGTATCAAAATAAATAATTTTAAAATATTCGTCTTTCCTTTTTTCTTCAAAAAATATATGTCTGGCAAACGTGGGTCGAAATATTACTTAAGACAACTAATTATTTTGTAAATGTGAATGTAACAAACTCAAGCCTATCAAAGGTCCTTATGATTGCAATATTGGTTCACTTTTAAAAACTCAGATTCTTTGTTTTGACAAAACACTAATGTCCTACACTAGTTAATGTGCCATCATATCAGTGTGTAGTGTCTGTAAGATGGTGATTACCCAGATTCTTATCCCGTTATAGCAACTATCCTACAACCATTTTCGATCATGGTTAGTCCTTTTTATTAACTTAATTAACAGACATTGTCATTCGGATAGTAACAACTTGCATATTTCTTTGTAATGTTATGACCACTAGAGCACATGACACTCTAGCCAAAACGTTAATTGCTTAAATATCATTCGATGACTCATCCTCCTCCCCATCATATATGCACGCAAATCCTATTATTAGCTTTATCTTGCTGCGTCCTTAAACAATTTGACTATGTGATTGCTTGCGGTCGCTCATATTTTTACTCATGTGCTTGTAGCTTTCTGGCCTGTTATTTTATAATAAACTGTAGTTGCTGCTTCTCTTTGCCTTCTGATTTCATGCACCGTTGATATTTGTATCATAACGGTTATCAAGGTGAGCGATTAGCGAAATATGGCACTACACCATCTTAGTCTTACTTCCTTCTCTCTGGAAAACAATCACATAGATAAGTTAATTCGCCTGTAAACGTCAGTGATGATGCTCCTAGCTACCCGGAATAATCAGAAATACCTAGTTAACATATTTGCAAAACAAGATGTAATGCTGGTTATGTTCGTAGTGTAATGCCGTTTCTCATTCTTCTCTGAAATAAAGCTTAAGTTGGCTTATCATTCGTAGAAATTATTTTACTAGTGCAGCGTGCACTTATTTTACGAAGTTTAAGAATTTCATGCACCATTCTTGACATTGTCAACTTACCAAGATTATTAATAGTCTTGTTTCGTAAGATATACGTAGGTAGGTATCCATAGTCGATTAGGTTGTTAATATCTGATGGGTTATTTAAAGTTGATAGTCATTATATTTCCAGTCAATATAAATTTCCTATGTTTCTGTTTCTAGTATGATAAAAGTCTAAATGAACTATAATAGTTCAGTAGATAAATACCAATGCGATTTTAGATTGTCTTTGGTTTAAATATTTAAATATATTAGCTAGTTTCATATCTTGGTAAACGTGATACTATCATTCAAGAGATGAAATTCACACTTGTTAATGATAAATATATTTTGAAGTGTGACTAATATACAATTGGTCCCTGGTAGATTAGTTGTTTTAACAGTAACATCATACAAGTGTAATAATATTGTTACTTCAGTGGTAGGGCTGGAAGGATTAAATTACTATTTCAGAGAAGTGAACATACACAGTGCAACTTTTTAACATTTAGTGCTTTATAATTTCAAACTAGCTATGTATACTAATGCTCAGTATTGATGGTTCGGTGACCTAGATAAATATGATTCAAAGCGAGCAACCTATCTTCGTGGACAAGTGTTTCATAAGTGCGCTTACGCTACTGTACACACATCAGTTAGTGATAGCAAAGATATCTCTTGAACAATTTATACGGTACATTTAATAGAAAACCGAATAAGTGTACACTTCCTGTAATTAACTTGTATGTGGATTCGATATGGCCGTAATGTCAGACTTAGTTAGGAACGGAATAAGTTAACTCAACATATTTTCAAGTAGCATTGTGAGAAATTCGGATTGAAGAAACAGACTAACATCTAAGTCATTGATTTCTAATGCACATCATCATTCACTAATACAATTGTCTGTAACGATCGAGTTGTTAGTGCAGATATATCGATATCTTCTGCAACTTTGTTTATTTCCATATTTGTATTGGTAGATTGGTACTGATATAATATCATTTAGAAAACCCTTGTTTGTTAGACAGCATTATAATAATAATTTGTTTTCAGGTTTTGCGCTGTATTCTTTCCAAAACTCGGTAATCAAAATTTTAGGCATACCATTATCATATCATTTTATCTTATGATTGAGGTCACTACAAATATGCTTATGTCCATAACATTCCGTTGCTGTGTTTAGAAATCCACGAATCCCGTTTATTTAGAACTGTAGCAGTAAGTGAGACATATTTAAAACGATTTATTTTTGAGGGAAACAAGGGTAAGGAAAAAAATTACATGTGTATAAGAATTAACCAAACTCTTTAATGCTGTATACTGATCAAAAAGTCACATAAGTGTAAAACAAGTCTCCCAAAATGGGCGAACTACCTGAAATTTTTGGCTAATATTATTAATACACAATCTTGCTTGTTATATAATTTGTACATGTATATTAGTCAAAATGTCATGAAATCAACCATCATGCTGCCTTTAACGAAAAATAATCAGTTGAAGTTACGAAACATAAAAGATGAGAATAATAACGAGTTTATTCCACTTTTCAACAACTAATCTATAGTGAGGCTAATTCGGGTGGAAGTTCAAGCTGTGATAAATCACGGAAATGTAGTAACAGTGCCATCATTTTTGTCAATCGTGGTACAGTGGATGAAACACCGGAATAACCCATAGAGTTTGCAGTCACAGAGCCTTTACCCTCTTCTGAAGTATCGATTTCGTCTCCTGATGATTCGATATGTCGAAGTATAGCTCGATTTAGTGCTCCTGCAACCACTTCAGCGTGTTGAGGACTAAGCAGCTTGCCGTAAATACTTTCAGCAGGATTGTCAAAAGCTAACAGTGCCATAGTATTCTGCATTTCATTTAATAATTGAGGATGTTCTGATAACCGTTTGGCTACTGGATCCGCTAAATACGACTGGGCAAATATAAGGGCTTCTTCTAAACGTTTGTTCCGAATAAGTTCTAGCATTTGCAGCTGTCGAAGCTAATCAACAACAAAAAAAGTTGTAGATGTTATTTAGAGATTAAAAGTCGAAATTTAGTTAATCTACGGTCTAAGCTTTAGAAATAAGTTTGCTTTCTTTAATTTTCCATGTCATATAAATTAAAGGTTATGTGGAAGTGAAGTGTTAAGGATATTTTGTAAGTAATTTACAATATATTGCACCCCTCCTTGCATAATGCGATAATGGATAGAATTCACTCACGATATAGAACACGACACTACTATTTCGTGATGTAGATATGTAACTTATCACTAATAATTTACATCTTACCTATTAAGTTAGTGTGTATTTGTGAAAATTTGGAAGACACAAAATAAACATACTTTAGCCTACAACATTTGTTCTTGCCTCATAATAGAACTATAAGAAATTATTTATTATTGACAGTAGTCATTTGATTAATCATTATGACAATCAGTAATCTGACAGATATTCGTTACATTCGAGATTTGAACTCAATTACTGCCAATAGCTACACTGACCTGTTATAGTCTTTCAGAAACAACGTACGAATAAATGTAATTGGTTTTAAGAGTCCAATTATATTAAAATAATGATGAGTTATACAAATTAAAGCACGCGAAAATACAGTTTATTGTGACGAAGATTTTTCTTGAAGTTTAGTAACAGTTTAGTTCTGCATTACATTCTATCTAGTACGATTTCGGAATTGTAAGAACAGAGTAGGATTATAGTACCTTCACATGATTCTGTTGAAAGTAGTCCAAACAAAAAGATTTGTACTCAGAACTTTTTGGCACTGATCAACTGAGATGATTGAACGTGTCATGTATTCTTAGTCATTGGTCACATTTACGCGCTATTCTGGAGTAAGCTTACAAGTCCTCAAGGGTGATCAGAGAAAGACATGATATGAGCTTATGAAATTAATTATCTACTTCTCCTGGAAAGAAATGTAGACTTATGGTAAGCGAAATCCTAGTGAATAATGATTGTATGTTTTAGGTGACATAGATCATGATTATAGGTAGAGGTACAAACGAGCTTATTTCGAATCTTTCCTGATATTTTACAGTATTATTATTGAAGAAATTTTATTCCTTTGAACTTATTTACCTTCAACCTCTTCACTTTTAAGCTGTTTGGTCATAGCTTGGACTGACATATGTACAAAAATGATTAGAGAAACCGATCTCAACAGCACTACTGAGTCTCAGCCTTTATTTGGTTTCTTTTTATTACAATAATTTTCTACTTCTTTGGTTATTTTTTATATTAAAAGTATCGACCTTGTTCAGTTGTTACTTTGAGATGAGGTATATTTAACCCGTTCACTACTTTTTATGGAGTTTTGGATTTCTTTAGCTTGTAGATGCTATTCATCACAGACTGACCTCATCTGGCGCACCACTAAAAAGCAGGAAACACTGGGAAGCTTCTACAGTTCCAGCTAGTGATTAATCTAATATAACAACTGGATGGTCCACCAATTATGAACTTGTATGAATAGTAGTGAAACTTTACACAGATAACGAGTGTCAAATATTATATTCAAAGATTTTACATAAAATAAGTAGTGTATCTTACCTGAAAGTAGATAAAAGGGTTTTTGTCAAAGAGTTCAGGCCATAGTCGATTCACCGTATCAATAACGTCTTCGATTTTTCGTAACAAAACTGCTTCGCGAATCCACATGCGATCATTTAAACTTGCACCTGCAACTTGCAACTCATTTAAAGGCTCTACAATTCCCGTTTCACGACTGAATTTTTCAGCGACATCTTTGTAGCCTTCGACAACTAAATACTCCAAGATGAGTCGATTTATTTCTTGTCTAGTCAAACTAAGTCCATCTTGCCCTTCAATGGGACCAAGAGTGTGAAGAGGGACACCAATCGATAATGTATTACTTGACATATCAGTCCCGACTGTACTAATAGGGGCTAATTCAGCTTGTCCAGAGTTCACTTCTGTATGTGGGGTAGACATAGGTCTTAACAATAAAGTTAATAACAGGAAAAAGTTATGCCTAAATTTATTTATATGTTTAAACACATAAGCATTGGTACAAGAAAGCACCAAACAGATATGAGTCACAGAAACCATTCGATTCATGTGAGGGCTGGGATACTGCGCAGGTGCCCAAACCGAAGCAGGTGGTATTCTTGAGGGGGACACTCCTCAAGCCTTTGACCTGAGGGTCTGACCCACACGGCAGTGGAGCGACGTAAGGAAATGCAGCCCCATGGTAGTCCGTGACCAATGATTGATTCATACGCCATTTGTTCCTTCAGGATAATAGAGCCCATGTGCACCATTGGTTTGGAATCAGGGTTTTCCAACTCCCCTAGGTGGACCCTCCATATCCACCAACCCGGTTAAAGCGCCGGACATTCGCTTTTCGTCCTCTCAATTTCGTAAACAACACCCCCGCCACGAGAAGGCAGTGAGTAGGACTTCCCTGTCAGAGGCTATATACGCGTGGCCATGTGAGAGCATTTCGAGAGGGAGCGTACTCTCCCCACTCTCGGCCGTACCAGGGCATTTAGGTGGTTTATTTTGACCTATAGAGTATTGTTATATGATTTACCACTCTTGAATTATGCCTTGTTTATCATTTACTATCTCCCTTATTCACAGCCACATTTGGCCGAATCTTGTTATTTTCTATCTTAAGGTACGATGTAGTCTGTTTGGTATATAAACCCAGTATACTTGGAATAAATGATTCATAATTCAGAGGCTGAGATTGGTGTTCTGGACTTAACTGGCTGGGCTAGGCAGAAAGCAGGACTGACAAATACTCTAGACTGCTCGTACGGGTTTCGTGTGTCATTGGTCCGATCGATAATTCGCTGCTCTCTAAGTGGCGGTATTATCATTAACACGGCATCCATGCGGTCATAATTTATAACAAAGCAATGTTTTCAAGGCATCCATGATCGAATAATAGTAACTTATGAGTATCATCTATTCACATTGGTCATGTTTCATACCCATGGAGTAGAACCAAGTGAGCTGCCGAGCAGTGGACTCGTCTTTCGGTTGGGAGACGGTTATCTCGTCTACGTCGCAAGTGAAGTAACTTAGAAAAAGCAAATCAAACTTTCTGAATACATATCGAGATTTCGTCACACTACACAACCAGAACTCATGAGAATCTTAAAATAAATAAAGCAAACTGTGCTTTCAACTAGTTCACTCACTGTCTAAGAATAAAACAGTAAAACAATGCTGTACTGATAACCTTGAACAATCACAACACACTGGTTAGCTATATAATCACTGATAATCGGTGAAAAATTTTCAACAGTATGACATGGTTATTGGGAGCTAACTTAAACTGGTTTACTGCAAACGGAAAAAAGTAATCGGAAAGAACTAGAAGTCAAGTTACGGTTGAGTTATGAGTAAGAGATGAATCTCGGAGTTAGCAGTTATGGTTACGATTTATACTAAACACAATTATAGATACATTTTAGGCACAAGAGCCGACTAACGGATGATAAATATTTGAGATACAACTTGCACCATGTATAGGTGGGTTGTCAAATGTATTGTATTTTCATCACCGTTACAATACACAACGTAGAACCTGACACACGTACATCGGTTTAAATTGTCATATCCTAATATTACAACCAAATAAAATTATTTTACAACGAGTCCCTGCGTAGTAGAAGTATCAGTAAAAGTAAAAGATTATCACGTATACAAGAGAAAAGGTACTGCAGTAAAATAGTTCTATGGAATTTTAAGCACCTTAGATCTTGGTGAAAGCTATTTTGACAGCAAAACTGAACCATAAGGGCGAGAGAATTTCAAACGTGAGAGCTCATTTGAAGTCACAATGTGTACTTTTAAGCAGCACACCTTCTAGCGAATAAGATGAACTGAGTTAGTAATGCTCATTTATTCTAATGAGAATAATTCGACTCAGGAAGACAACCTGAATTATTTTAGTGACGACAGTACCCCAAGATGTCTGAGTAAAGATTTAAGACCAGAATCCATGTTATAGGGTAAAAATGTAGAATTTAGAATCATGGGTTACAGTTGCAATTAGAATTGGGATGTAGAGACAGAGGAAGAGTCTGGAAATAGGATATGGAGTTTCAAATTACAACTTAGTAGTAGAATGCAGAGTTGAGGACTTGGGGCTAGGATTCAAATATAGCCTTTGGTTTACGATTAGAAATAGGTTTTAGGGTGCATACAGATTAACTGCAAAGTCAAATAGCACTCTTTACACTATGAACATAAATAGTAGGATCTACATCCTAATCCCAAACCACAATACTGAGCCGTTTATTGATATTTGTTGTTTCGATGGTCTGTATGTTGATTCAATCAGGATCATTCAAAGATTCCATCTAGCTTACTCTTATAACTAAGTCTCATCAATTTAGGATTTGTTTTCAATGTGTGCGTTTGCTTTTTAATGTCATTCAGTCACCTACAACGCAAGACCACACACATATGCATCGATACAAGTTGCAATACCTCATTAGCACAACAAAATCAACACCAAATTCATAGAAGCAGTTACCTCAATGGTAGCAATTTATTAAAAGAAGAGATTGCATATAAGGATATGATACAGTGAGAAAGAATTAGTTCGTAGAAAGAAGGGTATAAAGTAATTTTGATCTCACAGTTTAAGGGAAGACAGAGAATGTATACACCTACACCATTGTAATAGATCCTGAACCATGTCACTCAGAGTCTCCAACTAGGGTTTACGATAGTCGTGTGGACTCCAACCAAGTAGTCTGCATCTACCAATATGGCTCACACCAGAAGTTAGTAACTTTATGGACTAATGCAACATTTTGGTTTGGCGACCACTAACTTACATCCGCCTCCTAAATTGGTCAGCGTTTCTCACCGTGGTAGTCGGTGATTGGGCATGCGTAATACGTAGCCTTTACGTAACTTTACACCTAAATGGAAATGAGTCACGAGCATCCGTCTGTTATCAATGACCTTGTAAACTATGTTCGTACCTGTCATTAAACGTCTTCGAACATGAATCGTTTTTTACTAAGGTCAACAGCAATCCACATTTTTTAACGTTTGTCTTGCAATTGACATGAAGAACATAAGAGATTTGTGGGCTTGAGTAAAGGTAGCTAATGCACGTGCATTTGGGCAAATAGTAGACAAAGTGGAGCATTTTTAGACGGAAAGTAGACAATTCTACAAGACTTTAGACATAAAACGATAAAAAGAAAATTTTCGCATTTGCTTCTTATCTCTTCACTATTTTCCTAAGAAATATTTCCACTTCACCCTTTTAGACTCCCTGGGTCACAGAAATGAAGAACCTATCTCGCTAGGTCTTAGTCAACACTATGTGGGGAAGGCTGAACATTCACAGAGTTCTTTATATCGAAATTATTGATAGTGATGTATTTAGGAATGGTTTAATCACCAGAATACCGAAATACGGAAGACCTAGAATACTTACTTGTGTCGATAGCCGCCAGTAACTTCTGACCTAATTTATAGTAAATTATAACAAGCAGAAAGAAACGTTGAGATCGTTCGCTCAAAAAGTTGGTATATTCTAAGTAATGGATTCGGTGATTCCTTGACGTGAAATGATATCCATGTGGAAATAAAGAAAAAAACACATACGTAACTGCAAAAATAGTTACTTAATTGGGTTCGATAAATGACACCCTGTATTTTGCCGTATCAAGTACTACTGATTACATTAGGATGATATTATCTGCTAAATTCCAGCTAGTCATTTAACCGCTACTAGTGAACGGTCTTTATCATATATATTATTCAAATGCAAAAGCTTCCTCAAAAATCTAATGAGATTGTAGGGCCAGTGAAATGTTACTGTGCCCTAGCCAAGTCATCCGGTACCTAGGTCTGTAAATCATCAACGATGATGATATCTGTCAAATGACTGGAGGCCTACTCGAGTTAGACGGTGATGGCATGACAAACCAGCTAACTTCGATGTCACACCTCGCGGTCAACATCTAACGTGGATTACCCCATTCGATGTATCGAAGTAGTATGGCTGTTTTGAAGACCGTATAACACAGAGGACGTCATTACGTAAATATATTGGTAATATTGATTACAGAGAAGTTAGTGAGACCACCACCGCATGGGCCAGTCCATGGTGTATGATTGACTGATTAGCGTTGGTTGTCCTTAAGTTTGACGGGTATCGATGATCTATTCGATATTCATTGATGAGTTGACTAGAGCTCAGGGGTATTTCACTGCTCCTGCAATACTCGCCCTCCATATTCAACGGCTGTTTGAATGTGTGCCGAACATGTTGGGAGTGGTCGCGCATCAGAGGTTGCCTAACAATTATTATGAATCCTCCGGTTATTGCTGAGGTGTACGACTAATGGAGACGGGCATCAGAAACTGATCGGGAAACAGCGAGATGTAATATGATTGTAGGAAGTAAGTTAAATGTAAAGCGACTAACCATAGAAATTGTAGCTGTAAATCAATCCCCAAAATCAATAGCTCTGTGAGTGTTCGACATTGGATGCTGACCACATTAGTTTTAATGAACTCATTTAGCTGGAGGCGTTCGGTCATGCATCCTCACCAGATTACGTTTCGGAACGGCGTGCGCAACATCCCCTGAGATCACTAGCCAGATTAGATCAGTCACTGCTCGATATATTGATAACCCATCAAATATATCTTCCAATCTCCTCGCTTCGGACTTTTGATTTTACTGGGTGAACGCGATTCAATTATAGAAGGTGTTACCGGTAAAGTGTTACCAATCTACCATACCTGTGATATCTTCAAAGTAAAAGAAAAATCATAACTTTGTAAAGATCAATCAGGTTACGTTGAAATAGATAGCTCTGTCAAGTGATTGAATTCCTCAGATGAGAAATGTTAAGCGAATTACCAACCATTGCCGATTTTCATACTGCCATTGATTTAAAGTAGAAAGTCAGACAGTATTGTTGATAGCTACTGTTCGTTAGTGTGGAATCCTAGCTATATATGTATTTAACAGACTAACTATAAGTACCAAAGTATAACCGTGAAGAGAAGTCACGATTTCGTTGTGCGAACATATTGATCAAGTTATCGTCAGAGTTTCAAAAGCCGATGACTCCTGTTACAATTAGTAAGAGTCGAAGACTACAGATTGAGAGCGAAGAGCACGACGAAGTCTCTAAAAGATGATAAACGGTGAGTGTTGCATGTTTGTTTGATAAGTGAGATGAAAAATATCGAAAAAACATAAGAAACCAAGAGTGTCACTATGGACTCATGTCAATGATGCCGGTGAAAAAAGCTGTCAGTGTTCGGATAGAGGTGACAATGTCGTTTCCAGTTTGCAGGAGATTCGCTCGACTGCGTAAACTAATGATTCGTGCGAATGATAGTGTCGTCAAACCACCAATTGAACTGGACAGGTTTTATGTCGTCAAGTAGTTGAACGGCTGATTGACGTACCGAAATCATCTCTTAGGTAACAGCCATGAGCTCACAATACCTCATAAAACAAAGTAAGACGTTGAAGTTGAATAACTACAATAGTTTGGATGTGTTATAACGTCACATCGTTCTTTCGTTTACTGAAAGTTGTACTGAACGTTCGTTTGGATATTGTTAATGCAACAGCTGGATGTGCAAAGAGCTTATTATCTAGCGTTAAGTGGCATATTACGTACAACAAAGTGTCTATTTAGGACATGGACTCAAGACGCTCGTGTACATGCAATACGTTTTTCCACAGTGTGACAACTTACGAGTTATAAACGCACATGATTTCGACTGAAACCTGGCGGCAGTCACATAATATATGACTGCTCTATGTGAAAGTAACTGCGAAATGTTATTAGGCATCATAAACACAGTACGAAATAATCTAATGCAATCATGAAACTAGTCTGGGTTACTTTCGCTCCCAAATAATTATATTTTGAAGAAGACAGTAATTCGAATCTGTATTATATATGAGATAGTGTTCATTAAATACTTGGATTAACACAGCGTTGTAGACTGAATTTGTATAAATCCCAAATTAACTAAAAGAGAAATACGAAGCATAGCCTGACGGACGGTTTAAGCAAGGTCTAACAACGCTGGAAATTTATAGTTCAAACTCACTGTAAATTCCTAGCATTTGTATCTTCTGTTTGGCCATGGAACTCAGAGCTCAGAAATTAGGAAGGCAGTGGTTTAGTTAGTAAAACACTCTAATGGATAGTCTTTGATGGAATTTAGTTGATAGTGAATAAGCAGAAATATGAATTCACAATCGACAGCTAATCTTGTAACGCTTATGCAAGAGGATAATTAACAAAGACTTTTGGGTTCATGTTACCTTACGGCTACATTTACGAGTGGCTTATCTTTTAACGTATGATTAACTGATGCGCGTTGGTTCTACTTGACTTTGACGGGTATCGACATTCAGTGACATGTAGGAGCAGTGAAATACCCCTGAGCTCTAGTCAACTCATCAATGAATATCGAATAGATCATCGATACCCGTCAAACTTAAGGACAACCAACGCTAATCAGTCAATCATACACCATGGACTGGCCCATGCGGTGGTGGTCTCACTAACTTCTCTGTAATCAATATTACCAATATATTTACGTAATGACGTCCTCTGTGTTATACGGTCTTCAAAACAGCCATACTACTTCGATACATCGAATGGGGTAATCCACGTTAGATGTTGACCGCGAGGTGTGACATCGAAGTTAGCTGGTTTGTCATGCCATCACCGTCTAACTCGAGTAGGCCTCCAGTCATTCGACAATGATTAGCTAAGATAGTGATCTACATGATTTTCAGGCACTAAGACACTTCGTTGTGTTTGCTTCGGAAAATTCTTTTATTAGCTTCAGAAACGTGCTCCTGACAAACAAAAGGACTGTCAACAAATTCACGTGTTGCTATTTCTCCCAGAAATCCAAAAATTCATCGAACTTTGATGATCAATTTACGCCTGAAAAAGTTACTTCTCTTTACAGCTTTACAAACACTATTAAAAACGTCTAAATACGTAATGAAAATGTTCCTACTTTCCTGCTGAAAAGTTACACCCAAACCTATTCCTACTGTATTTTTCAGGTTTGTAAAGATATGGTGTATGAATGAAAAAATAACTCTGTTGTATTGATGACTGTTTTGATTTTAAATTCCAAATACAATGCATTCGTTCGTGTTCATCTTATACGTCTTGATTAAATTGTGTTATTTTTGAGATTACTAGTTTATACTACGATTCAAATGCTTCAAATTATTACAAAAGATTTAGGTGCCATCGATTTTGTACTGATTTTTACTGAGGTTTTCATTGAAGAGTTCGCAGTCGTAATGAGTGTAACTCCTAATTCCTAGTGTTCACTAGGTAAATGTTAGAGTTTAGTAAACAGCAAGTGAAGCAAACCATGAAAAATATTGAAAAGTTGTGCGTTATGGCTCTGAAAACCAACCAACATTTACTTTTTCCATGGCTTTATATCTTGATTCGCAACTTACCAGAAGATTTGAGAAACACAAACCGTCCTTTGATTTACATTCTATATAAAAAGTCAAAAAACAAAAAAATTAACTGTGGTTATGCTCGAAGGAAGCAGCTATCGACGTCTGCGACAGTGAAAATAAATCAGTTGCATACTTACTTAATTATGCCTGTTACCCCTTGTAGATAAGTATAGGCCACCCACCAGTATTCTCCATCCAACCCTGTCCTGGACAATCCTTTCCAGTTAAAACTCATCTGCTTCAATCTCCCGGCGTAATGTGTTCTTTGGCTTTCTCCTTTTCCACTTCCAAGTTAGAGATTGCCTCGTGATGCAGTTTGGTGATTTGCTCAATGTATGTCCTATCCCTTTCCAATGTCTTTTCCTAATTTCCTCTTCAGTTGGAGACTGGTTTTTCCTCTCCCACAGAAGGCTGATTCTGATGTTATCCGGTCAGTGAATGTTCACACTGTCAAACGCCTTCTCATAGCCAATGAAGTCGATGTATAGTGACGAATTCCACTCAATTGATTGTTTCACGATGATCCGTAGTGTCGCAATTCGGCATGTGCACGACTGATCCTTACGGAATCCAACCTGTTCATCTCGAAGTTGGGCGTCTACTGCGTCTTTCATCCGATTCAGTAGCACTCTGTTGAAAACTTTTCCTGGCACTGACAGCAAACTGATGCCTCTGTGGTTATCACATTTGCTCAGATCTCCTTTCTTTGGTATCTTGATGAGGTATTCTTCTTTCCAGTCCGTTGGCACTTGTCCCTCTTTCCAAATCTTCTTGAATAGAAAGTGAAGCATGTTTGCTGTTACTTCAATGTCTGACTTCAGTGCCTCAGCTGGTATATTGTCAGGTCCTGCCGCCTTCCCACTCTTGATTTGTCTGTTGGCCATCTTGATTTCCTCGATCGTTGGTAAAGTGACAGATATAGGAAGGTGTGTGTGTGCTGCTTCGATGTCCGGTGGATTCAATGGGGCTGGACTATTCAGCAGTTCCTCGAAGTATTCTGCCCATCTTTTTCTATGCTCTTGAATCTCCGTGCTTGTTTTCCCTTCTTTATCCTTGAATGGTCTCTCTGGTTTACTATATCTCCCTGCCAGTTTTTTCGTTCTATCATATAGTTGTTTCATATCCCCTCCTCTTGCAGCTTTTTCAGCCGTCGTTGCTAGTTCTCCCATGTATTTCTGCTTGTCGGCTTTAATGCTCTTCTTCACTTCCTTGTTTGCTTCTGTGTACTCTGCTTGCGGCTTGACTTTCTCTGCTCGTGTTCGTCTGTTGTTAATTGCTGTCTTATTGTTCTTCCTTTCTTCAATCTTGTCCAGGGTTCCCATAGAGATCCATTCCTTATGATGATGCTTTTTGCAACCCAGAACCTGACACGTTGAAGTTAGTGTTTCTTTTATCCCTTTCCAGTTGTCCTCCATCGTAGTTTCTTGTTCTTTCAGTAGATCCTGTAGAGCTTGGAACCTGTTGTTGAGAGTTATCTTGAATTGGTTGAGTTTGTCAGTATCTCAAACGGAGGCTGTGTTGAACGTTTGTGATGCTATTCCCCCAGTTGTCCAGTGTTTCTTTATTTTCAGTTTCATCTTGGTAAAAACCGGATGGTGTTTTGAAGCTATGCCAACTCCTCTCCGGGTTCTCATAACTTCCATTGTCCTTCGGAATCCTATGTTGATACAAATATAATCTATCTGGTTCTCTGTGATGTGGTCCAATGAGATCCATGTAGCTTTATGTATGCGTTTGTGTGGGAATATTGTGTTACTTTTAACCAATTTGTTGAATACACATAGATTTGCAAATCTCTCCCCATTTTTATTTCTTTCTCCTAGTCCATGTCGTCCAATTATATATTCATATCCTGTGTTGTCCACTCCGACTTTGGCGTTCAGGTTTCCCATTCGGATGGTGAAGTCCTTTCTTGAGCATTTAGCTATGATTGCTGGCAGCCTCTCATAGAACTGATCTTTATCTTCGTCGTTGCTATGATTGGTGGGTGCATAACATTGGACAACATCCATTGTGATCCCCTCCTTCTTTGTTTTGAATGATGCTTTGATTATCCTGGATCAATGAGATTTCCATCCTACAAGTGCATTTCGTGCTTCTCTGGACAGCATTAAAGCAACTTGCTGAGTGTGTGGAACATTTTCCTCTTCGCGACCGGAGTGCAGCAGCATCTTTCCCTTAATTAGCCTTTGCTGTCCAGTTTGTGTTCAATGGGTTTCGCTGATTCCGAGTATTTCGAGAATACCTAGTTAGTGCAGTAATTCGAATACTCATTATTATCATAAGACAAATATATAATACATCCAATACCTGCTAGATTGTCTATTAATCTGACTAGGTGAACAACCAATCATTATTTTCCCCACCCACACATCAAAATTATAGAAATAGAAAATGATTGAGCATAAAAATGTTTAATAAATCTATTTGTAATTTGTTGAGGATATAAATAGAGATAAACTGATTAGATACATAGTCTCGCTTTTGATTTCATTACCGGGTATTCAAAACACCGGTCAGAGTTTTGAGACAGTTTGTAGTAGTATAGTTGTGGTACTGAATCCATTGTGTGGATTATTAATAACCAGAGCAAGCGCCTACATGCTCTCTTAGTCACGACTAAGCCAGAGATGAACAACAGCAATATTATATTCTTTCCATTTCTGGAAAGTATTCAAGGTCTATGAGACTGTGATTGGTTTTATATTCCAAATAACGCATCATGTACTAATTCTTTTGGTGGGAATCTCGAGTTGTCCGAAATTAATAACGAGCTGTAAAACGAAACACACACGAGGCTTCATCATTCTAAATGTCTACAAGAGAGCTGCTTCAATGTTATATGCCTAGATAAATGACTTTTTTATTTGAAGTACACTGAAGATACGACTAGTATTCTAATTTTACAACTAGCTACCAGTAACACCTATATACGAAGCGTTCCCCAACCAATCGAAATCAGATGCGAAGAGGTAGGAAAGATATATTTGATACGTTATCAATATATCGAGAAGCGTTTGCTCTAATCTGGCTAGTGAACGTAGGAGCTGTGTCCCACGCTGGTCCGTAACGTGATCTGGTACGAATGCATGACCGAAAGCCTTCAGTTAAACAAGTCCAATTAAAACAATGTGGTCAGCATCCAATGTCGAACACTTAATGAGCTACTGATTTTGGGGAATTATTTACAGATACAACACTACATTTTACTTCACAAGTAGCAGTGAAGTGTGTTAACTTTTTGACTAGCTCATTTTTTTCTAGTTAGACTACAAATACTTCAGCTCAACACTTCAAGTAAAGAAAGAATTTTTTTATCGTAATTAAGGGTTCTCGAATTCATGTGTTAACTAAGAATCCCCAGGTTAGTATATTTTAGGACTAATAGAACTAGAAGAACACAATTGAACGTATTATATTTGTAATTCGTAACAAGCTCTCAATCAAGTACAAAGGGATCAGTAGTTAGAACGAATAACACTGTATTTCATATGATTAACGACATCATGTCCCACCTATCTCTTACGAGGTGAAGTTTATTTGTTGGAATGCGTTTAATTTAAGGTAATCAAGTTTATTCAAAGTAATCATCTCATTGTTTTTGGCCATGTATTCACTTACTTCTTGATACTTTGGAATGTAAATGACTTTCTAGAAAATCTTAGAGTATGACGTTCAGTAGTGCAGTTACGTCATTTTGAGAATTAGATGGATTACACAGACGACGTTAGACGATTGGCCTTTGGAGTCAGAGATTGATTCCATTTGAAAATATGAATTAATGACGCAGTGATCTAGATTAAACGCTGCCACTATGAGTTCGAAGGTCATCAGCTTGATTTTGTGAAAGTTGTGGATTTGGGTTGAGCAAGGCGAAAAAGAAACCATCGTTCAGTTTCCCCTGGTTTTCAGCAGGATCCCAGTTGATATTATCCTGTAAAATAGTAACTCAACACAGTGTGGTCAATTTTGTAGTACCTTTAAATTGAGGTAACCACTGGAGAATGTTATATATATTATTTGTATGTGCGATATTTTTAAGTCGATAATCAAGAATGAATGGGTTAGATAAGAATTCGTATATGTATATTTAGGCAACTGGGTTAGCTATCATGTACGGTAGTAATAAAGTGTTAAAGAGCAATATAATTGAGTAGATACAACTAGACTTACTAACTGTTGATATATCTCTAACTGTTCATAAAATACGGTTGACTAATTATTATGTCTGCTACTTAGTTTCATACCATAAACGACTAACTTGTGTGCATATTGAGATTTATTTTTGGTGCGTTGTGATCTTATATTTGATGTATATATTCATATGCGAAATAACAAAGGGTACATCTTCTCTCTTCGCTTGTGTTCTGACTGAGGGAAATCTGTGTAGACACATCACTTAGAATCAGTGTTCCTTTTCCAAGTAAATACTGAAGAGAAGAAAATAAAAATACAGGACATAAAAACATAGTTCTAAAGTAATCTTAATCTGATCGTTGAAGTAAACCTATTCTGTTAGACTTTCATTTATTTTGTTAAGATGACTAAACACCTGTGAAGTAAAGTTCGAACAACTATTCACAATTTTATCTATCCAACGCCTCATGATCTAGAGCAAAACAACTTACGATTAAGTAAAAATTTCAACTCATCCGTTACATGGGATGTTATGTGAGCTAAAAATATAGTCAAACTGTAATGAGTTACATAGATTTAACAGACAGACCACAAACACAGCATATGGTAGGTAAGAATTATGTACATACGGGTTCTCTTCAGCACTAATTCGATTCATTACGAATGACCATATAAAACTCATATGCATTGATTTTTTCCATAATTCATGTTTATATAAATACATATTAAAAATTTCAGTCGTATAAAAGGGTCACGTCCTCTATCTGGAATAAGTTGATATATAAAGAAAACAATTTTCTTAAACATGAAATAAGCTGGATACATCCTATTGATTTTCAGGATTTATTACAAATTTAATTGCTTTAAATCTGTATCAAATAAATGTTTTCATTAGGTATATAAACTTTAAAAACACATAACACAGGAATTCATTTATTCATCGATGTATATGAATAATACGAGCACTTTCTTCAAGAAAACCACGATACTCTAAGCAGTCACGAGTTAATTTATAACAGAATAGCAACTGTGATGTTTAATGACATTGTGTTTGGTTATCCAAAAATAAATTTAAACATTTGTTTAAAAACGTTTAGTTAGAGTTCAAAAAACAGACATGGTAGATAACTAATAAGACTCTTGTGAAATAACTCGCCAATACTTGCAGACAGATTTAAGCGACCAAGCGAACACCAAGTAAAGACTTGGATACTGATACTCTGTGCCTAACGGTTGCCTCAATCCTAACTGGTTCTGAACGAAAAGGAAGAACGCAAGATCGATGCTAATCAGTCCTAGATCACTATTACACTTCTAATATTCATTTATAAACATACAGCAGACCAATTGGGTAACAGTATTAACACAGGACAAAAACATAAACGGTGGGAAAAAGGAATACTGAGTGCTCAAATACTTTGTCCTACTTTATAAGTTAGAGATGCTGTAGAGGCAAATTACTGTCCAAATAAAAGCTTATATATATATATATATATATATATATATATATATATATATATAATCGTAAAAAATAGCTTCGAAAGTCTTTACCTCATAGTCATCTCTTACAATATGTAGCAAGAAATCTAATAGGTAGTTGGTGATATTTTAGATTTCTCAGCACGTTCTGAAAAACGTACGATTCAAAAACTTAGAAATCCATGTTTGTGTAGTTATTTAATTTATTTAGTGATAGTGTCATCACTATTTTAACTCGGTTTACAATTAGACAATAATCAACAAAAATTTAACTTCATGGTTATTAAAGACTAGATTATTTATGAGACAGTTACTAATTTTCCACTACGGTGGTGGACTGGATTTTCGCCCATTTTCCACAACATACTTTCATCAAACTTTACTTAATTGATTGGTAAACTGTCCACCTCAAAAAGTTATTTCCACTGATTCTCACTAACTCGATTATTAAAACTCGTGTAAATCATTACGATTTCTTACAATTCTTACGCAACGACTTCGTACTTGTGAGACTAAAATTGGTGATTACTGTATTAATTACGTGCGTCTATTAATATAGTTCATCAGTGACCATGTTAAGTATACAAACAAAGATAAAACAGTTAAAAGATCAAAAGTGATTGGGGAAAATAAAAGATTGCAAGATCACTACATAACACTGCCTTTCAAATGGTATTTATCAAATTATAACAAAAAAGTGAAAACTCAAGGTTCATTTAGAACACATCTTTGCAGTCCAAAATAACCAGACTGACATTTCAATACTTATTTAGATTTGTAAATAGGCTTGAAAATATAAACTTTCAATGATACTCTTCACTATTCCAATCACTCATATACATCCTCTCCGATTATGTTGTGTAGGATAATTCCTATATATGACTTCAAAATATGATGACCGTTAGCCGTGTATTTTATTAGGCTAATTCTCCTGGTATCACTCCGACTTTACTCGAATATTGAGAAGACAAAACACTAATTGTCGGGAATGTGCATCCTCGATAATTAGTGAAATCCACAAGCGTGGAAGAGGAAAGCACACCGGAAAGTGAACGAGTAAAAAGTGAAAGCATTTGTGTTCCAAATGTTAATCGATACGTGGGTAAACTTATTGACTGTTTCAGTTTACAACCATTGAGAGGACAGAGAAAGTTGAAGTGCAGACACACATTTAATCGGACTTCCGTTATATTTGTACATAGACGATTAATTGTCTAAGTTGCAGCAATAGGGTAAAAAAATATAAAACGCTTGCTGTAATGTCATTCCTAGATGAGTGCCGATAAATGCAGAGAATTAAAGAATTACACTGAATCGGTTTTATTTCTCTACAATTATATGTCCTTATTGGGAGAACTAATCGTATAGACATTTTTTCACGAATGAATTCACATGCGGTTTTGATGAGATCAATAAGCATTATCACGCATATCCAAAAACGTGTGTTCAATAGAGTGGCCAGCCCTGACGAACACCACTTGAGGTAATCAAGTGGCCCTACCTAAGACCTCATTCAATCTCACTGCTAATGCTGGACCGCCACCATTGAAAATCTCAGGGGTAAACCTGTCAGGGCCTGCTGCTCTTCCTCGCTTCAGATGTCTTATAGCTTTGTCAACCTCGTAAAGATTTGATGGACTTACATCAACTTTCCATTCAGGTCGACAAGAGATCGTGGGAAACCGAAGTGTGACTGAAGGTCAGTCATACTGATCCCTAAAGTGTTCTGCCTATCGATCCAATCTCCTAAATTGAGAATGAATAATATGTCCATCTTTTTCCGAGATAGTTTCGCCGACAGTTGGGTTCCTCATACCAGTTTCTGTAACAAGTCTGAATAGTTGTCTAATGCCGCTACCTTTTCCATCTCTCTTGCTTTCGCTACCCACCACTACATCAGAGCGCCTAGCTTTTCGGAGAAGGTGGAAAAGCTTTCCGTAGAACTTATCTTTCAAATCATCTGAGCTGCAGTCAGTGGGAGAGTCGGCAGAGACGACGAAGAGTGTCCTTATCTTTCCAAGTCCTTACTCTTCCGTTCAGTCGGATCCCGTATAAAGAGCTAGTTCTGCCCTAGGACTCAATGCTATATCTACGCGAGCGAGGCTACGGGAAACAGCAACCGGGTCTCCAGATACACGAAGCGTGAATCGAGTTGATTCTTTATTTTGACAATTTGAGGTCCAATGTGTGACGCTACTCGGATCCTGTATGTTCGCTTCGAACACGCAGCACACACCTAGCTGAGGAAGTCTGTTGTCCTTATTTGGCACAGTGTTCGGACGTTAAAAGCTCCTACATGTAGTTTAGAGCGTGGTCTCAGGACACCAGGAATAACGTTCCACATACTCGAGTCGTTTGTATTAGCGGCGCGAAGTGATAAAGGGACGTGAGAAGGGTTAGTCGTGAAGATACGAGTTATAAGGAGGTGTAGGAAGGACTTGATTGTGCCCAACTTGGTCTTGTGTGCTATCACGGGTATGAGGGCTGATGTCATCTCACGGCTCCCCACACCGTGAGAGTATTTCTTAAGGGATCTGAGAAGGAAGTTGGATTAATGTTTGTCCTAAAGACCTGGGAGTGTAGCCGCAGAGCCTAAAAGACAACTGCTTGAAGCCAAACCACGCACGACTTTTTAGTGGGGGTTTCTTGACGTGTTAGTTTTGTTCTTTAGAGGGCCTTACCACCGGAGACGGAAATCCGTGGGATAAGGCGAGATGTACATTTTTAGGGTCGACCTTTTCTAAACCCTTCCTTCCTTGTGAGGAGACAGCATCGCTGCAGATGCTAGTTGTTCGAGTGAAACACCTTACTGCTGTCACACCTCTCTACAGTAAGCAGTACGACTTCGCCCTCAGACCTTGAGTAGCTATTTTTAGTCATACAGTTCTCCAATCGACCTGCCTGGAGTGGTAGAACCTACAGGAATATATGTTCCAGCTAATATAGCTCGATCGGGTCATTATGATAGGCAAGCCCGACCACCACTTCAAGGTAGCAGCTGCGGTCGGGTCTTACAAATAAACATCAAATGATTACCCACACATACGTTCCTCCTGATAGTTTGAAGGAAGCAAGAATAAATTCAATTTGTATCCAGGATTAAATCTGTTACCCCCTAACATCAATCGAAATTAAATTACGACTATCTGAATAGAGCTATGATACTCAACTGCTGATTGCCCTTGTTTCCTCAAATCGTACTGTGACAAACAAAATATCCTAAAGTTAAAATCATATGAAAATCAATTTTTCGTCCTAAAACCAATGATAAACACATGAATACATAAGAACAGAAATGTCAAACTTAACCCTTCTCACTAGGAAAACCGAACACAGATACTACATAAGTTGTTAACGTTATTATGGACGTGTTACAACCCACCTAAAGCTGTATAATTAAGAGAATCAATGCCACAGTAAAGGGGAAACAACTTTTAGGCGATCTCGCACTGCCTCCAAGACATCTCGACCTGGCCTTCTACATTTGATAAAAGGTAATTTTTTCACCCATCTAATCGATTAATCACCAGCTGATAAAATGAAACGTTAGATTGGAAAATTACGACTGTAGGCCATTTGTTATTTTTAGGACTGAATGGTAAGATGTGTAAATACAATTCTTAAAATACTGTAAGATTTATTTTCAATATTGTCCGAAGATATCATCCATAATAGTATAAAATATAATCCAATAAGAAAAACAATTATTTCTGGTTTTGCAGAAAGTTATAAAAATGCCATAAAATAGAGTGAAATGAAACATGAATAGTGGATTTCCACACGAATCACCAATATCACTGATTCCGAATGTCCCTCTCATAAGTAGAATATTGAGATATTCCGAAAAAGTAGATATTATGTGATCATCCAGAGTTACGGAATAGCGCGTGACAACAATTCATACATAGAGTTAAAAGCTAATCATTACTAAATACATATATTTTTAAGAAGGATGACAAACCTGAGAAAACGTCAAATACGAAAAAAACAAGATCAAAAACCTGCTTATATAGAGTTGTTGATGGTAAAAACGACTTACAGAAAATTTATTTTAAATGTTGCAGTTAAATCACATATAAACTAGTTGGATTATTCGGTAAAAGGTGATTTACAGGAAAAAATTGATTAGTTGTCGATCGAACTGCATTTTTGTACAACCAAGTGAGGAAACATTTTTACAATTAAGGGATATCGATAATTAGTAGGTTGAAGATGTGTCAAAATTAATGTCATATTTTACTCATTAATCGGGGATGAAGGACAAATAACTTTATGCTGTTTAACTGATTGAAACAGAATTCTAAAAAAGGTATAATTAATTATCGATAATTAACCACTAGTTTAAGTCATCTGTTATTAATGTGCAGCATACCACAATATAACAGACGACAGATCTTAACAGCTTTTTCATAATGAAGTTTCATCTAATAAATTAGATCAAATCTCATCCATCTATGCATGAAAGCACTCAGCATTAAAAACACGTAATACAAAAACACATAAATATATGGAGAAAAAGGCATTTTCAGCGTTATATATCTTTGTTGAATAAAAGAAAATAATGCAATCGCAATAATTAGAGCTCTAGAATACTTCGAAAATATTCCTTTTTGATATGCTACATTTCATGCGAATTTCTCTTATTACTTTACTGGCAAAATAATAACAAGAAAAATAGTGATAGAGTATACACGGAACCAAGGAAAAGGATATAGATACGTCATTTACAAAACATGGCGAAAGTAACAATGTAAAAGGGAATAAAGCATTTACAAAATGGAGAGGAAAATTACGCTATAACATCATTGTCATCATCGTTATATGAAGAAAGAGGGGGACAAGAAAAGAAATAATCCGATTACACAAACAGAAAGAAAATACAAGTTAGTTTATACTAAACTAAATATGGACAAAGAAAAAAAAACAAAAGTTGTTGAATGACAATATACAAGGAAAAGAAATCAAAATATTAACAAAACAAAAAGTTATCTGGCTAACTGAAATAAGTTTTACATGATTAACATCATGACCCCATAGCTCTATCATAACAGTGGTGGGTTTAAAAAGTGTTTTCTGGTTAGAAAAGTCAGTTAACTTGTTAGCAGTGAAAGCTTTGATCATCCACTACCTTAAGGTATTTTTCATAGCTGCAGCCTGCCTTCTTGTAGTAATGATAGGTTCAAAAGGCTGTTAAAAGATACAGAAGATAAAGAACCATTAATTTGTGGAAAGCAAATATATTGAAAAGTCTAGTAATCTACAACAGGGTTGATCAGATACAAGAAATATGAAAGATGTGGCTAATGCTAAGGAATATGCAGTAACAAACATCATCCGAGTGAACATAAGAGACAAACAGGTAAAAAACATACTTAGGAATCATAATGCTCAATAGCCCCTGAGTGAAAATGGTTTATATCTATGTGCTGATGTTTAGTCGCTTCATCTTCCCATTACCGTCAGTGTTTCCCCTAAGTATGACAAGACTAATCATTCAACTTCATGCTACGCTTAAGTCCGCAGCCTACAACTGAGTAATTTGTTATAAAATAATCATGTTACCAGGATGTTTTAGGTTTCACTAGTAAGCATTACGAAATATACAAGGATAAATGAAAATGGTAATAAATACACAAGACATTTATAGGATAAATCTTAAGTGTTTGCATAAACCCATGTAAAATGCTTGTTCATGTGTATGTCAAAAATCTATATTTGAATAGGTAACGTCAGCAACAAATCTAAGTTTTACACGGCCGGAGCAACATGTAAAACAAACATTTCAGCAATGGATGGACACTACGCTCTTTATGGATAACAGTTTTGAAGCATATATTGCGGTTAAGTGTTGAGCTGCCATGCTATTAATGTGCAGTGGATTGTGTCACTAGTATATCATACAGACGAAGAAAACCTGACATTTATTACTTTCTGGTAATTTAAGACTTCAGAACCAGAGGATTAAGGTGAATAACATAAACAGAGTGTATCAGAGCTTTAGAAAGTTATGACGTAAACATCGATAGGATAATACTCAACTAGTTTTTCTATTCGTTTGTAAGCTAATATTTCGGAATGAATGAATCAAGTGTTAAGAGAGAAAGGAAACCTCGATAAGTGATAATACATTTTGAATTAATGCTAACAGGACAAGAACATTGCAATAACAAAAACGTACCAGTTTTTCTTCACTCATATTTTGATTTTTACGAAATGGAGAATCTTTAATCTTCGTCGAAGATATTCCTGAATGGCTTTCAGCTGATATATCCACAGGTTGAGAAGTTTCAGGAATTTGATTTTCGTCAGTTACGAAATCAGATTCGGCAACATTTTCACTCTCAGAAGTGATGGGATCTAAGTTAACATGTTCACTATTTTTACTTTGATTTATAATCGTAGAAGACGATGCACAGTTCAAGGAAACTGAATTGTCTAAATGTTCAGTTTTATTCAAATCTAAATCACTCTGATTTGTTTTTTCGGCAATCAAAGAATCACAGTCATGGATGGGTAGCTCAACCTCTTTACGAAAAGTAACAGGTGATGATTTTATACTATACAAATTATAATTAACATTGGGTGATAAACCGATAGGTTGATTAACAACACTGTTTGAAGTGGCAGATGTTTTTACTAACGGAGATGCTGTTAAACTATTGGAGTCAAAGGATCTGTTTGTAGGACTTTCTTGAGATAAAGGTTTGGAAAGTCTGTAACACATAAATTTAACAAAATGAGTCATAAAAGAAAAGGGTGGTAAATGTATTATTACTAATGCATCTCACATTTTATCCTCAATCAAAAAAATTTCTTTGTAAATCTAAAGCAATAAAAAATGACAGTCAAATATTGAGATAGAAACGCTCAGATTTCCATTAGATGTGGTATTTTGATCTAAAATCAGCAACCTAACTAATTTTCAATTTCAGTTTATTCCCAGAAATGCTTTGATAAATGCACGTACTATATTACCCACATAGTCGTCAGTAAACTCCGCCTGTAGCTCTTCTAGAGTTACTGCCGGAGAGGAGAGAGAAATGAAAATGGGGAGAGATTTGCAAATCCATGTGCATTCAACAAATTGGTTATAGGTGGCACGATATTCTCCCACAAACGCATACACAAAGCTACATGGATCTCACCGGACCACACCACAGAGAACCAGATAGAACATATTTGTATCAACAAAAGGTTCCGAAGGACAATGGAACATGTGAGACAACGAGAGGAGCAGACATAGTGTTATGGCCGGATAACAGTAATGAATGGTGACTTTGGGATCCATTTATGGACCAATATTATGCATATAATTTTTATCGTATAAATGCTAATTAACCAAACTATTCATATTCGTGTTTCCCTCATTATAAGCTTTATTTTGCCTTATAGACTATTATTATACGATTTACCATTCTTGAGTTATACCTAGTCGATTAATTGCCGCCTCCCACATTTGGTTGAATCTTGTACAAATGTTATTTGAGATGGTGGAGAAGATTTGTTTCTCAGGTGGGTGATTTTGATGGAGTTTTTTTCTCTGAGCTGAATGGTTTGGCCGTGGAGCTTTCATCGTACTTCTGAACGACATCATCAGCACAAACGTCGGGTAGAAGTCTAACACTACACTTCTACCCGAAGTTTGTGCTGCTGATGTCGTTCAGAAAGACGATGAAAGCTCCACGGCCAAACCATTCAGCTCAGACAACAAAACTCCAACAAATGTTATTTCCTATTTTATTGGTACGATGTGATCAGTCTATTTGGTATATAAACTCAGTATGTTTGAAATACAATGATTCATACCGCAGAGGCTGTTATTGGTGTTCTGGACTTAACTGGCTGGACTAGGCAAAAAGCAGGACCGATTAGCACTCTCGACTGCTCGTACAGTTTTCGTGTGTCACTGTTCCAATCGATAATTCGCTGCACTCTGATTGACGGTCTTATCACTTCATACGTTAATAAGGCATCTACTCGGCCACAAGATATAACACATAGCTTCAGATCAACACCTGGTTGTGGCCAAGATGAAACTGAAGATAAAGAAACACTGGACAACTGGGGGAATAGCATCACAAACGTTCAACACAGCCTCCGTTCGAGATACTGACAAACTCAACCAATTCAAGATAACTCTCAACAACAGGTTCCAAGCTCTACAGGATCTACTGAAAGAACAAGAAACTACGATGGAGGACAACTGGAAAGGGATAAAAGAAACACTAACTTCAACGTGTCAGGTTCTGGGTTGCAAAAAGCATCATCATAAGGAATGGATCTCTATGGGAACCCTGGACAAGATTGAAGAAAGGAAGAACAATAAGACAGCAATTAACAACAGACGAACACGAGCAGAGAAAGTCAAGCCGCAAGCAGAGTACACAGAAGCAAACAAGGAAGTGAAGAAGAGCATTAAAGCCGACAAGCAGAAATACATGGGAGAACTAGCAACGACGGCTGAAAAAGCTGCAAGAGGAGGGGATATGAAACAACTATATGATAGAACGAAAAAACTGGCAGGGAGATATAGTAAACCAGAGAGACCATTCAAGGATAAAGAAGGGAAAACAAGCACGGAGATTCAAGAGCATAGAAAAAGATGGGCAGAATACTTCGAGGAACTGCTGAATAGTCCAGCCCCATTGAATCCACCGGACATCGAAGCAGCACACACACACCTTCCTATATCTGTCACTTTACCAACGATCGAGGAAATCAAGATGGCCAACAGACAAATCAAGAGTGGGAAGGCGGCAGGACCTGACAATATACCAGCTGAGGCACTGAAGTCAGACATTGAAGTAACAGCAAACATGCTTCACTTTCTATTCAAGAAGATTTGGAAAGAGGGACAAGTGCCAACGGACTGGAAAGAAGAATACCTCATCAAGATACCAAAGAAAGGAGATCTGAGCAAATGTGATAACCACAGAGGCATCAGTTTGCTGTCAGTGCCAGGAAAAGTTTTCAACAGAGTGCTACTGAATCGGATGAAAGACGATGGAACTCGTCACTAAACATTAACTTTATTGACTATGAGAAGGCGTTTGACAGTGTGAACAGGAGAACATTATGGAAACTTCTTCGACACTATGGAGTTCCTGAGAAGATTGTCAACATTATCCGGACTACAGTGCAAGGTGGTGCATGGAGGACAGCTGCATTTATTTTATTTATTTATTTATTTAAATACATAAATATTGGTACAATGAAGCACCAGATAAATATGCGCCTCACAAATCTCATTCGATTTGTGTGAGTGCTGTGATACTGCCCAGATGCCCAGACTGAAGCAGGTGGTTTTCTTAGGGGGCCATACCCCGAGCCTTTGACCTGAAGGTCTAACCCACAAGGCAGTGGAGCATCGTGAGGAGATGCAGTCCCATGGTAGCAGGTGACCAACAATAGGTTCATACGCCATTCGTACCATCAGGATACTGGAGCCCATGTGCACCATTGGTTTGGAATCAGGGTTTTCCAACTCCCCTAGGTGGACTCGCCTTGTCCACCAACCCGGTTAAAGCGCCAGACATTCGCTCTTCGTCCTCTCACTTTCGTAAACAACACCCCCGCCACGAGAAGGCAGTGAGTAGGACTTCCCTGTCAGAGGCTATATATTCGCGTGGGCATATGAGAGCATTTCGAGAGGGAGAGGTGACTCTCCCCACTCTCGGCCGTAGCAGGGCATTTGGGGGCAAAGTGAGTGAGAACACACTGCCTCCAAGGAGCATTTCTAGTATGGACCGGAGTCAGACAACGCTGTCTACTCTCCTCCTTCCTCTTTCTTCAGGTGATTGACTGGATTATGGAGACCTCAACACCTGAGAGAAAGCACGGAATACAATGGACATCTAGGAACGAATTTAACGATTTAAACTTCGCACATAACCTTGCCCTCCTATCTCATACACACGAACAAATACAGACGAAGACAGCAAATGTAGCAGCAGCCTCTGCATCGATAGGCCTTCACATTCACAAAGGAAAAAGCAAGATTTCTAAATACAACACGGAAAACATCAACCCAATCACACTTGATGGCGAAACTCTGGAAGATGTAGAAACAGTCACATACGTGGAAAGCATCATTGATGAACAAGGAGGATCTGATGCTGATGTAAAGGCGAGGATTGACAAAGCAGAGACAGCATTCCTACAGTTGAAGAACATATGGAACTCCAAACCACTGTCAACTAACTTCAAAGTGAGAATCCTCAATACGAACGTCAAAACAGTCCTATTGTACGTACGGAGCCGAAACACGGAGAACTACTACATCCATCGTCAAGAAGGTACAAGTATTTATAAACATTCGTCTACGTAAAATACTCAACGTTCACTGACTGGATACTATCAACAACAGCGCTGACAGAGGATAAACTAACTTCCAGCTGAAGAGGAAATTAGGGAAAGACGTTGGAAGTGGATAGGACATACATTGAGGAAATCACCAAACTGCATCTCTAACTTGGAAGTGGAAAAGGGGAAGGCCAAAGAACACATTACGCCGGGAGATTGAAGCAGATGAATGTTAACTGGAAAGAACCGGAAAGGACTGTCCAGGACAAGGTTGGATGGAGAATACTGGTGGGTAGCCTATACTCCTCTACGAGGGGTAACAGGTGTAAGTAAGTCGTCAGTAACTTGTTTAAATAGTTGGCGAATAATGTTAGTATTCCTTTTATTTTACTTACAATACTGTGATACAACAGTGCACCAAAAACTTGACCATATGAACAATTAATTAATCATTGAAATTTATAGACTATCGTCATTATTACAGAATAATTGTACCAAAATTTGGAAACAAGACTCACACTCGAAGCTGTGATTCAATATATTTACTATAATCCAAGTTAGGCACCACTTTATTTCGAAGCAGTTTTCGTCGCCACTTTAGAACAGGACAACGAGATCTTGCACAAGCACAATCCAAAGGATAACGACACGCCCGGTAGTCCAAGTCGAAAGGTATGGTTAACTCAGTCCCAGGCATTACTTCAACAGATGTGCGAATTACAATTCTAAGTTTATTTTGAACAACGTAATGTTCGAGCTTGAGAATGTCAACAAGAAATAAATATTACAGAATATCCAAATACGTAAATATATAGAAAGGTGAGATATAAACACACAAGAAAAGAGACTATACCAAACTATACGAAAATCATTTATGAAAGTCTGAAACATTACATCATCTAGCAAATGCACACTACATCCATCTACCATAGTGGGTAGCTAAATATTATTTACGCCTGTTACTTATCATGGAAGATAGCCCCTAACCACGATCCTCTAACCAACCTAATATCGGCAATTCAGTCCAGCTGTTTCCGATCGCTATTTATTCTTTTGATTTCTACCCTTAATTCACAGAGCAATGTATCCTTTGGTGTATTGAAGATACCGACTTCGATGTTGGATGACAGTTGTCTCGAGTTCTATATGTTACTTAACTGTAGCAATGCTTCCTTGCTTTGTCACTCCTCGACTTTACGTCTGCATCGGATCCTCCACGTTCATCGATGATGCTTCCCAGGTACGTGAATGATTCCACATCTTCCAGAGTTTTTGGATCAAGTGTGATTGGGGTGGTGCTCTTCGTGTTGCAATTGAAGACCCTGCTTTTTCTCTTGTGAATGTTAAGGCTTACTGATACAGAGGATGCGGCTACAGTAGTTTTCTTTATCTGTAATTGTTCGTGTGTATGAAACAGAAGGGCCAGGTCATCTGCGAAATCAAAATCGTCTAGTTCTATTCAATTGGTCCACTGTACTCCGTGCTTCTACTCGGGTGAAGAGGTCTTCATAACCCATTCGACCATCAGAAGAATGAGAAAGGGAGAGTGTAAGCAATCTTGTCATACCAGTCTTTACCAGGAATGCATCTGCAAGCTGTCCCCAATCCACGACTTTTTAGTGTGGTCCATCGTATGAATTCGTATGATTTTAACGATTTTGTCAGGTACGCTATAGCGTCGAATACGACTGCGTTACGTCCTCTTCCTATCCACACTGTCAAACGCCTTCTCATAGTCAATAAAGTTAATGTTTAGTGACGAGTTCCATCAAACTAGTTGTTCAACAATGATCTGTGGTGTTGCTATTTGGTGTGCAAACGACTGATCCTTACGGAATCCAACCTGTTGATCTCGAAGTTGAGTATCTACTGCATTTTTTAACCGGTTCAGCAGCACTCTGTTCAAAACATCTCCTAGTATTGATAGTAGTGTAATGCGTTTGTGGTGTTCACACTTAGATCTCATTTCTTTAGTACCTTGACGACGTATTCTCCTTTGCAGTTTATCAGCACCCGTTCCTCCTCTCAAATCTACCTGAATAAACCGTGGAGCATGTTCGCAGTCAGTGTTATGTCTTACTCCAGTGCTTTAGCTGGTATGTTGTCTGTTCCTTCTGCATTGCAATCTTGATTTATCTGATGACATCGCTGATTTCTTCGATTGGTGTGACCTCTATAGGAAGGTCTATAGGTGCTGCTTCTAAATCTGGTAAGTTCAGTTGGGCTGGCCTATTCAAAAGCCATTCAAATTTTTTTGTCCGTATGTCCAGCTGTTCCTGACTCTCAGTGCTAGATTTGCCTCATTTATCTTCCACTGGTTGCTGTGGTTCACAATATTTCCTTGCTCGTCTCATCGTAGTGTCATATAGTTGTCTCATATTTCCTTCTCAGCAGTTGTTCCTGCTGTCATTGCTAGTTCTTCCACGTACTTCTGTTTGTCAGCTCTAATACCCCTTTCTTGTCTGCTTCTGTGTATTTGGTCTGTGCCTTGACCTCTGTTCTTGTTCGGCTGTGGTTAATTACTGTCTTCTTGTTCTTCCTTTCTTGAGCCCTGTCCAGGGTATCGATAGAAATCTATTCTTTGTGATAGTCCTTCTTGGGGCCCAGAACTTCTTGACATGTTGTAGTGCTTTTTTAGTTCCTTTCCAGTTATCTTCAGTTGTAATCACCCTTCCTTCGAGTAAATCTTGTCAGATTTGAAATCTTTAGTTGAGAGCTATCTTGAATTCGCTAAGCTTGACAGTATCTCTAGGGAAGGTTGTATTAAACCTTTGTAATGCTGTTTCTCTGTTTGTCCAGTGCTTCTTTATCTTCAGTTTCATTTTGTCAAACACCGGGTGGTGATCTGAAGCTGCTTCGACCCTTCTTTTTGTCTTTACGTCTTCCATTGATCTTCTGAATTGCTTAGTGATACATATATGAACGATTTAGTTCTCTTTAGTGTTGTTCGGTGAGATTCATGTAGCTTTGTGTATGTGCTTGCGTCACCTATAACCATGGTGTTGAAGGCATATAAATTTGCAAACTTGCTACCGTTCTCGCTTCTTTCTCTCAGTCCATGTCGTCCCGTGATATCTTTATTCCCGGTGTTATCCACTCCGACTATGGCGTTTAGGTCTCCCATCAGGATTATCAAGTTCCTAAGTTGACACTTCACAACGATCGACCGCAGCCCTTCACAAAACTGATATTTATCATCCTCATTGCTGTTATTGGTGGGTGCACGGCACTGGACAACATTCATTGTGATACCCACCTTTGTTTTGAAGAATTCTAAATATTACCAATGATCTAAACACAATGCTCTCGGCCTCAAGTTAACAAACGGAATTACACTGGTTACTGATCTATAAAGATGGAATAAGAGCCGTGTGATTAATCATTCTAACTAATAACCGACCTGTTTCGAAATTTGCAACTTAGGTGATAAACCGATTTTTTTATAAACAATAAATATGGTTAAAAGACCTTGATTCAAACCTACTCTACAATTTGGAATACATGAACGTCGAACAAATCGTGCACTATTTCCATATTGGCTGGAGTCAATGACAACCGTCCGATCGCCAAACCCACGATAAAACATAACGTAACGGTTATAGCTGTAAAAAGAGATGACGAAATTTATCAAAGTTTTTAAATCGTCCCTTCACCATACAACAGTGGATGAACGACAATCAATCAACTAGATTACACTTTTAATTAGAAAAATCAAGTATATATATATATATATATATATATATATATATATATATATATATATATATATATAATGGCTGGAAACTAAGAAATGAGAAAAGAATCAAAACATACATAAGAGAAAATGAGAAAATGTGTCACACTAGTAAGTAAATATTAAGAAATAAAAATTACAAAAGAATCTCCATGATATACTTACTCGGAAACAGGATCTACATAGTGTTCATATTCTTCCATCAATAAGAAATGACCACGGACTTCAGTCACAACTTCATTCGGTGCTAATCTGATCGATGCTTCTAAGCCCTGTTGATAAAATAACAATCAGTTAATGTCCAAGGCTTAAGTATGGGATATATAGATACTAATGGGCATAAGTTAAATAACAGGAGCAAAAGTAAACAAACGCGAGCATTTTGGGTAACTTTGTTTTTTTTCACAACGAATACATGGGGCTTGAGAAAAATGTGACGACGTGGTTGCTTTGTGAAATAAAATGCTTTAAAAACGTACACGTGACCTAATATATCAAGTGTTTGGAAGAAACTGATATTTGTGAAAACGCTTATTGAAAGAGATTAATAACATTAATTTTTTATGCGGATGATATCATTTATTTACTAAGGAAAAGGAAGATAGAAGAAAACTATGAGAGGAATACTATCACTTATTTTGAGCCCACGATTTATATAAAATATTTTAATCCATACAGTGAAATAGGGTTTAGCATCACACTGAAGGTGTTGAGAGCCTAAACACAATTAACTAAAAATAATGACATATTTACTAAAATCATGAACCGAACTAGGTTGAACCACTACAGAAAACCTGGAAGCAAGGAACGGCTTATATAAAAATCCTAGTGTGGTGTGTGCTACTGATGTCGATAGATATAAGTAGGATGTATCGTCAATCGACAGTGGAATGCCTAACAGCAGAAGGTTCATGCGTGGTGGCAGAAGGTTAAGAAGATAGAAGAAAAGAGAACGAGAATAGAGAATGATTGGTGTGGAAATGAAAGAACAGTGAAATCTCAGACGACTGACTGATATTTTCAAAAAGAACAGTATGGTTCTCAGGTTTTACTAAGATGCTCTTTGATTTTGTAATCTAATACATTCGATTGTCCCCATTTGTGTTCTCGCTTACTACATTAGTAAAATAAAAGAGATTCACACAAGCTCTTATTGTATTTTATTGAAATGATATCTGACGAATTACATAGCCTACCAAACTGTCTTATAAGTCTTATTAAATGAATAATCAAAACTAAACGCTGGGAACTAATCAATTAGGACTTTTTGATTGTCATTAAAACTACTATGGTCATTTTTTACTCCTATCGATAAGGTTTGAGAGTATGACTATAAATACTATGAAAACAGTGATTGGTTTAAGGGTTTTCGGAATATGTGCTCAACATGGGCCTAGGTATATAGCATTTTCCGCCTAAATATCTAAAGATATAGCACATCAAGAAACAGATTATCTCTGGTTGTACCCATGTTTGAACTTCAATCTAGACAAGTGTTAGTGGGGTTACTAGAGCTCATTGTTATTAAAAATGTAATCATTGAACAAATTACTATAACTCTGTGCAACGATTATATCAATTTAGAAACTATTAGTATGATTGTTCGACAGGTTTGAGGAATGGAAAGGGGGAGCTTTAGAAAAGTTGTAGATTATTCGTCTTTCAGGGCAATTTAGATACTCAAAACATAAATATCTTACTCTCATATATTTTGTTGCCTCGATTACTGTGATTCCCTAGATTGATAATTTTCAGTTTATTTTTACATAGCAGCTGTCAATGTCGTAGGTTTTTATTTGTCTGAACTCCCTTACATTCTCCACACAATGGATTTCACGAACTTGTCCAGCTGTAGCAGACTAACATTTATTGATGCATTATAACTATATCCTCATGGTCTCAGAGAGTTCCCATTATTTAATTATTTATCGCTTACTTGAAGACACGCAGGTAAAAAAAGTAAGAAATAATAATTCTAATGTGTTTTAAACTTCATCACTTTCTGATCATTTATATAATCTCTTTTTCCATTCGGCTTTTAAAACGACGTAATGCCTTTTTATATGATTAAAAAATAAGTAATCATAAGATGACGTAACCAGAGGCCTGTTAAGAATAAATCGGAAACACCACTACTATTTGTGTAGCAGAAGTATTACAAAATACACAGGTCAACAGATCCATTATCAATCAGTTAAGTATTTTAAATTTAATTAAATCAATGACGTAAATACGACTAAAATTGAATTACATTTCCACATATTACTTAAAAACTCATCAATATTGTAGGTGAATGAGTTAGAACAAATTAAGAAAAGTGTTTACTAAGTGAACGCGAAACATCTCGCATATGTTTCAGTACTCATTTACTGAGAAGTATAATTGTCAAGTAAATTACCTTATCATTATGATCAAAGAGGACAACTCGACAAAGCGAACTCCGAGTTAAGCAGGCTGGTGGGATTTTATGATTTCGTTCAACGCTAGAGGATCTACAAGTAAAAGTTGAAAAATAGAACTGATAACAGTTTGGTCAATAATTTTTGGTTTTAATACCAGTAGAAACGACAAATAATGTACAAATAAAAGATATGACACATTAGGAAGGGAAGTTTATTGAAGACAAGGTTTTAAGTACACCACGATCAATTACAGATTCAGTAATATGGGCCTGGAATCACACGTTAGCATGAAGGTTAGTGATATTCTATTAGTTAAATTTAAGTAGGAGTATGGTATAGTCAAATCATTTTTAACCTAACCTTCGATTTTAATTTAATAGTTATTTAGAAATAATATTATCACTAACACAAAAAATAGAATTATGTAGGATTTGATACGTAAGGTTTAGCTCAATAAAATAGAACCACGATGAAAATATAAATAAATGTGGACTATGCAAATTTAACTCAATAAACATGGTGATACGATGTTAATCGAATTTACGTGGATATTAAAGTGTGTTCTATATCCTGTTAACTAATATATTGATACGTTCGTGCACTGTGGCAACAATGGCATTACTGTGAATTCAATATCATGGACGACACTAATCTTCTTCTAACCTTTTCCCACTAATTAAAGCAAGAACACCAAATTTGTAGATGGAGCTATTTTTGATGTTCATTCAGTGTAAATCAATCAAAATACGTACGTAGTCTGTCGATTGTATTATCAATAAATAATGATTAAATTATTTAAAATGAGTGATTTTTATTGACGCAATATATATGCATGGAAATGCCGTGAAATGTTCACACTGAATAACTTACTGTAGTAGAATTTGAACCTGATCGATATTAATTTACTTCTCATAAGTTGTAATTTGATATTGCATATCCCCGAAATTTATAAACAGCATCAGATAAAAAGATAACAGATTCTCAAGAAATTCTACAGTCGCAATCAAACTGTAATCCAGTAAGTAATAACAAGCTAATATATTCGATTTTGAACTGAAGATTCTGTTGAACTCAGTTATATTGTCTAGTTGCCTGGACGGAAGAGAAACTCGTATCTATAATTCAAGTGCCTTAATATATATACCCCTACTGAAAGTGGCACATGAGCTTTTCGGATTAAACATTTTTAAAAAAACTAACATTTCGAATCTGGAAACAGTGATGTATTAAAAGATGTTAATGGCTGTAAATGGATTACCAAGATCTTAAAATCCCGACTACTGAGACTCCTTACAGAGAACTAATAGGATGATACTACTTGACTAAATAATGCGGTTCAACTTCACCAAGTACAGGTTTGTTTATCCGAAATTCAGATACACTGCTTGTGTGAGAACTAGTGAAACTATTCGGCTCCCTATGCGTAGCCCCCAAATGCCCTGGAACGGCCGAGAGTGGGGAGAGTCACCTCTCCCTCTCGAAATACTCTCACATGGCCACGCGAATATATAGCCTCTGACAGGGAAGTCCTACTCACTGCCTTCTCGTGGCGGGGGTGTTGTTTACGAAAGTGAGAGGACGAAGAGCGAATGTCTGGCGCTTTAACCGGGTTGGTGGACAAGGCGAGTCCACCTAGGGGAGTTGGAAAACCCTGATTCCAAACCAATGGTGCACATGGGCTCCAGTATCCTGATGGAACGAATGGCGGACGAACCTGTCATTGGTCAACGGCTACCATGGGACTGCATCTCCTCACGATGCTCCACTGCCTTGTGGATCAGACATTCAGGTCAAAGGCTCGGGGTATGGCCCCCTAAGAAAACCACCTGCTTCAGTCTGGGCACCTGGGCAGTATCACAGCACTCACACAAATCGAATGAGATTTGTGAGGCGCATATTTATCTGGTGCTTCATTGTACCAATATTTATGTATTTAAATAAATAAATAAATAAATAAAAATTCGGCTCCCTATGTAGAGGTATATGTAACACCATTCAGAACTGCAACAAATTAGTTGAAAGCTGACGGTTTCAATAACTAAGAGACTGCTCAACTGGCAAAGAACCACTACTAGGCTCCATCAGATATTTTTAGCAATTATCTACGAAGAAAGATATACTAATAACAAGAAAATGCGAATCGATAACATATGCACATAAGGGCTTTCGCGATTTGCCGATTCGAACCTTATCTCTTAATCCAAAATTTAATCCTAATCTCAACTCTGTCCCTAATTGTTAACTGTTTATCTCTTCTTCATCAAAACGACAATTATCATTCACACTTCTAATAGATGATTTACAGTTTCTCGTAAACCTTTGAATAATCACAAGGTAAAAATTTCGATGCCTGAATATTTTTAATTACTCTGTTATTGATGAGATACTATTATTCATTAAATAACTATAAAAATACGAATACACGACTTTAATCAATGAAATAATATACATGATAGAGATCCCAAAATTTATTATTAGGCTTTTCTCTAAATACTGATAGATCAATTACTGCACAACTGATGTACCGGAGTTTTAAATCTACAGATAAGAAGTAGCCTACTTAAAACGCTTAACATGAAAGAGAGTATAGTTTAAATGATTTTCATGTTTTTCGTTCAAGTATTTCGTAAACGGTAAAGTGCTACTTACTAAAACATAAAACAAGTTTCGTTTGTCGTGTTTGTCTGCCTATATAAGCTCATGTGGAGACAGTGTACCTGATTCACTCTTCACGAGCTATCATCACTAAGATTCTTAGCGTAAAGCTCTGTGCTACAGCAGCTTTGGTAGGCATGTTAATCACTTTAGTATGGTGTAGACTCTAAATCATGTTATTACCTTTTCATATCAGTTCATCATACCATACTCCAGAATAGACAAATATTACAAAACAAGTTTCCAAGCGCACAGGAGACAATATAAATTATTGTCAATATTGTATATAAGCATGAAAAATAACCCTTGCCACAAATATATATGGACTGATGAAAGCCGCATAGTTTCTAATTATTATTTGGATAAATCCAGTGATTGATGATAATGTTTAATTCAATCAAATTCCACAAGCTCTTTTACTGAAAGAATTTAGATGAATAACTTGTGACTAAATTTTATGTACATATCAAATATGAGGTTTGTTGTGTCACTATACCGACTAACTGCGAACAACAAGCAAATGGCCGAACTAAAGTCTCATAAAAATATGAAGTTAACGAACATAACCAGTACCATTTTATGACTTTTGTTTAAGTAACAACAATATACTTACATTCTACTCTGTATACGTTCGAGCAGAGCTTTTGTATAAACATTACTTTCGGCTTCCTGATAGTCTTTAGCCCAAGCTGCACCAAGAGGATTAGTTCGAGCATCGAAACGACGTTTGGTTGAATTGGAGCCATCGGGAAACAGAACTCTTCTACAGATAAAAAGAAATCGAATACAATAAGCAAAAGAACAAACATGAAAACCGTAGAACAAGACCACTTAAGTGTTAGGAACATGGTACATATAAGTGTACCTTATCACTTCTTCACAGTCTATACACATCTTTAAGCTGCCTGTAACTGTATCCATTGACGAATAAGAGTAGCAAGACCAAAAGTAATCTTTCACCTGCTTTGCGAGCAGATGCATTGGCAATTTTAACTATTCCACTGGAGCTAGTTACCAAAGTGTTAGATTGTTGGATCCGCGCACAAACCAAACAGTAATCGTATATAAAAAAAAATAGGAGCATGAAGCTACTTGATTGACACAAACAATGACTGTAATACAGTGCTTAACATCTAACATGCATCCTAAATTCCATAGAAATCTATAATGATAGACTGAATCTTCATGTAAATGTGGCATTATTACCATTTTGTTGCTAGAGTCAATCAGCAACCCAGTTTGGATAAAACAATATTATGTTGACTATTACTCAGTGGTCAATAGGGGTAATTACTTTGTGTTATTGCATTATACTTCTATTAGATTTCGTACTTTTTTCACACTTATTTTCTTAGAAATAAAAAAATGAATGATTATTTCTTGTATGAAATACCTAAACGGTGAACTATTTTAAAAAATATTCACTTTTTGGTGGTTTCAGGAACCATGAGACAAATATTTTAAGGAGTTGATATTTAAAATCAGTTTAACAACTGATTTCACATTTAAGGTCAAAATAACTATCGTGTCATGTTGTAGCATGAACACTATCATACATATTCATATCAATCAGTAATCATACTTTAGATGCTTCCAATAAGTTGGCAAGCGATTCCTACCATTAATGGATAGCAAACGTGTAACTACATAAAATAGGTAAACGACAGAAAAATGACTACGCTTATTTTATATTTCAGCGAAATACATCAAAATTTTCTATATACTATGCGATAAATGTTCAGTACATTTCAGACTACTTCAATTTGTGGGAACGTAATATCCTAGAATGAAAAATTATTAAGAACACATCATATTATTGCAAACCGATACATTGATCAGAGTACAACGCAGGTGTAATCTTAAAAATGAACTGTTCAGTTCAACATTTCTTTTAGTTACTTAAACTGTGAATATTATGCAAAAAATTTAGTGTTCGGATTTTAAATAGCTAGAGAAATGATAGTGAAACAGCACTAAAAGTAACTTCCTGAGTGTTTCAAGCATTAAAACTTATAACGGGTGTAGAGACTAAAACTAGTAAATTTCACTTTCAAACGAAAAATTTCTTAAGTTTAATGGACTAATAGAGTAAATAAATGAGATAAGAAAAATACAGATACAACTTTTAGAGTTACTTGACTTTATTAGCTGAACGATCAATACCCAGCCTGTGACGACGTGGACTACCTTCTACACCTGAAGAACTACTGTATCCAGAACCAGGTGTAAGCGTACCACCAGGTGTACTTGTGGGAGTAAGAGGAGTGAGTGGTAAAGTCCCTGGTTTCATTGGAGTATTTGACGGCGTGCTCGAAGGTGTTACATCTACAGAAGACGACTCATCACCACTATTTGGTAAAATAACGGTAGTGTTGGAATTTTGTTCAGAAGATGAATCGGCTGCCGCGACTTCTGTGTCATTATCTGGAAAAGTAACCATGAATAAGAGAAACTACGTCAATAAAATCCAAGCTTCTCTCAATGGAACAAATTTTAATGATTACTTGAGAACGGAAAAATGTTCCGTGGAACAGCCCGTAAACTACGCTTAACAAACGTGTAGATTAGGGATTACATGTATATTTAAAACAAAGGACTACTTTCGAAATTCTAAAAAGAAAAAACGAACACAGGTTTAGAAAGACAAATTAAAGAACTTGTCAAGTATCATGTAGAAATATGAAACAAATAAATACAATTTTAATAGTTGAGATCATGAGTCAATTGAAGCTAGACCACAATGGAAAACCTGGAAGCACTGGACGACCGTTTCGTCATATTGTGGGGCTCCTCAGCAGTGTGCATCCACGATCCCGCCTCACGAGATCCGAACCCAGGACCTATCGATCTCGCACGCGAACGCCTAACATCTAAGCGGGATCGTGGATGCACACTACCGAGGAGTCTCACAATAGGGCGGAACGGCCGTCCAGTGCTTCCAGGTTTTCTATGGTGGTCTAGCTTCAATTGACTTATGATCTCAACTACTAAAATTACTATAATATCCACAGAAACCGCTTCTCATATTAAATAAATATGAAATAAAGCTACTAAAATATGTGTGTAAAGTATCCGTCAAACTTCGTCTACACAGTTTCAACCAATAAGAAATACGGGAGTTTCGGATACTTCTATACAGGAAATCGAGACAAAAATACAGATAATACTAAATTAAGACAGTGATAACTCAACAAAACAAAAAGAGAATGAAATTACTTACACGATGTAGAAGTTAGGTCTTGCTTCCGTTTGGATGCTCTTGGAGGAGATGGCATTCTCAAATTGACATCTGTATCACCATGATGCCTGCGACCAGAACGAGAAATTTCGTTCTATGCAAGGGAATATAGAATCATCTCGCGAATAATGAAAAGTTCAACGAAAAATGAAAGTTCACACTTAAAGAAAAATGTTTTTTGTATACCGAATATATAATCTCCTAGAAAGCGCCGAGTGTATGTAATTCATTAGAAAGTAGTAATAATAAATAGTACAAGATAAATGCGATAATGTAATTTAAGAGGTATAGATTCATATACCCAGGCGTCTGAGCTAAACATTACTTGTGAGAGTCAAGAATACTACTAGTCTGCCAAAGTGTAATTAAGTGAAGCAGGATTTTGAGCCTGTGAGCTAGTGGTTAAAAGTTTAACGTCTAGACAACTACTAAGTCACTGTTCCAAAAAACAATAACACGATGCAGTGTATACCCATACCATAGAGCTCTGAAGGAGAATCAAAAACACTGACTTTACAAAATTTTAGAATGTTTATGTGATCGAAATTTCAAAATTCTACACTAATAATCAGAAAATATTGCTATCAAAATTATTTGACTATTTTTTAACACACAGTATATGATCACAGTACAGTTGAATATCACTAAGGTATGGCTGTTTCAAAACCAAACGAATAGTGAACATTTAGTTAATAACATACATAGTCAGATATTAAATGTCTAGTTTTCTATGCTGTTTTGTTTCAGAACAGCAGTCGGGCTTCGGATGATCATCGAAACTTACATATTGTACTGTATTAGTCAGAACTTTTCCTTTGAAGTTACTACAAGAGGATTTCTGTCTTTTGTTCAAACTAAGACGACAGACTTTTAAAATATGTCAGATAAAATTGCGTTCAATTCTTAGGCTTAATCGAATGTTTTTGTTCATCTGACTGACAGCTTCCGATCACCATTGCTAGAAATATCTAGAGTTAAACATCAGGATATGGTACTGTCACCTGCTTAAAGTAAAGTAAGGCTATTATTGACTAATTTGATGTTAGTGAACATTAGATTTTACGAAAAACTTACACGTTAACGTGAGTCACAAACTGAAAAGACAAATACTACCATAAACTAAAATAAGAGGAAGTATGTGATTTTAGTGTTTTTTTCTGTTCGTCAGTTTTCCTAATAAGGTTTCATACTAGCTATTAGACGTTTTTAAGTTTTTTTTTCCTTATCATTTAAATTGCTCTTAGCCTTACCAATTTTTCCCAATTCACAGATGACCAACCAGAACGTCCAGTAGTATCATGTTCTCTTACAACAGACTGACCAGACCAAGACCCAGAAAACGTAGAACTATCAGCATCCAATTTGCAGCTATTCGACAAAAGACCCAGTCTTTTTGCTCTATCAGCAGCAACTTCTACATACTGAGCTCCAATGTTCCCCTCAGAGGATTGAGTCAATTTTATTGACGAATTACTAGCACCATCAATAAAATTCATAGTATCATTATTTAGAGCAACACAATCCTTGTTTGCATTGGCATTTGTTGTTGTGTCCGATGATGTACCTTGAAATTCAGTATTGTCATTTCCACATACATTGCAGGTATATCCATCACTCAATCGAGGCATAGTAACATTGTAATGTGACTCCATACACTGTACATGTTGACAAGAACTAAAGTAAAACACCCAATAAAAAGATAGAAATAGCACGAAAGAAACTCTTAAAGCAAATGAAAAACATGTAACAGTTGGTTTGGATAATTATCATATCAATTTCACTTCATTATAAATCGATAACTAATAATTTACATGGAGTGAAGAGAAAATGAAATAGACAAATTCATCCTTGTGACACAGCCCAAAAAGATTACTGTTTGATAATACGACGCTACATCGTATACTTAGATAGGTCAAACATAGATCAATGATAAATAAGTGGTTTTTGAAACTAGTTAGTGGAATTAGGAGCTAATATGCGTCACACATTTCGATATGCAAATAGTGGATGCATTAGCTTAGACTGGGGAACTTGCTTTCCATTGATACGTCTTTATCAGATGGACGACTTACTATACGATGACTTGTATGAATTGTATTAAGACAGAGATACACTAGTGTCGATTAAATCATTATCACTTGGTTCTATGACTTGAGAAAAGTTTTACGTTGTTTGAACGGATAATACGTCAGTAGTAATCATTTAATGTCAAAGTTTTGTAAGCTTTATTATTATGAAGCTAAATTTCCCAGACCACACAATATTAACTGAGATGGAATTTTCACTAGCGTGACGTTATTTAAGGGTCATCCAAAACGTTTAGTAATGTAAGCGGAATATAGATTGGACTAAAGAACGTTTCGTGCAGGATTGTGTTGGTGCACACTGATTGGCTATTTCTTATCCAATCAGCGTTAGTCGATACTTGGAGAAGACTCTAGAATCTTATCATGTAAAAACTGTAAATATACTAACGATTTTCGTATTGTGCTTCTTACTTCCATCTAACATTGTTATTTGGAACATAATTTAGTTCCTGTTCCACCGTGTTCTGATTTGGGGACTTGTTGTCAGTCAGTCAGTCAGCTACAACGTAGGACCAGGCACATTTATGCATCGGTCCAAGTTGCCATACCTCGTTAGCACAACAAGATGAACACCGGATTCATAGAAGTAATTAATTTAGTGGTGGTAGTAGTATATAAATTATAGGTTGTATATAATGATATAGTATAGGAAGGAAGAGAGATATGAAGCAATTTTAGTCTCAAGGTTCAAAAGAAGATAAAGAGTGTATACACCTACGCCATTGTGATCGATTCTGAGCCATGTCACCTAGAGTCTCCAACCATTAGTTACGATAGTCACGCGGACTTGTTGAGTGAATTGGTGTCCAAGAATACCAAGCACTGGGAATAGCTGGGCCGTAACAAGAGAAATTATAACAAGTAAACGCAGAAACAATTTTATTTATCGTTTCATGTGACACATTTGACCAAACTTTACCGATTTCTCCAAGATTTTTCCTCATATCACCAATCAGTAGAGGAATGCTAACAAAAAAACAAGACCAATTTACGCCTCACAAACTACTGGATAACTTCGAAACCAAAATATAGAAGGCACCTATACAAATACTATTCTAATAAACGTTAATTTTAACTGAGGACAAAATAAATAAAAAACTACAGAATACCGAACAAAATGAACTTCGGAGTTAATCTTTTAGGTTACTTAGACTACGTCACCAAAATGTTGGCAAAACAAAAAAGTAAACTTTAGTAAGCTTCAGATCATACATATTTATTTCAGCATCTTGTCAACGTCACTCATTTTACCAACTGCAGGTTAAAATGACTAATGGCTGAAAGCTGAAAGGTTTAACCAGCCACTCAATCACTGTTTCAGATCTTTCAATAACAAATTTTTATGCTTATTTGGAAATATAAAGACGAGACAAACCTGCATTTGGGACATCGTATAAGTCCAGATTTAGGCTGAGAGTGACCACACACACAGCGGACGTCAGCCCATACATTATTACCGACCCAAGCGTTATCAACAGCCGAATGTATATATGATCCATCGGAAGAAGGAATAACGATCTGAAATATATATTTAAGGAATGGTGATGCAAAAAGATTTAGTTCGTTTACTGTAAATCATGATTAATATTTTTTCCAGTTGGAAAGTAGTCAATTTCAGATAGCACCAAGCGTGAACGATAGTACAAATGGTGGATGACAAAATAAACAATAATTAGACACCGCTTTATTAATAGATTTAGCGCAAATTTAAAAATTCAATCCAAGTAATAAAAGCGACATTGGATGAAGTCATTAATTCGACTAGTTTCCATCGATCGACAAAAGCCCTAAAGAAACAGATAAACTACTTGACGTAGAAGTTACCAAGGTATAGTTTACCACTTGGTTACGGAGGGATAATTGGATAAGCAGAGAATTTATGACATTGTATGTGCATTTGCAAACAGTAAACAACTCAGAGTAGGTAACAGCAGTGATAACCAACACATTGGTTGATCTAAGAAAGATGTAAAGATAGAATGTACAATAAGAATATATGTATCACATTTTACTGGTTCGTTCAAAATGACTTGAATGTCTACCACAAAATTAAACTCACATGCTTGAAAATATTTTATCTACAAACTTTTAGATATATTACGGCTATTTGAGTAACCCATATTATGAAAACATTAGATTTGAGTCACTAAACATGAGAGATGTAAAGGCTCCACTCAGATTTAAGTTCACCTGCAGCTTTTTAAGAGCTCTTAGGTAGCTCCAAATTATGTTGGATGAAAAGGATCAAAGGCAAGCATTCTCAGTGACCATGTGATCGCGTCTGATGTAATATGTAATCATTAATAAATTGTATCACCATAACAAATTACATAAGTGACAATTTACTGAAATGGTATACATATCGCAAAAATAAGATTACCTTTGTAATATAATCAACTTCTGATGTGTCACTATCCAAATCACTTAACTGAGAAGGTGAAACTGCAAGTTCTTCGGGCACTTCAATGACCTAAAAGATGCAAAAGCTGATGCTAATTAACGAATCTCTTACTTATTAAAAGCTTTAAGTAGTATCTTAACAATTCGGGACAAATTAAGTAGGACCTTAGTTACCACCATGGTTTGAAAGCAGACACCAGTTCCATAATGAAGCAGTGATCACATGGTCAACATACTCATCTTTAATTATTGCGTCTCAGCTGTAGACTCCATATACTGTGTTTGAGCAACCGGGAGACGAAAGAAGGATGTGAACATTATGACGACACTACACTAATGCTATAAGTAAAGTCAAAGCACATTGCTGTCATCTGAACAGTCGAACTAAAAGGATGTTCTTTAGGTTTGACTGTTATTCCTATTTCCACAAAATTTCATTTACATATATTCCTCTAGGAAATACACTTTTCATTTAGGCTTTCACGCGTAGACATGCATAAATTTTGCTTAGGTTTTGCCCGTTTGTACCATTCATAGCTTAGGTGAAACATCCGTATGAATATCCGAGAGCGAGTGTACGTCCAAGCAGCACACTATTTGATCGTAGGTACTTTTTAAGCATTGATGGCATATATCGGAGCAACGGAGTGAGCAATAATAAAATCGGACTGGAATACTAGGCAAAGATGTTAAGTAGATCGGCGAGGCTGTTGATAGTCTTCGACCCAGTGGTATGTATTCCTGACCGTCAATTAGCCTGACGAGCAGTGTTGATTGGAATAGGACCGAATTTAACAAAACCCAAGATGTGACGTCTGTCCATGAAGTTATTGACTAATGATAAGTTCAGAATACTTAGTTAGCCTAGGTGTGGTAACCGTGACCAGACAGTGGTTGAAATGACTCAGAACCGGTCACAGTCGTGCAAATACTTACTCTAGATCTTGAATCCCAATATTCCTTCATCCATAACTTCTGATTTTGTCTTATTGGATAAGTTTAATGTTTAGTATTTCTTACTGTCGATGCTAGTCCCATTGTCTCAACTTTCTTACTGTTCATCGTGTTGATTTCATATCACTGATTAAATGGTGAAAACTTAACATGCAACTACACCAGGCCTTATATGTTAACTATGATTAAATTAATACTACTATTAAACCGACTAATTTGATTTTCTTTTTACCAACGCAATATATCAGCACTGAAGTTTAGTAACTTGGATAAATGCACATTTTTGTCTTGTTATACGCTGAGGATTGACATGGGTCCCTGTCTTTTATATCACTAATTATTTCCCAATGTTGAGACTTGGCAAGGGATCCAGTGGTCAATAACATAAAAGCAACTGTAAATAAAAAAAGATATTAGTTTCGTTTTTGATATCTGATAAGCCCCCTAATGCCCTGGTACGGCCGAGAGTGGGGAGAGATCGCTCTCCCACTCGAAATGCTCTCACATGGCCACGCGAATATATAGCCTCTGACAGGGAAGTCCTACTCACTGCCTTCTCGTGGCGGGGGTGTTGCTTACGAAATTGAGAGGACGAGAAGCGAATGTCTGGCACTTTAACCGGGTTGGTGGACAAGGCGAGTCCACCTAGGGGAGTTGGAAAACCCTGATTCCAAACCAATGGTGCACATGGGCTCCATTATCCAGAAGGAACAAATGGCGTACGAATCCATTGTTGGTCGCCGGCTACAATGGGACTGCATCTCCTTACAATGCTCCACTGCCTTGTGGGTTAGACCTTCAGGTCAAAGGCTCCGGGTGTGGCCCCCTAAGAAAACCACCTGCTTCAGTCTGGGCACCTGAGCAGTATCACAGCCCTCACACAAATCAAATGAGATTTGTGAGGCGCATATTTATCTGGTGCTTCCTTGTACCAATATTTATGTGTTTAAATAAATAAATAAATAATCTCTGATCCACTTCATAATTATTGCCTATTTGTCTTATGTTGCGCACTACTCAGTATATGGATGGAACTTCGACCATAAGCTCACTATATAATAAGAATGGTGAAAAGAATAATTTTCTGTTTATTTAGAAATCCGAATCAACACTGTGATTGTTTATTCTGGAAACTAAGTGTATGTCAATATTAGTTGTGTAAACGACTCAAAACCGATAGTGCTAAGCGAACATAATCAAAGCTATAAAAAAAACACCACGTAAAACAATCATTCTAATCTCCACAAGTTTACAAAATCAAGTATTATGAAGTGCATAGCATACTGATATTTGTGAAAATATATTGACTCTACATACCTTCAACTCAGGTTCACACCGTAACTCCATTTGTTCATAATTGGAAATTTGTGATCCAAATCGTGAAGGTATATACTGATCCTTTGAATCAGTATCCGCCATCGATTTGTCATCTAGATCTATGGATTTAGAAAACCATAGTCCACTAGAGTGCTTTTTACCATCATTACTGTATATACCATTCCCTTCGAGTGTGGAGCGTTTAAAAGTAAGAGAACTTTGCCTATCGAGACGCTTATCAATATTATGTTTTTGTCCAATATCTTCAGCTCCCAATTTACAGCCTGACTTTTGGGCAAACAAATTTTTTGAACATGGATTGTTCTGCTTTGTATCTGAAAACTTATTTTTCGGCATTTGAAGATCCATTAAATGGGGTGCCATTGAGGGAGGAGTTAATCCTGAAGGAAGGGCGTAGTTGTGATCGTTATACTTCAGGCCGAATGAACAAATAGTTGGGCCAAATGAAAGAGATGTATCCGGGTACATCGTCTCAAAATCCTCCTCACTAGAAAATACAACAAAAATCAAATAACTTAATATATGATATGGTTATGGACAGTTTAGTCAGCCAGTTGAACGCAACGTAGAACCTGGTACGTGTGTACAAGCATGGAAATTTCCATACTTTATTCGCACGGCGAGGCAAATCCCAGAGTAGTAGCGGTAGTAATAGTGTTGATAGTAATATAAAAGATAATCATCGAAGATTTAATTCATGAAAATATGGAGTCCTGAAATAAAAACAATTTACAAATCTAAGATCTAAGGGGAAGCAGAGTGAATGTACATCTCAGACGTTTTAGAATCGTAATCCAGCTTTTAATCATTGATTATGATGATTACGAGGACTCCACACACATAGTTTGCATCCTCTCACATAAACTGTTAACAGAAACATGTATGGGAGTATTAGGAACTAAACAGATACAATTTCTTGGTAGCTATTGCTGAAAATTATCCCCAGACTGATCATAGATATGTAAGAACTGTCATCTAAATTTGGTCGAATAGTTTAACAGTACTTGGGCGTTGAGTTGGTGTGAGACATTAGAGAGGAAGAATGTATTTTTAATCTCGGCAAATAAATTTGAAGTAAATCCAACGTTTAATCCGGCAATCACAGATAATTTGAAATCCATCTGTCCTAACGTGCTGCTGCCATAGTCTGGGTTGAGCATCCTTTAGACAGAAGAATAAACAGCCTAGGTCATTGTTAGGTACACATAAATTCCAGAACTCAGTGTAGGCTTAGTATACTTCAGACGATGTCTAAGACTTGTTAAGTCTACATGAGCTACGGAGGAGTCGAATGGCTGCATATCAAGGGATATTAGAAAATATATTAGTTACTTCACTCAAATGCTTTCGCAAATCATATCATTTCAGTGGATATTAAAACATGTCAGCAAGAATTTCTGAAAGGGTTAAGCAGAAACTGAGGTGGAAACACGTTCAGTCAGTCAGTCAGCTACAACGTAGAACCAAGCACATTTATGCATCGATCCAATTTGCCATAGCTCATCAGCACAACAAGATGAATATCGAATTCATAGTAGTTAATTTGGTGGTGGTAATATATAAAAGAAAAGTTGTATATAAGGATATAGTACAGGAAGAAAGACAGGTATGAAGCAATTGTAATCTCAAGGTTTAAAGGATTATAAAGTGCACACACCTGCACCATTGTGATTGATTCTGAGCCACGTCACCCAGAGTCTCCAACCACTGGATAGGATAGTCATGCGGACCCCAACCAAGTAGTCTGCATCTACCAACGCGTTACTAAAGACAGGAATGTTACCAAACTGATAAGAGGATAAATCATGCTTGGGGCTAAGCATTATTATCAACCGCCCAGACCATGAACACAGTACCATTCGACGTTATATAACACAGACCCTAAATAAAGCCTTTACACAAGTAGGTATTAAGAACTAGTCTAAGAGCCACATTTACTGATATTACAAACAACCCATCCTACTTATTTTGAGGACTGCTTATAGGTCGGAATCGTATCCTGATTTTTAAGGTTAACTTTCTCGGGTAACTGGAATACCGAACGAAATTGTCCGGTTACACTTTTATAAGCAAGACAAAACACGGTCGTTCTCATATGAAAGCATTGCTTAAAAATTTATGTAGGACAGGAGTGTTTTCTGTGTATATTTCAATAACTTACTCTCCTTTAAGCTCCACACAAGCAGTTAGTTCAAACATTGGTCCAACGAGACGAATACCACTTTCAGGGTCTGCATTGCAATATTTTTTCTGTGCAGATTGGAAAAACGAACTGTAGTTGTGCGACGGACGGCCATCAGCACCTCGAGACAAATAGGTTGTCCTCCTCCTAATGTCCATATTTACAACGGTTTTGGACAACTGATATTAGATTATAGATTAGTGCTAGTGGGATAACAGCTGCCAAGCATCGTGAAGAGAGATGTCCATATGTTGATAGTCGCGCACTGTACCTACCTATTGTGCAGATTGGATGCAGACAAACACAAACTTCCAAACAGTTTTACAACCCATATGGAGAATGTTTGACAAAGTTTATAATATAAAAAATTATATCCAAAAACTCTCGTCATAAATTAAGAAGATGTTGCTGTCTGGTTTTTTTACCAACTAAAGGTTAGTCGAACAACATAGATCATGACACTTTTTCAAACATATATTCTCTTAAACCCATTATAATTCTCGGACAGAGCGGAATGTTCAAGTCTTATTCCGCCAGTTCGGGACAGAAAGCTAGTATTCCTTTCACAATAACGCAAACCTCATCACTGGAAGTTCTTTAAAAAGCTCGTCAAAGTTATACCTAAGTACATCGTTTAAAGCATGTAAATTTAGGAATGTCAAACCAAATAGAATAAATTTGTTAATGCTGATATGACTCATATAGAATGTTAACTTGAATCTGTATATATGTTAAGTGAAAATTTAAGATCTGTGATCAGAATAAATATGGGTCAGATAGGGTGAGCGAGATATGATAGCGCAATTACAATTCGATCAAGTCGAAGACTAAATTGTGTGAAAAATTAGTACCTATATAGTATAAACGAAACCTGATCAGAACCCTTAGCTATCGAATACGCACTATATATTCGGCAGATGTAGTTGACAATGAGCTAAACACATTGCATAATGCTCTCAGGGAGAACGGGTATCCCAGAAAGTTTATAATTAAATATATGATCTTTAAAGTGAAAATAGGCGAATTTCAAACGGTCAAGAAGAAGTCCTTGTTCATGCGCCTACAATTCAGGGGGGATGCCGCTAGCGAAATACTTGCTCAGAGATTACGCAGATCTATTCAAAAATCTTTCAACGCGGGTGAACTACGTTTAGTGTTTTCTACGCGTCCACTGGTGACACCGAGGATTAAAGATGAAGTTCCTAGAATGACCACTTCATTTTGTATCTATCATTTCGACTGCTCCTGTGGAGCAAGTTATATTGGTCGAAGTTCTAGGAATTTACATTTTCGTGCTCGTGAACACCTCCCAGCGTGGCTAAGCAAAGGTCTGATGAGGAAAGTAAACAGCTCAATTTTGGCCCATTTAGTACAAACTGGTCATAGTGCCAGTATAAACGAATCTTTTTCAATTATTTATAGGCTCAGTAATTTTTTGCCTGAGCTTGTCAGACTTAAAGTCCTTCAAACGGCGGAGGCAGTAGCTATCAGAATGATGAAACCAGAGCTTAATACATCTCATTAATTTTTCACACAATTTAGTCTTCGACTTGATCGAATTGTAATTGCGCTATCATATCTCGCTCACCTTATCTGACCCATATTTATTCTGATCACAGATCTTAAATTTTCACTTAACATATATACAGATTCAAGTTAACATTCTATATGAGTCATATCAGCATTAACAAATTTATTCTATTTGGTTTGACACTCCTAAATTTACATGCATTAAACGATGTACTTTGCCTTTAACCTGGACATTTTTTCGGATTATTAATTTGGATATATAATTGTAGAACCTGAAGAGAATTTATCGAAAAAAACATTCTTCGTTCAAATATTAGTCTTTTAATATGATTGGGATCTTTAAACAATTATACCTAAGTCTTTCATATATATTTAAAATTGAGTAGCTGCAACATTTTAGATGTATGGAGACTAATCGTTTTGAGGATCGGCCTACACTTGGATTTCAACAACCCATTCTTAATCGCATCAGATAGCAGACAATCGCGAATCGTTCTAAATTCCGAGCATCTACACTGTAGCAGGAAATAAATCCTCGAAAGCAATAACTCTGTAAGTGTAGACATTGAATGTTGACCACATTAGTTTCAAAATAGTCTTACAACAATAGGTTAACCACTCATGGTAACCATTTACATTTTTCTGGAGACGGTTGCTAGACACTGAATCAATGTATAGCACATTCGGTAGGGAACTCCTAGCTATGCATTGTGTTGTGCGACATTTTCAACGCTCCATGAAAGGAAGAGAATTCGTCATTTTTATCGACCATAAACCTCTTACTTTCCCTTTAAGCTCATCGTCAGATAGGTACTCACCGCGGGAGTCTCGACAACTGGACTACATTTCGCAGTTTACTTCAGAAATACAACACATTTCTGGAGCAAACAATGTGGTCGCAGATGCCTTGTTTCGTATAAGTTCCTTGAACTGTTTCCAAGGAATCAACCTTCTTAAACTCGCCCAGCTTCAAAAAGAAGACATTGATCTCCAGCACGAGTTGTCCTCAACAACTCTAAAACTGTGCATTAAACAAACGGGAAAAGGTAAGGAAACCTTACTATGTGGCATATCTACAGGTAGGGATCGCCCAATCGTACCAGAACATTATCGACGCAACGTCTTCAATACGTTGAGCAAACTTTCTCGTCCAGGTGTTCGTGCATCCATCAAGTTTGTAGCAGATCGGCTTTGCTGGCCTGATACAGATATAGGCGTGAGGGAGTGAGCACGTACCTGTGTAAGCTGCCAGAAATCTAAGGTCACAAGACACAACAAACGTCCCTTAGGCTCTCTCAAAACTCCTGATGCTCGTTTCGACCGTGTTCATCTGGATTTGGTAGGACCCTTACCAGATTTAAATGGATACTCTTATCTTTTAACGTGCATAGACCGTTTCACACGATGACCAGAAGCAGTACCCATCAAGGACATTACTGCTGAAACAGTAGCCCGCGCCTTCGTCGAACGATGGGCAGCGAATTTCGGCTGCCCTTCAACCATCACTACAGACCGCGGATGCCAGTTCGAATCTGGACTTTTCCGTTGTCTGACCACACTATTAAGAATCACTCGTTTCCAAACGACCGCCTACCACCCACAAGCAAACAGGTTAGTAGAACGTTTACATCGACAGCTAAAAGCTTCACTATCAGCTGCAGACGTTTCACATTGGATCGGCGCACTTTCACTCGTCTTACTAGGTATCCGCAATGCAGTGAAAGCTGACACTGGATGCACAGCAACTCAACTCGTTTATGGAACAACAGTCCGAACCCCAGGAGAATTCGTGGATGCTTTGTCTTCTCCGATGAACATGGACCTAAACTCCTAAATGAGCAGGCTTACAAACGCAATGTGTTCAATTAAACCTGTTTCCACCTCAATCAACTGAAGTTTTCGTTCAACCTGACTTGTGATTTAGTACACAAGTCTGCGTACGTCGAGACTCTCACATCGATGACCTCTCGAACCAGCGTACGAAGGACCCTTCAAAGCTCTTCAGCGTGAACCTAAGTACTATATAGTCGATAAGAACGGCACTAACGATAGCATCAGTATCGATTGTATCAAAGCAGCGTATTTGGAAGGAAATTCTAACCACATCGATTTTCCTTCGTTACATTAGAACGAAATGGCTCCTACACTTGTAGTACCTCATCCGACTGCCGGCACGTACGTTGATACTTCTTCAGTATCTGGAAATAAACTTAAAACAACGCGTTCTGGAAGAAGAGTAAGATTTTGGGAACATTTAAAGGACTATTGCATGTAAGACGTCAGCTAACATTTAGCTTTATCTCGATTTTCCTTTGCATTATATATAATAAAAGTTTAACATACTTATATTTGTGTATTTGTTCCAAAACAAAATTTTTTGCTTGTATGGGTATATTCAATTTTTTTGTTAAAAAAGCCCGAAAAACACTTTTTAAATCGCTTTAACGCTTTCGCATTTGCATGAGTTTAGTAACCTTTTTCCGCCCGCTTTGTGTTTTTACGCGCGTTCGGGTGTATTTTGACATGCACTTACATATTCTTACTTACATAAAAAGAACAATGAAGTTTACGAGGAACCGAAAGTTTCATCGTACTTTGTTTATTTATTACCATATTGTACCTCATGGCCCTTTATAGTAAGGACCAGACTCTGTTAAACATAGCAAGCCATCAGAAGAGTGTTTACCAACGACAAACTCATCAGGTACAAACTTCTGGCTGGCCACGTAGTAGCGTCATCACAATTTTACTGATGCGAATGATCTGTAGCGGCAAATAAATCCCTAAAATCAATAGTTCCGTAAGTGTTCGACATTGGATGCTGACCAAATTGGATTTAATGGACTTACAGTGAACACGAACACAAATGGCGACATTGGAATGTATTTAGGCGCAAAATTACGGAATATCTCAGTAAAATATGAGAACCATATAGTAAATAGTTAGTTTGCAAACTATCAATCAAATGTCTCAATCCTGACCGTTCCTTCTGCAACTATCAGTCCATCGTCTCCAGTTATTGTTGTTCAGGAATTTTTATGCCAATATCCTTTCGTCCCTGTTCTTTCGTTATCGATCTTCTACTGAAATAGATTCAATGCCCGACCATCGTTATGTACTACTTATGTGAATATAAGTAACCCACACCACAGACTCACCTAGCTGACGGCTATCGATCATACATCCGCACTAGAACACGAGTGGGAACGCCGTCTCAATTTCTCCTGCGATCGCTACCCAGTTTAGATCACTCATTTCTGGATATATTGGTAATCTATGAAATACATTTTCGAACCTCCTCGCCTCTGACTTTTGATTTCACTGAATGGGTACGATTCAATCATAGATGTTGCTGGTTAAGGTGCTCTCAGACTACAATACCTGCGGCGTCATCAACACCATAGCTAATGTTCGGATATTATGAGCAGAGATGTTTGGTGGCTAGTAGTAGAATCAAGGACGCATGTTTTGTCCCTCTTGGCACTCCTTAGCCGGATGTACCTGCATCCCTAAGTCGGTGCTCACCCCAGCACATCTAACTGAGGAGTCTCACTGCTAGCCATCATTCACCTCTACTTATAAAGCTTGTGACTTAAGGCAATATCAAGACAATATACACACAATATACAATACATTAAAAGATACGGAGATGTCATGGCTGATCTGTCACCGAGAACAGATGATAATTCCATAATCCAGAGAACAAATATTGATTTGGTGGGCATGGAAAAGTTGCAGGTAGATAATGCTGAGTTAAATGTCTTTAAAAGCAAATTTATATTGATGCGAAACAGGTTCAAATACTTAT